CTTCAGGTCTTTAAGTAGCTGGCTCTCGTCGTGGACCTCTCGCAGCCGTTTCGCAGGCAGCCCCTTCGCGATCACTGCAACTTCTCTGCGGTTGAGAAGTGCCTTATCGCCGAAGGCACTACGCACCCACCTGCTGTCCGTGGTCGCCGCTGAGGCCGACTGCTTAAACGTCACTACGGTATCGCCACTGCGCAGCCTGCGGGCCGCCACTGCATCGGTGCTGCCGCGTGCACTGTTCACCGCTTTTACGACCTCAGCCGCCGATCTGTTCTTCATATTAGGGTCCTCTGTCCCCCGGATCACTACCTCTCTCCCTTCGCTGGGGCACTACAACCCGCTGCTGCCACACTGGGGCTTCACCGGGTCCCCGTCCCTGGGCCGATCCTGAGGCGATTGAGGCCCAGGATCGAGTTGTAGGCAAGGCCACGTTCTTCATCGTATCCTGCATGGTCTTCTCAACCATCGTCTGGATCGCCGCAGGAATTTCGGCAAGGGCCAGAGTCACTGCCAGTACGTCGGCATGTGTGGCGGGTCTGTCGCCCCCCTCCTCCAGCGTCCTGCCGGCTAGTTTCAACCCCAGCCAACGCTCCATCAAACCCCCCATGACCTCAATCTTCTCACGTGGGACCAAGTCGGCAATCTCTTGTTCTACCTTTTGTAGTTCTCTTCCGATCCCTTCCCTCTCTGCGTTCTTTCTGCTGGTGCGCTCCACGTTCGGTGCGTGGGCACTTTCGTTGGCGTGGGGGTGGTGAAAACTCTGTTCGAGTCCCGCCCGTCCCCCGTCGATCACCATCGGCGCCGCCATCGCTTGCGTCCTCGCTTCGCGTGCGATGCGAGGTCACTGTCCGACGTAAACGGTCGTTAGGAATCGAATGCCGCAATCGGTTTGATGATTTGACGCTGTTCGAAGAAGTTATCGATGAAAGTCAGAAATCTCCCTTCTTGCAAAAAAAAATATAAGATATCTAATAATAATAATATTTGGTTGAAGTGGGCTGAGCTGGGGGTCTATGGTCACCTTAACTGTAGTCTCCCCAGGTTACCGAATAATTATGGGGCAAGTTTTGTATACTACGTAACCCGACAACGTGGGGCGTTGGTCGGCTGAGCCAGGGGTCTATGGTCACCTTAAGGATAACCACTGAAAATCAGAATTCAGACTCGATTGGATTCTGTGGTCACCTAGACCCAATGTTTAGACACCACGTGATGTCATGGTCGGCTCAACTGGCGGGGTCTATGGTCACCTTAACTACAATCACATTAAAATCAGAATTCGGACTCGATTGGATTCTATGGTCACCTGGACCCAATATTGGGACATCACGTGAGGTCATGGTTGGCTCAACTGGGGGGTCCTATGGTCACCTTAACTACAACAACCTTTATTTTAGATTGGTCGCACCTTCCCAAGCTTCGCAAATTTTGCAAATATCTCAACCTCCCTGGCCTGTCTTGTTACAGCATCAGCTGCCAACAAATCCCCCAAGCTGTCAACCTTTGGTATCACGACGCTGACACCTGCAGATGTCCCCCCCAATGCGAACCAGTATGCCGCTGCCTAGGAGGCGGATGGCCTGCGCGCGGAAGTTGTGGACATGCTGACGACGGAAAACGTCCTCTTCACCATGGCGGCACTGTGTGGTATCGCTAATGATAGCAGCACTGTTGCTTGCTTCGTAGGTGTGCTGCCCGGTCATGTCGGACCGACCAAGCCTACGGCCATGATCCATGGCATCTGGGACGTGTTCGGCAGGCGTGGTCTTACTAGTGACGACTTGATGATTCAAGTTAGCGAGTACCAGGTTGGCCTCTATTTACATATTCCCTCGTTCCCCTTCTCCTTCGAGGATACGTATGACAATAACCCAGTCGGGAATAATGGTTGTTTTTGAATCGCCATTCTCGTAGCCGATGCTGGAGAATCTGGTTTTGGAGCCTTAAAAGAAACGGGTGTGCATTTGAGATAATTGAAGTTTGTTAATTCGCAAGCAGTGTAATGAACGCGGCAAAGGGATAGTGTGGCACCGAGGAACTTGTAGCTCCCTGCAGTATTCGTTTCCGGGTTTAATTGTGTCCATATCCCTAATATCCCCCAGGATGTCGATATAAATCTCCTCTGTTTCATTGTCAATGTATTTAGGATCTCATACCACTCCATTTGCTCTGATCGAGAAGACTTCCCCGTCAGATGGAATGGTTGTGATCGAAGCTACAAGGTAGATTATATCGGATAGGTCGTCGTATAGCTGCCAGTGTGTTTCCACTCTTGCAGACGGATCTGAAGTGAGGTTTCTATCATATTCGTAGAAAATATATGCAGGAGGGTTGCAAGAACAGCTTTACTGTGTTTCTCTCGGTGGACCGGCCCTCCATATCGGGTTACGTTCAAGATTACAGGGTTGTTACCCAACGTCTGCTATCAATACCACGGTACGATAACAACCCAGCCTAGATCTATACTGTACGACATGATCTGCTTTAGATAACCTGGGCGGCATTATATTTTTCTGTATGCAACAGCTGGGCTGATGAACCCGAATATCTAGTTATGAAGCTAGGTGGAACGACTTACGGCCCTTCCCGAGCGAGTGGCCATAGGGTACAGCATATCAATCCCCAAAACTTCGTCCTCTAATGTTTCCTTTACTCAAATTACCCTCCCTTGACACTCAACAACCGATAGCTGGTTTAGATCGTCTTGAGGACTATTAGCTAGTATTTCGTCAATTGTGATGAACCTCGTGTTCGGATTCTCGACCTTATTACGCTTCTTAAGGCGCAGGTGCTCATTTTTGACTCTAGAGTTGTAACACGGCTACTTTGCTTCACTAACTGTTCTGAGTTATCGTTAAATGCTTGGCTCCCTTGCGTAGAAGTAGCCTAGTGGCCAGGGACGTATCCTTCGCCGAGTTCATGATTTGGCAGCTGTCAAATAGTGTACGGACTTCAAATAGACACTACTGTTCTTGTCTAGAATAATCAACAAATATCCTTATGTCTATCACCATACGTTATTAAGGCTTCTATAGGTTACAAAGCCTTATACTAGGAGGAGATTTGGGCTGATGATGAGCCACCTATGAGTTGTAGATCCGAAGACCTACTGACAATGGCTAGTTCATGTTTTTACAGGGGTGAAATGAGCTATCCTTAGCGTCAGCATTTGTTCAGGGGTTTACAGCCAGCCCTAGACGGAAAAGGAGCAAGCAGCATGCACAGGGTTTCTAGAGCTAGAATCGGATGCCATAGGTAGGTTCTGTTCTAGAGATATCCCCCGCCACTACTGCACGCGTATGAAAGCTAATTAGTTCAGGCTCTCCTCGGCCCACTATTCAGCGAATAATATTCTATGACTGTTAAGGTTCTTGATGTTTGAACATAAGCGAACTAATCGATTATGCGCAGATTGCCTCCGCCGCAAGTGGACCGTAATCTGACCAGGTACAAGACCGCTAACCTAGGACAAAACCTAAGGTCGTCGCGAAAGTTCAGCAGGTACTTCAAATATAACGTGGTCCAATATTTAACATATGTCCAGCTTATCCGGTAGCGATGCGGAAGCTTTTCACTTACATGCCCGTTTACTAATATCGAGAACGGGTAAGATTGAATTGATAAATTAATAAATATATTGAACAGAGAGTATACTTCATATAATCTGTATATATAGTAAAGACAATAGTATTACCGGTAGTAATAATAGGCGGACTCGTCTAGCTCTTCTTATATGTTTAGTACATGTTAGGTACTAAAACGGGGTCAGGCAGTAGCGAAGCTCCTACAAGCCTTGTGACTCTGACTACACAAGTTGGTCGGATGTGTCCTCTGATGGGGTGAATCTCAAAGTAGACGCTTGCCTCTGGGAGTCGAAATAAAGCTGTCACTAGCACTAAGTTGGTCTGTGTCACGACCTGGGTTGCATCGCATTGGTAGAGACCTCGATTAGGTGCTATCGACGAAGATTCTACTCTAAGGAGCGAAGGAAAGAAGATGACAACTTAGGTTTGAGGGAGCGCGACTAAGTCATCCACGCTTGGCGGGGCTCCTACAAGGGTTATGATTGGCTTCCCATCTGACACTGCCACGGCAGGTGTTCCAGCTGTAAGTCACCTGGTTGTAGTGAGTCTGCGAGGGTTGACCTTCACAGGAAGCATAGAATCCATGGATAAGTTATTCCAAGTTCGGATCATCCGGCAGGAGAAGAAGGTCAAATATATGATTTAATCAACGTGATCAATCGCATTGCCCCAAATTACTCCGGGGGCGACGAGTTCCTTTTAACCTCGACGTTTAATGAAGTGGTTATTCCGTTATAGGCCTAATAGTAATAATGCCTCTCGGCCTTTAGTATTTCTAGAGCGAAATCGATTACGAAAGCCTTGCTAGGAAGACTCTTGTACAGGTCTTCGAATACTATCTAGTTTAACATAACCTCCTCTTGCTCCCTAGGAAGCTTCTACTAGTCGACAGTACCGTCGTGATATGGCATGATCTTATTACGTCAGTACGAGAGGGTTGAAGGACTAATTCCGAACCGCGTGGCCGCCGAACTGTGAATATTCCCGCTATGGACTCGGTAGACAGTCCGTTCGATACGCTGCTTAGAAGCATTATAATTCCATACCGGGAGCTTAGATACTTTGTACGTAGCTGTCAAATTATGGCGTGTTGAAGGGGAGTTGCGTCATCATCTTTTTTTAGAATTGCAATTGAAATTGGGGGTGCATTCAAAAGGGTGGTCAATGCGGTTACTTCCAATTGATTCGAATGTAAATAGATGGGTCTGGTGCCTGCTGCATTTTGAAGCTTTGACTGAATCGATCGCTAGAAGATACAGATTGTGTTCGATTAAACCCGCCTCTGCTGACTGATAGACTTTCCCCATCAATGCGCCACCGTTCCGTTTTTTCCGTTGCTGGATCAATTGCACCCGGATTCATAACGCCGCGGAAGCCGAAGTCCAGCTCTACTTCAGATTGCCGCCGCGACCGAATCCGATGAATTCTTTGCACGCCAATGGCGCGACAACATGCGCAATGGCTGCGCCGTCTGATGAAAAACCTGTAGGAGAGAAGGAGCCTGTGCCTGATGCTGGATTGAAGAGTCTGGACCATTGTACGTCGCAATTCTGCCAACTTGTGTATCTGGATCATTGCACGGGGAAGTGGAAGGCGAAGCATGTCTGACCGAGATGGTTGCGTGCTACATCACTTCTGACCTGTCCGATATACCCGTCAAGCGCACGTCTATTATTCCATGGGACTGTGAAAGCGACGGCGCTGACGAGGTGCCAATAAACAGACAAACGAGCACTCCCTAAATGGCGCTACAACTTGCGACAGAGCACCCTGCCCCTCGTGCGATGGGAGACGCCCTACCTCGCCTGGATGCAAGACAAGCTGCGCACACCAGCCCTCGATAGCTACTTTGCAATTACGGCGAACCTGGGAACGCACACCTTCTTCATGATTGGGCTCCCCATCTTCTTCTGGTGTGGATTTGCGCCGTTTGGCAAAGCGTACGTCTCCCCGTGAACAAGCCTCCCACGATACTAGGGGCTGGAGAGTAAACATGACAAGAGTTGAATATTGACATATAGCGATAGACTTGTTCGTATGCTTGCCTCGGGCGTTTTCTTCAGCGGCTTTGTTAAGGACTTCTTCTCGCTGCCACGGCCGCTGTCGCCTCCGTTACACCGAATTACGATGTCCGACTCCGTGGCCCTCGAGTACGGCTTCCCATCAACGCACTCGGCCAATGCCGTGTCTGTGGCTGTCTACGGTATCCTGTCGTTGTATTCTCCCGAAAACACGCTACCGCCGACTTACAAATTCGCTCTCGAAATCCTGGCCTACTGGTACGCGGTTAGCATTGTATTTGGGCGCCTCTACTGCGGCATGCACGGTTTTTTGGACGTAATCGTGGGCAGCCTCATGGGCGCCGCTATCAGTCTCGTCGAGTTTTACTATGGAGCTGCTACGGATGCCTACTTCCTCGAAAGGACATTCTCCTCCATCGTCATGGTAGCTCTCGTCATCATCGTCCTCATCCGCATCCACCCTGAGCCCGCAGACGACTGCCCCTGCTTCGACGACAGCGTCGCCTTCGCAGGCGTCGTCGTGGGCGTGGAAATGGGCACCTGGCACCTAGGCCGCTCCTCCTTCGGCGCTATCCCCTTTGATGCCGCCGCCCTAGGCTGGGCCGTCGTCATCCTCCGCATCGCCGTCGGTGTCCCCGCCGTCGTTGCCTGGCGCGAGGTCGCGAAACCCACCCTTCTCCGCTCCCTCCCCCACTTATTCCGTTTCCTTGAGGTCTGGGGCGTCAACCTGCCCCGCCGCTTCTTTATGCCCGCCTCGGAGTATAAGAATATCCCGCTTCGCATCAAGGTCGACAACGTTATGCCTAATGTGAGCGATCTGCCGCGGTTCGTGAATTCGATTCGTAAGGGAGGGCGCGGTAGGTCCGTGTCTGTTGGCCCGCAGAGTGCAGCGGACGCGTATGAGACGCTTGCGTATAGGGAACGGAGGAGGAGGGAGAGTATTGGGAGTAACGGGAGTCATAGCTTGAGGAGCAAGAATAGCATTGCGGAGATGCGGGAGTCGAGCCCAACCACCGCGATAGACGAGCAGGGGGGCCAGAGTTCAGGGGTCAGTGGTGGAGTTGGGGGCCGGTTGAGTTATTATGAACGCATGATGGGTGAGGGTACGGTGATTGTGGGGTCCGCTTCACCAGGTGAGGAGAAGGATAGGCCTGAGGATCCGGAGATGTATATTGGGAGGCAGGATGAGCTTGGGGAACGAGAGGTTTTCTCCAAGTTGGTTAGGCCCAGGGTTCGGTATGATGTTGAGGTTGTGACGAAGCTGATTGTTTACACTGGTGAGTTGTTTTCGGTTGCATGGTTTTCGTGTCGGGTACAAGGGGGCAGAAGGATGTCTCGGTGTCAGAGTGCTGAGTGGTATACAACCTCTGGAGGTCGACTGGAACATAACCCCTTTCCCTTACTCAGACGGACGCGTTTTTACACCTGTCTATCTCCAACTCGATTACTGACAAAACTTGCAGGAATCGGCTTGGTAGCTGTCGATTTCGTACCCATCATGTTTGAATTTATTGGCCTAGGAGCCGCACATCTCGCATACAGCTGAGCAAAGCTGGGTTTGTTTCTATGTATTCGACCCCGTGTCGAACTTTTACACTGTATGAAAGGCATGGGATCATGCCCTCATCATCATTGTTGGCTGAGTGAGTGGGACATCGTGATGATAGATGGGGTTCCTAATGAATGTCATGGACTGAAGTCGACCTGGGTTTAATAGCTTGAGGGCTGGTTATGGGAAGGTCGGGATCGGTGGTTGTATATAGGACTGGTCTGGACTGGACTGCATGGACCTTGGTTCTGATTCTGTTGTGTCTATAGAAGTACTCATAGATCGAAGGTCTAGATGCTGCATCCGCTTTGGGGCTACTTGTCTTGGAAGTGTGCATTGCAAGCAACAAGGCTGGTTGGGGCGGCTCTTTGGGGTGGCTCTGACAGGACGAGCTTGCCTGGGCAGTAACACTCGACGTTACGTTAATGACTGATTCAAATGCGTACTCTACTTCCCCATAGAGCTATAATGTTGAATATCTGCTCAAGTAGAATTGTCGTCTAGAAGTCCCCGAATATATGGCGAACATATAATTTGTATTGCCCGTCCCACACGCGTTCATAATCCCAAATAGTATTCTGTTCTTCTATGTCTCTCCACCGTCTTGACGGAATGATACCGTCAGTCGACCGGACTTGGATTGGCTTCTTCTCCTTCCACGCGTGCCCTCTTCATCACGATAAGACAAAGTTGGCCTAGAAAAAGGCGGCTGGCGTTGATTTTAGTATTTGCATATGTTTCTTCACAGCCACTATTTCCGCGGGATATATAAACGCTTTCCTGCAAAAAGCAAGATTATTGTAGTTGGATCCTAGCCTAACATAGACCCTACCTGAATTTATGACGTGATCGACTTGTAGAGAATTCAGCGATTTAATCTGAAAAAGCTTTGAACGGATTAGGTCTTACCTGAGTCATGGAGAAGTCAGGAGCTGAAAGGAACTGAGTTAGCACAATGTGCGTAATCTAGTATTAGTAGTGATAGGGGAAGGAAACTCACGACCCGCCATCTCGAGCTTGGACATTTCTCTGGGGCCTGTCTCGCCTTCAGACAGTCCATTGTTCGGCTTGCCCTCTTCAGCAGCCCGCCACTTCCACACAGGCGTAAACTGATCGGGGATCCGCTCGATTTGGTTCTTCACGTGCTGCACGTTGTCATGTGTTAGACGTTGTCGGGAGAAGCATCCTATGGACAATACTTACCCGGCCGAGAATGGGCAGGAACTTGAAGGCGTGGCCACTGTGAAAAATTCACTTTAGTGGTTTGTTCTTGGGTCGATTGGGATATAAGCAAAACTTACCAGCCTCCGCTGCAGACGAACAACGAGTCGGAGTATCCGGGAACATAATCGACGACGAACTAGGGCGATCAGCATCATTCGTTATCCCAGGTTAGAGCAACTCACGTCCTCATCGATGGAATCGGGGTACCAGCAAAGCTGCTGATTGTTAACAAGAATACATATATAGTGCAAGCCGGGGGAAACATACTCTAGAATCCGTGAATCCAAGCTCCGCCAACTCTGGGAACGCTTGACAGACGATCTCCTTTAGTTTTGAGAGGCCGTAAAGAGGAACTGTGTTGATTGGATCCTTGCTGTACTTGGTCCGCGGAATGGAAACGCGCCTATCAAAACGAATGAGCTCGGATCCATGCAGCACACCATACAACTGATACATACAAGTTGGGCTCGGTTACATGGTCTTGGAAATTAGTAAACTACATGGAATAACTCGTTATTACTAGAAATCAAAAAGGGATGAAGAGTTGCTTGCCTACCTTGCGACCACGGAAGATGAATTTCAAACGACCTTCTTTGGAGATAGGGAAGCCACCACCGTCGAAGAAGCTAGAGGAAACCGTCAGCGGAAGAAGCGACTTTGCGAAAGGGGCAAATTATACTCCTCGCCTTCCCTAGTCCAGTAGCACCAGGCGGGATAGTTGTCGGAGTGGAACCTTTTCCACAAGTCTTGCCTATGCTTGGGAATGTCGATGAACATGACCGTCCCTGCGGTGGCCTCGACAATGTTGTGGGCTTCGGGGACGATGGATGCAGTCCAGCCACCGGCTACAATAGGGTCAGTCAGGACGTGTATGATGAGATAGAAGGCAGCTCGTACCAGCCACTATGACAAGATCGCCAAAGTGCCTCTTTCCATCGCAGGTTTTGATGCCTGCGACTCTCTTTTGCGTGCCATTAGATTCGATGATCAGGGTCTTGAACTGGCCCTGAGGCTCCCCCAGAACAAACTTGACGCCAGCTTGAACACAGAGATATCGAGCGTAGACACAGGCCTGATTGAAGCCTAGTTAGTGTTGAATTCGAACATGTTGAGTGATACCTTGGGGGCCATATACCTTGTCGGAGATGTTAATGCCTGCATTGATGTCCAGGAAGCCATTTGTTTCGCCATTGTTGATCCTGTCGAGCAAGTGGTATTTCTCGACCCATTTTGGGCTTATTCTCCCGAGACGCTCTTCATCTTCCGCGTCGTTCTTGAAGACCACTCCAGTTAACCAGCAAATCTCTAGCATTCAGGGGCGTGAGAAGAGGGGGGACGTATTACTTTGACGAATAGCATCTTCCGGAAGTCAGGAGCTGTCTTGGTCATTGTGTCAAGACTGTCTTTGTTTTCACCTTCCAACGTGAGGCCTTCTCCCATGAAATAGCATCCACAAACATAGAATAGCTTATCCTCGGGAGTGAGGCCTTGGGGGAGTGATGCCGGGTTGACTTCTTTGATGGTCTTGTCCCAAGCAAGCCACATGTCTCTAGCCTCGATGGCAAGTGACTGATAGCTATCGTTTTGCTTTAGTTATTGGGAAAAGGGGGGTTCAAACCTTTAGGTTTGTGGCAGCTTACTTGAGCTTATCTCCATAGGCCATTCGGAATATCTTGTTTATATCAGAAGATGCTCCGTCACAACCGTTGGCAGGGTTGTAATAATTGGTGTCAAAAGCACATCGATCAAAAACAGTAATATCCTTGTAACCATCCCGGGCAAGCCACAACGCGGTGCTTAAACCGAATACACCAGCGCCAACAATGATGATTTTGGAATCGGCCGACGGCATCTTGATAGAGTGGGAATCTGGAATCTGGGAATAACAGATACTTCAGTTACGGCTCAGGCAGGGTAGCGCTAGTTGTCGTCAAGAACATCAGTCTCGAGATTCAGCACTTAAGGGTTTGCTTAAATATACCTAGGTCATTCAGTGTTCGAGGAACATGCGGGGGCTTGGGTAGCTGTGGATACCTAAAGTTGGTAATGGGGTTGCAATGTGGCAATGCCATCGGCCCATGACCGTTCGTCGTATTGTTCCGAGATTGGGTCATGCCCACGCACCCTCTAGCCCGGAGTGCAGTTGATGAACATGTTGTTTACTCGGGAGAACTCGAGAATCCGTAAAGGCGCTCAAATATGGCATTTGCCCCCGCGCCCTGGCCTGGGAAATAATGGATCTCCGCCCTGACAGACAAGCGCCACTGATGCCAAGTTGTACGAATTCTTCCAAGTCATCAGAGTTCGAGGAAAGCGTATTAATCGCCCGCACCACCAGCCGTAGAGTCTTGGACATTGAGATCTAGTCCCTGTGCTGATAGATAAGGGCGACTAATGCTTGGACAAATTCTCCAAGTCTTCTGGGCACGACCTCGTGAACACACCTGCCACCGTTCCTCATTCACAATGCTTAAGTAGGTCCTCCCACATTGTTAACATTCCCCTCCTGTGGTTGCCGATCGAACCCGCCTCACCATCTTGCCGTCGTGTCTCATCCACCATCGCTCGATATGTCTGCGCCTTCTGCCAACATGGATTCCGGAAGTCGGCCTGGTCCTGTCCACCTCCAAAACATGGGCGCATCCATTGGAAACCTCGCCTACAAAAAGTCGGTCGACATGCCTACGACTTCGGCCGATGTCACGACTGGCTGCACCGTAATGTTTCCTCCCGGGACCGTACGCCTCGAGGATGCGACTGCCCCGGCTGGTGAAGGAATCATCTTGCAGCCACGCCCGTCCGAGGACCCCAACGACCCCTTGAACTGGTCCACGTGGCGCAAGTACTTGAATTTTGGACTCGCCAGTCTCTACGTCCTCATGGTGTCGGAGTTTATCAACTCTGCCACGCCAACTTGGGGCCCGATGCACACCGAGTTGGGCTTCAGCTACGAAATACTAAACGACAGCTACGCCGTTGGCAGTGCTTTCCTGGCCATTGGTGCTCTTGTCTTGGTTCCGTTTGCGCTCAAGTTCGGCCGTCGGCCATTATACCTCTTCAGCACATTAGTGCTGTTCGCCGTCAGCATATGGTCTGCCAAACTGCAGACTGTTGCAGATCTCATGCTCGTCAACGTCTTTTGTACCGCCTTCGGAGCTCTTGCCGAGGTTATCGTCCAGATGACGATCGCCGATGTGTTTTTTGTCCACCAGCGGGGAAAGATGAACAGCATATACATCTGGCTCTGGCAGGTATCGGTTTCACTTGGTCCGCTGATTGCTGGCTTCATCACAACCGGCCAGGGCTGGAGATGGGTTTGGTGGTGGAACGCCGTCTTCTTCGGCTTTTGCTCCATCTTGGTCGCCTTTGGCTACGAAGAAACCAAATACTGCCCCCCGAGTTTTCCTGCAGCGACGCCAGTGGAGGATAGCACCGCCGCCCACGACGAGCCCGAGGTGGATGTCAAGCCGGCCTGCAACTTGAAGCAAGATCTGCCTGAGCCTGGATGCGCCAAAGTAGCCGAAGAAGGGAGTCTGCGACAGGACATCTACGCCGTCAGAATCAACCATAACATCCCAATGAAAACGTACGCCGAGAAGCTGGCACTTAGTACTCCGTCGTCATCGGGTCAAGGTCTCAAGGGCTTCCTCCGCCACATGTATCAGCCTCTGGTCTTGCTCACAACTATCCCGGCTGTCGCCTACACCGCACTGGTTTATGGCATTTTGGTCGCGACGCAAGATGTCATGTCAACCACGTTTTCAACATATATGACGGAGCCACCGTACAAGTTCAACGCATCCCAGATCGGTCTCATGAACCTGCCCAAGCTGGCTGGGGTGACCATTGGGTCGCTTGTCGCAGGCCCGGTCAGTGATGTTATGATTCTCTGTCTTGCCCGTCGCAATAATGGCATCTACGAACCGGAACAACGATTGTGGAGCATCATTCCTTTCATTGCGTTTATACCTGCCGGTGCCTTGATGTTTGGCATCGGCCTAAACAATGGACTGCCGTGGCCTGTTATTGCCGTGGGACTTTTTCTCTACAAGCTCGGCATCGCCCCCATCAACAGTCTCACCATCACATACCTCACCGACTCATACAAGGACGTAAGTCGGCATTTTCTGCATTCCTACTACTGGCTGACTCGAGAATTACTTACGAACTTGTAGATCATTGGCGATGCGTTGGTGGGTGTTACGGTTGTGCGCAACACATTCAGCACCGTTTTCATTTTCGCCATCACACCGTGGATCGCAGCAATTGGTATTAAATGGGTCATTATTATCATTGTACTGATCTCAGTCGTCTTTCTATCCTTCACTGGTGTCTTGATTGTGTACGGCAAGACCTTTCGAGCTCGCACTGCTACGCGATATGCGTATTATGCAAGCCTGCAGTACAAAGAACGATGATTGGGCTGTTGCGAGGTTCGCACATCTCATATTTTCGGGAGCATGGAAGGCCCTTCTTTGTAAAGGATTGATGCTTTGACGTGTGTCTGTTTTTCTTTTGGTTGTTTCGTTTTTCTCAGTCGCAACTATACCAACCGCGTTGGCGAGTAGTGGGTCAAACTGCCGTTTTTTGGCTTGTCAGACCGACCAAAGGCTCCCGCAGAGCACTTTGACCGTCAATCGAAACCGCTCGCTTGGACAACACTTGTGGTTGTGATCTGTGATCTGGGTGGTGATACTCCACTCGGATTCTCCCGAGTAATCAATCATACGATACCCCAGACTCGTCATTTGACCCAGTTTGGAGCTTGCCTCTCGGAAGAATACGAGGCGCCAATCAGCAGCCCTTAGATATCCTATTGATAAACACTAAAGCCGACTAACCCCTCTGTTACTTTACGTTCATTGACAGGAATTCCCTGTAGTACCCGTCGGGACCATTAAAATTGTGTGCACTAGAATAACAGCGGGGTGGGCACAGAAGGTCTAGTGAAAATAGGGCAAAACAGCATGGACTGAAGCTGTCGAGGCGCTACTACAAGGGATGCAGGTATGGCTTCTATAAGTGTACGTTCCCTTTCTGCATTGATTTATGCTTAAGTATGCAAGCGTTTTATGCAAAACGGGGTGGGAGTTGGAGCTGGGGATCGACCTGGTCGTATACCCGAGATCGCTTTCCCCGCGCGTCGTTACGGCACCTCAATATTTGGGGAATGCCAGTTTCGTCAATCGTTCTGGGCCACGGCAGGCCACGGCCCCTTATCTCTCTTAGACAAGCTTAAATGGGAATTTAACTACTTAAGTACCTTTCGCTGAGTCCCTGTGCAAATACATGCTCGGGTAGTTGAAGGAGAAGGGACCTGGCTACAACGTGACGAGAGGCTGCACTACCCAACTATCTATCTACCGCATAGTCCTTTACCATGCTGCAGAACACCTGCCACAAACGCCGGCGTATACGCATTGGCCCCAGAACACAGCTTGCTTGTGTCAACTGCAAAGAAAGGAAACTGAAGGTGATGGTTCACCTTACGGCCTCCGCCTGACTGTTTCCTGATGTATTGATCTAGTGCGATGACCAAAGCCCATCCTGTGCAAATTGTCAACGTTCTGGAACGAGTACGTCGTAAAGTCCCTGCCGTCTTGTCGGGGCTTGCCTTTTGCTGATGCTGGTCCACAGGCTGTCTTGTTGAGGACCCGGCCACAAGACGACATCAGTCGCGGAATTATGTTGAGACTCTGGAAGAAAAAGTCGCTTTGCTCGAGGACCAGCTTCGGAGAGCTCATTCAAGAGAGCCAGATTCCGGCACGACAGCCCCAGCCATTGACAATGCACATCCCCTTGGACCAACTGCCTCGGGACCCACGGAAACCGAGGACAGTGTCGACGAGTTATCTTCCAAAGTTGGAATGCTGGCCTTCAGAGTGGATGGAGAAGAGCCTAGCTATTTGGGTTCATCATCGCCTTTTGCCTTTTCACGCATCATCCATTCCTCTCTTCGCCAACCGTTCCCAAGGAATCGTTCAGATACCTTTGGGCCTCCTCAAGACGACACGTCACTACCAACACCGTGTCTCTTACCGCAGTACGAATTCGGAATCACTCTTAGTAACGCATACTTTGAGAACATTCATGCCCAATATCCGTTCTTGCACGAGCCTACGTTTAGACGTTGGGAAGCAATGCTGGTAGGGTCAGCCGAAGCAGCCGGAGCAGCCGAAGCCATCGTCTTGGATCCCGTTCCTTACTTTTTTATAAATATGGTAAAATTCGCCCTTGCTTCAAGCATGTATGCTTCATCATTACTCACCAATCCAGGTATATGCTGTAGGAGCTCTGCTTTTACCCAACACAGGATCCCTACCCCAGGTAAATCCCCGAGACAGGTTGACCCCATCTGACGACGATGGCCGCTAAGAGCACAACAGCAATTTTACCTCTCAGCCCAGTTCTACATTGACTCTATCTTATCGCGCGACAATTTAGAAGCTATACAAGACTTGGATTTTATGTTCCCGTTGAAGGAGCAAAAGGAGGGCACATATGCCTAACCTGTATGTATTGTAGCTAACTCTGGTCCTCTCTTCGAGGGTCTATGTATGGAAACAAAAGGGTTCTTATATAGTCAATGAATGGTAGACTTGCTGATTAATTCAGACAAGTTGTAGAAGCATATAGATAAGTAGGGAATGTTCTATCCTTGCCACATTTCTCGTAATAGAGGTATGTGGGGATGGTCGCCGTTCTAGGTGGCGATAGTGGCAAGTATAGGACCCACATGGCCCACAGGGCCCATATTGTCCAACTACAAGCCATTCTATGCTATGCCATGTATTCTCTTCGGAGTTCCACAGGTCCGTCAATTTGGTCAGTCGCCCCTGCCATGATGACGGCCAGAGGAGACTAACATTTTCATCATGCCGCAGGAAGCTGTCAGGACTAGCACTCCGCCAATGCGTCGAGCTGGGATATCATCGAAGCTCGAAACGCTTCGGGTCGACTATAGACCCTTTACGACTAGAGATGCGCAAGAGAGTCTTTTGGTGCACTTTCGGTATCGAAAGCGTGGCTGCCGTTACACTCGGTCGCCCGTTGGGCTTACAACTTCAAGAAGTCGATGCTGAGGTGAGCAGCATCCCATCCCGAAGCATGTATCTCGACGACGGCTAAACCACCAGTTCCCAACTGATATCAATGATTCACAAATCACCGAAACCGGGATTTCTGGTACGCCTCGAAGCTCTCATAGCGACGGCCCTACAACCATGTCAACTGCGCTCCATGTCTTCCGCCTCCGTTGCCTTTGGGCTCGAATGCATACATCGCTATATTCAGATAAAACGACTAGGACCTCGGACGATCCGACTTACGGAATGCGTGTTGAGAACATTCGCTCCAAGCTTGACGAATGGATGGCTTCCATTCCCCCAATACCAACCCGCACCGGTGCTGCCCTGACGATATTTGCAACAAGAGACTGGTACGATCTCAATTTTGGTGAAACCATTCTCTTGCTTTATCGCGGCCAGTTAACAGGCAAGCGAGCTTGCGAAGACAGCGTATTCATAGAATGTGCCGCAGCTGCCGAAAATATTTGCCATGGATACCGACATCAATACATTGGGAAACCAATCAAACACACCTGGGCGGCTCTTTGTGTCATCTTCTCCGCTGGATTGACATATTTACACTGCCTTTGGACTTCGTCTGCGGTCCGGGAGGCTGTCTGGTATGATGGGATGAGCAGCACGCTTACGGACTGCACCATGCTTCTGGCGGTTTTGGCCGAGCGATGGAAGAGCGCAGCGCCGTATCGAGACATTTTTGAAGCTCTCTCTAACCGGACCATAACCATGATGGTGGATAGAAACCGTGAACAGTGGACACGGCCCGTCTCCTTCGTGCCGTCAAGTCCGGTCAATCCCCAAAACCTGACGCGGTGGGTGGCGGATATACCGGATGCGGGCATGTTGGACGGGACGGACAAGATATTGGAAGGATTGCTCGATGATTTCATTGCACAGGAGCAAGAGCCGGGGAGCCCAAGCAGGTTACGAGAATCACGACATGGAGACAGGAACGGGAACGAGAACGCGAATCCAGCTTAGAAGAGAAGAATTGACTCGTCTCACATCTTGCCGGCAGATATCTTCTGGCATTTATCTACATATATCTCGTAGTCCTTGCGATCTTGAGTCCGAGTATCGCGAAGGTTTATGGGAATTTAAAGGATTGTACTAGCAAAGATAAGTACCCCTTGCAGAGGTTGCATAACACTCACTACTTTGGTCCCTCATCTCCCCAATGAGTTATCTTCTACTAGCCCGCGCACGAATTAAGCTAATATTCTCAGCGTAAAAAGTCTTCCAAGCGAGCATGAAGCGGCATCGAACGCCGTGGTAATAATAACTGAGAAGCTTCCGGTCTGCTACTGCTCAGCACTTAATAACTTAGTTTCCCAGAATTTCTTGTGCAAAGGGAATCTCGTATTCTTCCGAACTGTGATTCACGGCTGCTGCTAAATGTATCCATTCCTCATTCTTTTGGGTGAAGAGGCCCGCTTGTTCACGTAGCCATTGTCCACGTGCATCGTTACATGAAACTTACTATGAGGTTCTCCCATCGGCTGACTTGTATCTATATGTTATATACAGAAAGAAGTGCAGGGTAAAGAAGGGGACGCAAGTGTTTGAAGCGATAGCAGAGTTTCTCCTGTAGTTATGTATAACTTGTTGTTGCTGATAGAAAATTCGAGAGGTATCCAAACAGCGTATTGACCAACCAGAAAATGCAATGATTTAGTGGTAAGGAAATACAAGGCTCCGCCAATCTGGAATTTTCCAGGCACGCTTTCTAGCTGATGTCATCTCTTCCTTGTCCATTGATCGATACGTGCCCCAACATTATTCTCGAGCCATGCCTCGATCTAGTCGATATTAGCCCATTCCAACCGTGGTAGTGTCTTTCTCATTATACGAATCTGACCGGATTTAGCCCCCAGCTAGCCGAGGAAGATCAAAAGCAGCGAAACTCCTCCTCTCAAGATGTACCTGCGCCAATATGGGTTGTCCTTCAGGATATTGATGTTCATCCCGAACAGGCTCTGGAGCATATTACTAGCAACTGTGTCGAGTGGCACTGTTGTACGAAGCGGAGAATAACACAGTTCGATGCCAAATTGCCGGGAGACAGCCGGAGATGCCGGTTAGAATAAGGCTTGGGCAAAGTAGTAAGCCGGGACATACCGTAATCCAACTATCCACAAGGCTGGTGAAGTAATGGGCCTCGAGAATTAAAGAAATCCATGAAAATTCCTAGGGTGGGACTCTATCTCAGTCTGTTTCACGAACGCGTTACTTATCGATCAACTTACTAGTTGCAGTAAGTCCCGCGTGGTCTGGTCTATAGCCGCGATTCTGCTGTGGACGTGTTGTATAAATTGTCGATGGATATTGATGCCTGTTTAAAGCTGTTGATGTCCCCAAATGGCAGCTGTGCGACTTGAGGATCTCATGAGCTGTATATAAATGCTGTTTTCAGTGTCACGCTGAATCTTTCTCAAGTTTCGGCATCTTACGCTATCTCGTTTACCAGTTGGTCGCTTGGCTCTTAGCCCTGATCTGGCGGACACGCTATGGATAGCCCGTGTTAGATCAGTATGGGGCATCATAAAACGAGAGAGTCGAGTCAATTCCAGCATATCATGGATATGTGTTGATCCATGATATTGAAAAATGACAGCCACTTTTCCTCCAAATGAATGCGAGACTTTCCTATAATCTGGAATACATCCATATGGAAGGGTGCTAGGATGTTTCGTCTTTCTCCAACGTGCTGATGTTGTCGTAGACCTGATCATGGTCCAAGATATGCCACCATGGTCGGTTTCTATGCCATCAAATAAGAAGTCTCTCCCACAGGGACGCTTGGCGGAGAAACGGAAATGTACCTTCAGCACAACGGTCTGCTCTGACCAGGATGTCCCCTCAGTCCAGAAACAAGGTCTTGTAAGTTGCGCGCCCCGTAGCGCAATGATTGTAATCAGGACACAAGTCTTATATTATTATCGGATGCAGCACAACAGAAACAGCGCTAGATGACTCACCATCAGCCTCACCCCATCTGTCGTATTGGACTTGTTGCAAGCTATGATAAAGTATAGTATTGAATGTGTCTCCGGTGAAGCCAGAATTACCAAAGAGCACAATGGGCATAAGGGCTTTTAAAGAACATCAAGTCATGCAAAGACAGCGTACATTTTGTATGATAGTATGGCTGATCGGCGTGACCGAAGATACTGGAGGTCCGGTCAAGCGGCTGTTATAGTTAAGAAACTCTAAATCAGCCGTCGGGCACCGTAGAGCCAGAAAAGGGGCTGGTGCGGTTCGATAACAGTACCAGGAAGCAAAGTCGACTCTGGCAATCCAAGGCCCCGAGCGGTTTTGTATGCGAGCTCTGAAGGGATGAAACGGGTGCTGCGGTCGAAAACAGCCGAAATTTCGATTGGTCAATTGCTTCAATCCGCACAATGAAACGGGGACTGCAAGTGATTAGGTCCAGAGAATATGAGATCTTCTTTGACTCTGAGGAGAATGCTGCGCTTGGGAGAAGAACCTTTTTTTTTTTGGTGATATTCGACTGCTATTATTATTCCACTCAGTGGCGCAAAACAAGCTCATTAATTCACCTAAGTTTGAACAGTTGTAGTTGCTCCGGCCTTGTGTTGCAGCTTTTCTGTGTCGGTATGTTCTGGTTCGCCCCCGAGCCCCCCGAATGAAGCTAGGCAAAGGCGGCGAGCTGCTTTACGCAACTCATCGGATGTGCCATATATTACTGCCGTTCTTTCTCTTCAAGATGCTTCCGAGACTCCTTATCCTTCCACCTTAGGGTTAGCCTAGCGGTGGGGTTGTCTATATCTTGTTTCGTTTTTCGCATTTGGTCCCTAGTGTTGGAGTAAGGCATGGCTACTTCGGGGAAAGGACTCGTCTCAGTATGGCTTTGTGAAGTGTTTACTAGTGTGCATCTAGGCTGGAGCTACAGCACGCCAGTCAGATGTTTGGTAACATAAAACCCGCCAAGGTCTTGCTGTAGCAATGTGGTGATATTTACCTGTACCCATCGTCATTATTCACTTCCTGTTACACCCATACCCAAGATGACCAGCACAAACAACAGACCGTTGCAAAACCAATCGGTTTCTGAACTTGTCCATCTCTTCAATAACAAGTGCATCGAAAAGAAGAAACTGGGAAGCTATGGCGCCTCGACGAAATTCCGTGACAACCCCGACGATGATTACTGGAGAATGCCAGACACCTTCCTCAAGGACCCAGCTCCCAGGGACGAAATCGATGATCTCGACCGGCGAGCTCGGGAGCCCCCTTTCAACTTCGCCAATGGGCTGCCACCCGACTACCTGGAGTTCCTACGAACAACCAATGGCATCTATGCAATCGATAGAGCCGACGACGGAGATGAGATCTTCCGACCAGCCCATCTGGTCGAGCTCATGGACGAAGAAGACTGGAACTGTGAGCTATTGCCAAAGGAAATGCTCGAGGACTGCGATGTTGAGATTGACTGGCCTGAGCTGAACGGTCTCATACATATCGGTGCGGGAGGCGATGAAGGATATCACTGGTTGGTGTCGCCACACACGACGAAGGCGGCCATCGCAGCGTTCGATGATGCTTACGACAAGGCAAGCGACGCGGACAAGGAAAAGCTTGAGAAAGCCGCCAATGAGCTGTACAGTGGTCTGACGGAAATGAGAAGGTTGGAATACTCCGTGTTCCGGGTTTACCATTGGGCGGCGCAGATTGAAGCATTTGCGTCGTTCAAGCACTTACTTGAGGATTTTGTGACTGGGATGGATGAAATTAAGGAGGAAGATGACGATGAGGACGAAGAAGGAACTGAGAACGACGATAGTGACGAGTCTGCGGACAAGGAAACATAACAATCTGGTTGTATGTCACTATGCTCATTCATTCATTCATTGCGTGACAAAGCTGTAAAGGGCATTATCGAGTGACATCTCATCTTACTTAATTCCGAATAACCGACATGTAATTTCTGTACGCCATTGTATGACAGGTGCATTATCTCGCGACTTATAGTGTCTTCAAGCGGAGACAATTAAGGAACCCAGGAAATAAGGACCATGACTTGATAATCATCCAGCTCAGTGATTGGGTATATCTCGGCACAAGACAGGCCCTGGATGCAAGCTGAAAACGCACCGTTGCCAGTAACTTCGATCAGTCGACCACTGTAGTTGCCGACCATGGCCGATTTCGTCGTGACACATCAGATTGCTGCACAAACATGGAACTTTCCACAAAGCACTAAGTATGGTCACCACTCGTCTTACTTGCAGCCCAAATCCGTTTTACCCGTTATCTTCTGAAGTTTTGTTACATTTTACCTCTGAACTGTGCGGAACCAGCCTGGCGTGCTACTCGCTGAAGTCATCAACAGCATCCCATCATCGGAAAACCCGAGATCTCGGGTCGAATCCTCAACCCTGACGACGGGCATTAAGCAGAAGAAGCTGGGTTCCATGACAACCTTAATCGCACCACGGAGATCGGAAACCACGGCAAGCAGTGTGCCCACACCGCAAGCGCCTGGGAACGAGCCTAGCTTCTCCGCATTTATCCTGGGAATCGTTCCTCATTATGGGGTCAATACAGTATACGTCCCGAGGTCAGGATGAACCGGCAGTTCAAACAGCCCCTCACTCCTGAGTTTGATTCAGGCAAAACGGCACCGTGCGCGTCAGATCCAGCATGTTTGCGATATGACAGCGACGTCGGGCATTGATTCGTGCGCCGGTATAACAAGCGTTGTTCCTCTGTCGACTTGTTGGTGGAGTTTTGAATCGTAGAGTGGCATTTCATGATCTCACTGAGTCCGCACAGACAGCAGCTTGACTTCCAAGAACAAAACACGTACTGCCTTCAGCAATTCCAGCAGACTCATCACAGAAGATGGAATTCTTTAACATCATTGACGGCAAGCCTCGTACAGCTAAGGAATTCCGACAAGAGTCAGACCCTCGCACCGAGGATAAACTATGGGATGCCCCCGTCGCGACGGTGCAGGACCTCGATGATGCCGTCGCTGCAGCCCAGAAGGCGTTCAAGACGTGGAGATGGAGCACCGTTTTCGAAAGGCAGAAACTCATCCAGGCTGTCACTGATCTGGTGACCGAGAACCTGGAGCTCCTAGCCGAGATTCTCATGAAAGAGACGGGCAAGTCGAAATTGTTGGCGACAATAGAGGTGGAGAGGGCAGCCGCGCACTACAAGTACTACAGTAACCACACCCTTCGCCATCCATTCTTACCTAAAATGCGACTTGCTAACACACTATCCAGCAAAGGTGGCCCTAGAAGACGAAGTCCAGTTCGAAGACTCGTCCGTCAAAATCCTCGCCACCCATGCCCCCTACGGCGTTATCGGCGCCATCTCGCCGTGGAACTTCCCCCTGATCCTAAGCACCATCAAAGTCGTGTCCGCTCTAGCGACAGGCAACTGCGTCATCATCAAGCCATCCCCTTTCACGCCCTACACCATGCTCAAGTTCTGCGAGCTGGCGCAGTCGATCTTGCCCCCCGGCGTCTTCCAGACGCTCAACGGCGGAGCCGACCTCGGTGAGAAGATGACGCTGCACCCAGGAATTTCGCACATCAGCTTTACGGGCACCATTGGCGTCGGAAAGCGCATCATGGAGAATTGCGCCAAGTCGCTGAAGAAGATGATTCTTGAGCTAGCAGGGAATGATGCCGCTGTTGTGTGCGAGGACGTTGATCTGGCGGAGGTGGTGCCTAAGATTGCGGAGGGGTGTCTGTATCACGCGGGTCAGATGTGTGTGGCTACGAAGCGGGTGTACGTGCACGAGGAGCTGTTCGATCAGTTTCTGGAGATGTTAGGTGAGGAGGTCAAGAAGTTCGCGCCGAGTACCGATGCGTACGCGCCGTCGATTTACGGTCCGCTGTCAAATCCGATGAACTATGAGCGGTGTCAAAGTTTCATCGACGATTGTCGGAAGAACAACTACAAGATCGCCGCAGGTGGGGAAAGCAAGATCAGCGGGAAGGGGTACTGGATCGCGCCAACGATCGTGGTTAAGCCTCCGGAGGACTCGCTGGTTGTCAGTGAGGAACAATTTGGTAAGTGATCCCCATTTGATCCTAGACCGTCGAAGTGTCTAACGACCAATAGGCCCCATCATCCCCGTCATGACATGGAGTAGTGAGGACGACGTCTTATCCCGAGCCAACCTCGACAACGCTGGCCTTGGAGCGGTGGTGTACAGCAAAGATTTAGACCGTGCTCAGAGTCTGGCCCGACGGTTGGAGGTCGGCACCGTCTGGATCAACACGCCCGCTATCCCGCATCAAGGCGGCTTTTTCTCAGGGCAGAAGCAGAGTGGTGTAGGAGGAGAGCTGGGCAAGCAGGGATTGTTGTCGTATTGTCATACACAGTCGATACTGATCGCCAAGTAAAGAGGTGGGAGTCATGTGTGTCAATAGGTGAATTTTCTCGTCCATTGCTTGGCTGGTAGATCTGTCTATATATATATGTATTATCATAACAGTTAGATCAACTCTAATCCCGCTGGCAGCCCGGCCCCACCGACTCCTACTTACTGCCCACCCCTCTCCTCAATCTCCACCAACTGCCCCGCCAAATCCCCCAACGTCTCCTCCGCCCCCCTAAACCTCAACCCCAATACCTTCTCCGCCTCTGCACTACTTGCCCTATACAAACCCTCGGGAACCCCCGATCCCCCCACCGTCCCCTCAGGAATAACCCCCCTCTTCTCAGGCAACTTCTCCCTCAACAAATCCGCGGTCCTTTGTCCCATCAGACTTCCCCCACATATCACGAACCTCTTCCCGCCCGCGTCGGGGATCTCGGCCGCCAACAAGTGCGCCTTGGCAATGTCCCTGACATCCACATACAGATGCAATCCCATCTCCGGGACCGGGTCCGTAGATTTCAGACCCGGGCGCAGGAAACCGTTGTAGATGACCCAGGTACTCTGATTCAAATCCGCCGGCTTCCCGAATTCAGCGGGGTCGTAAAGCGGGCCGTAGATCATAGGCGGGCAGAGGGTGACCAAATCAAACCCCGGCTTCTCCGCCCCCTGCGAAGCACCAGAAGCATTCACGAAATCCCACGCCGCCTTCTCCGCATACGTCTTGGAAGCCTGATACGCCGTGTTTATGACCTTGCTCGTCTCGGCGTCTTCCAACGAAACCGGATTCCAATCCTCCCCCGTATAAATTTTCGCCGGCGTTGTGATCTTAGGCGCGGTCCAATCAATAACCGCTGCTATGGAACTCGTCAATACCACCCTCTTCACGCCCGGCGCCACCCTGGCAATGCCCTCCAACACCTCCGTCGTGCCCTTGATGGCCGGATCCAAAAATTTCTCTCTATTTGAGGACCCGGCGGTTTTGCGGTAGTTGAAGGGGGAGGCGGTATGGATTACGCAGTCGAAGGGGGGGTCGGATTGAAGCACGGCGTCGAAGGCGCCGGGGATGGTCATGTCCGGGACTAAGGCCACGTCGAGTTGTGCAAGGGAAGAGGAGAAGGTGGATTCAAGCTGCGCGGCTTTGGAGGCGGTGCGGACGAGGCCACGGACGGAGTGTCCTGCGGACAGGAGCTGCGAAAGGATGTGTTGGGCCAGATAGCCGTTGGCACCTGTGAGGAGAATGCGTTTGGGAGACATTGTGAGGGGTCTTAAGCAGTCTGATTGCTTGGACGGGTTTTAAAAGTGAAAATGGTTAAGGCCTGGTGATAGTTTTGAGGAATGAAAATGAGATGAAGTGATTGTGATTCTAGACTTCTAGATACCCTCAACCCACTGAGGCGACTCATATTATATATAACTACCTACCACAAACCCACCAACTCGCATGACAAGTGTCCCGAAATACGCGCCGGCGATGAGGGGAGCAGCAGCAGAAGCGGAGCGCGAAGTCGGAATGGAGCCGAGAAGTGGAGCAACCCATCGGCCTTGACATTCCAGGGCGGTACTCGTCGATCAGTTGCTACGAGCATAGCTCATTGGTGTTGGAAAGGGCTGCAGTAAGAAGAGTCCTCGGGGATCGTTTTCTCGATGCCAAACGCACCACGTCAAGAACTTTGCACAGTCGCCTTTTTGGCGTTAAAGGGTCAACATTGAAACGTTCCCAATAATGCATATCAATTCTTCATTGAGCCCTCTGATTGGTCTATTCCTGTATGTATTTTTTGAGACCCCTAAGTCTCTCCTTGGCCGTCTCGAGGACCTCGTCCTCCTTGCACACGGCAAACCGCATGTAATCCTCAGCCAACCAGGCATTGGGCTCCGTGTAGAATTCCGTCGGAGGGATAGCAGCCACACCCACCTCATGGATCAAGAACCAAGCCAGCTTAAAGTCCCGCGGCCGACTGGCAACGTGGGGCGGGAAGGGATAGTTCTCCGGTAGCTTGATCTTCTTCGTGTTGACCATGACAAAGTATCCGCCCTCGGGATCCGAGTACGGCAGCCCGAGCTCATCCCAGACTTCGTTGAATCGCGTCATCTTGCCCTTCATTTCTTTGACTGTCTCGTCCCAGAATCCTTCTGACTCAGCTTGTTCGAAGCCAACGGCACATGCCTCCTGAAGGGGCGAGACGGAGGAGTAGCAGATGCGGGTGTGGGCGGCAGACACGTATTGGATCAAGTGCGCAGGGCCCACCAGCCAGCCGACTCGCCATCCGGTTGCATAGAAGTTCTTGCCGGCGGAACCCACGGTGATGGTCAGTTGCTCGATTTCAGGAGACAGCGTGGCAATCCGCGTGAAGGGTACATAGTACAGCCGGTCGTAGACCTCGTCCGACAAAATTATGACTTCATGCTTGACGCATAGGTCGCCGATCCTTTGAAGCTCCTCTTTCGAGTAGACCTTGCCAACCGGGTTGTCTGAATTTTGGTTAGTGGAATAACTCCCGACATACTATAATGTGCTTACGTGGCGTGTTTAGCACAATCATCTTGGTCGTCGGAGTTATGGCCTTCTCCAGCTCATTGAAGTCCACCGTCCACTCAGCTGCAGACGAAGTCTTGGTTGCGCCGTCCTGGGGAGGATGCATCGGGACATAGACAATTTTGCCGCCGGCCATCTCAATGTTGCTGATGTACCTTGGAAAATGTCAGCGGTAGCACCGGCATCCAGAGGTGAGGACTTACTGATCGAAGAAAGGCTCGAAGATGACGACTTCGTCACCGGGTTCGATGAAAGCCATAAAAGCGCTGAGCATGCCTTTGCAAGTCAGCTGGTCGCTCATCGAGCCCTCGAGATGATTCTAACCTTCGTTTGCACCTGTAGTGATCTAAGAAAACCGTCAGTTCTTGCCATTTCAGGGTTGATTGATAATTCCAAATGGTGTACAACGAGGCAATCCCAATACAAATCAAACTGGAATTAAGGAATTAAAAGGGATCGTTGGCTCACCGTGACTTCCGTCTCTGGGTCTAACTTCCGGCCCCAGAATGGAGAGTAAGCATCCGCAATGGCTTTCTTTAGACGCGGCCTTCCTTTGGTCGGACTGTACTGATTGCAGTCGACTCGATCCAGGGCCGACTTTGCCGCAGCGATGATGAAAGGGGGCGGATTGTAGCCGAAGAAACCCTGACCCATATTCACGATAGGCTGCTTCGGCGATGCCGCCGCAGCTTCGTTGACGATTGACCTAGTTACGAGTTAGTCCACAATAGCAGCATCTGAACCGGACCACCCGTTTCCACTCACCATACATCCTGTCTCTGGCCAGCCACCCGAGCGGCGGGCTTCAGCTTAGCCGGAAGACCTGTGGCCATGGTAGAGCTCAGACGGCGAAGAGGGCCAGAGGACGAGCTGATTGATGGGATTTTCCGTGAAGCAATATTTTGGCGGTAGATACTCAGCTTTAGAAAGGGTCTCATGGAGAACGCTGACGCCAGCTGCGATGTGTGACGATGCGCACCTTTTGTACACCAAACGCTCTGACGCTCTGGAGGGTATTTGTGCGTTATCTGGGAGGTTAATTTGATGTTGTTCTTATCAACTCCGTGATCGGTGCAGTGAATTATCCAGCAGGACGGACAGTGGGTGACTCGTGAATCTGGATAGAAGCTCGGGCCCTCCAAGTGCCCGTAAACGTTAATTGGTTCCAGGGTAGCTTGGCATGCTGGACCCTCGACGTTCCCTCACATTCTAGCCTCAACATCTTACAAGTTGCGACAGCTTCACTAACGAGCAGCTCTACCCCTCCAATGCGCTCAATAATGCTCTCTCAACGACTACCTCCACCATCGTAACTCCTCAAACAATGGCGACCCTGAAGCCACATACCGCTCCTCCCACCTCTTCATCTGCCGCCCCACCCCTCGCCCTAACCATCCGCTTCAGCGCCTCAGTCCCAGACCTCGACCTCGACATCCCCTACCCGTCCACCACAACCGTGATCAGCCTGAAACACTTAATCCGATCACGGCTCACCGAGCCCAACTCCCAGCGCCGCCTACGCTTCATCCAAGCCGGCAAGATCCTCCCGGACGGCGCCGTCCTCTCGTCCGTCTTACGCGCTCCGTCCGCGCCTCCACCATCCGATGCCGACTACACCTCCAGTAGAGGGGGATCAGGTGGAAATGGAAGTGCAAAAGGAAAAGGCAAAGCCGTCCTGGGTCGCTTGCCGGCACTGCGCATCTACGTAAACTGCAGCATAGGTGACTCGCTGACCTCCGTCGAGCTCGAGGAAGAGGCTAGGGCGGCGGCTGAGGTACCGCCTACCACTACTACCGCCCACAATCCTTCTCCCACAACTACGTCCTCGCTCGCCACATCCCGCCCCGCAGGCGCAGCTTCCCTGTCCCCTCTCCACACCCCCGGCACGCCCATCCGCTCCACAACAACGGCCCCCCGTGGTTTCGACCGCCTCCTCTCCGCCGGCTTCAGCACAGCCGAAGTGAACCAACTACGTCTGCAATTCCGGTCAATCCACAGCAGCCGATTCACCCCCGATACGCTACCATCCCCCGATTCGTTCCGGCGGATGGAGGATGCCTGGATCGACGATAACGGGGGTTCAATGCCGACTATGGGCTCCGGAGGGAGCGGAACGGCAACAACAGCAGGTGGGTTCGACAGCGAGGATGTTGGGATAGCGAGTCATATCGACGCGCTTATATGGGGCGTCATGACGGGGTTCATGTGGCCCCTGGGGAGTTTCGGGTGGTTGATGCGCGAGCCGGGGTTACATAGCGATCGGTGGCGGTTTATGGTTGGGGTGGGGTTTGTGTTTACGCTGTTGATTGGGATTGTGAGAGGGATTTCGGGGGATAAGTGATGAAGTTGGCCTTGAGTGATATCAGACGCAAGAGGGAATGTTTGATTTCGAGGAGAGGTGAGCGTTTTCATTGCATAGCGTTGGCGTTTCGAGACTCGCTTCCAGTCGAGTGGTTTTGGCTTGGGTCGGATTCAGAGATCAATGCGACGGTGGAGATACCACACGACTGCAGCACATGCACTTTGTTTTGACGTAAACCAACTGTCACGTTACAGCAGAAACCAATGCAGCCGTTTGCATCGGACCAACCCGGCCGCGATGCTGATATGAGCTATCTAATCCCTACATATTCGAAGACCTAGAGAGCCGATAAGTTGGTCAATTTAGGACAAGAGATAAGGCAACGCAATTAGTCCAATGCCAGTCCGTCTCTCGTCTTCAGTCCTCAAAGAAATGGTATTTTGCCAACCAAGTAATCAAACTCCTAAGGAATGCAATCCATGAGCGTCCACTTGCTCAATAGACCTCTTACGAAGCACAAAAAAGGCCCTCGGAAAGAACAAGCCCCACATCGCGATGCTGAGACTGAGTTGTACAGAAACACTACTCGTTAAGGAAGCAGTTTTACAGATACAAGCTCTGAGCCGCGACGATGTCGCGTCTGATCTTGGTCAGACTCTCCTCGAACTTGTTCGTCAGCTCCTCACTACCCATGACCTTGCCAGCTTGGGCCATCTGGCGGAGAAGTTCTTCGAGACGACGGAACAGACGAATCAGAGATCCTTCGTAAGCATTCGTCATTTTGCTGCAAGGTGTGGTTAGCGTATGTTGACATGATTGATGACTCCGTCAGATTATCATGTCCCTGTGAGGAATCAGTCTCACTGTGTGCAGAAGTAACGTACCAGATCTCAGCAAATGGGCGCCCATTGGCCCAGGCATAGACTGTCTCCATCAGCTCCCACTTCAAGGACGCAACATAGTCTTCCTCGTTAATCTCCATCTTGCTTTCCTGTCCAACCTTGGCGACAATTTTAGCTTGGGCCTTGATCTGCGCATACGGCTTTGCAAGTTCATCCTTCAATGCAGTGGCCTCAAGCTTCTCATCGAAAATGAAGCAACTCAGAGCAGCAGCGCATACTTCGGGACTCATTTCGTTGAAGAAACGGTTGAATAACAACTCAGAGAGCACCAGCTCGTGGCCTTCAGTTGACGAAATCTCACATGCCACACGTGCCTTCATCTGCACGACGTCCTTATCATCAATGAAGCCAAGTCGACGAAGGACACGTTTTCTCGACTTGAGTTCGTCAAGCTGAGCAATGCTATGCGCCTTGGCGATTTTCTTCTTATGAGCTTTGACTTCCTCAGCAAGCGACGTCTTCTTCGAGAATTTCTCCCACAGACTCGGGAGAAGGGGCGAGCCATGTAACGGGTTGGAAAGAAGGCGGGACTCCAACACCTCGATCTTACGGAGCAGCTTCTGAAACGAGTCATCCGTGATGCCCATATTCTCGATAGGGTCGAGAATGGGGATACCATCAGGGAAACGGCGCTCAACCTCGTTGAGAGATTTGAGAACCTGCTTGCGGACTTCCTCAACATCCTCCCTGGTCTTGACCTCCTTCGGCATGAAGACTCGAATCTGGCTGATCGACTTCACGGTGTTGAGAAGGCACGGCACCGCTTGGAAGTTGCCATGACGCGCAGGAGTGCGCGGCAGAATACCGTCGGGCATCGCGTTCGGAGGTTGTGTGCGCGGTGTAAAGGGCTCGCTCCTCGAATCAATGTGCAGGTAGACGTCAACAAAGTACGACTCTTGGGGCGTAAAGTCCTTGTCACCGAACTTGGGCGGTTTACGCGCGGTGAAGTCAAGGACCACACCCCAGCCAAAGTCCTGACCAGTCTTAGGATGAACAATCTGAACAAGTCTGCCGGGTTGCAGGTACTCCAGACAGTGGTTCGGATGTTGGATGACATGGACCATGTCCTTGGTGTAAGTTGCTATTTGCTGCCGCAGTCCGTGGTATTCCTTGACCGTGGCCTCGTCAGGAATGACCATTTCATCCTTCTCCTTCTGGAGGTTCATCAACTCCTGCTCCAACCCAGCAACACTAGCACTGTTTTGGAATTGGAAAAAGCAGTTCTCCAGCATGAACTCGGGTGAGATGGCTTCAATCCTGAGCAAGTTCAGAACCATGTTGTAACCAAGATGGAACTCGGAGTTGAGGCGATCTTGTTTACCAATGACAATTTCCTTCGCTGTCTCCGGTTCCAACTTGTCGTCAATCATCATAATGACGATACCGCGTTCGTCGAGTCCTCTTCTACCAGCTCTGCCGGCCATCTGGATATATTCGGAGGAGGTCAGTGGTCGACGCTTAATCCCATCAAACTTGGTCACTTGCGTGAAGACGACAGTTTTTGCGGGCATGTTCAGACCAATGGAGAATGTTTCCGTTGCAAACAGAACCTTGATCAACCCTTCCTGGAAGAGAATCTCGATGGTTTCCTTGAGAATGGGTAGCAAGCCAGAGTGATGGACCCCGATGCCCTTCTCGAGAAGCGGCAGGATATTGGAGATTTGGGGCAGCTCTCGATCCTCTTCAGCCAGTGACTCGATTGCACTGATGAAGACTTTGCGGACCATGGCCTTTTCGCTGTCGTCGTTGAAGCTGAATTTGGAAGTGAACAGTGCCATCATCTCACAATCACGTTTACTAAAGTTGAATACGATGACGGGGTTGAAGTTCTTCTGCATAACCATCTTCACGATCTTCTGGATGTCGGCATTGCTCTCATCCTTGCCGCCCTTCATGGTCTTCTTGTGCTTGCCCTTGCCTCTGGTCTTGGCATCGATGTCATTCGCGTCAGCTCCCTTCTTTTCCTCAATCATCGTCATTGTTTTGTTGAAGTTATTCTCGCGGAAGACGCCCTTCTCGTCAACCACAAGGAAGATGCCGGTTCCACCAGACGGGAAAAAGTAGTTTTGAAGAGGAGTGGGTCGGAAATCGGTGTAGACGACATGGCAGGCTTGCCTGTGGATCTTGGCAATCCATTCGGCAAATTGGAAGGCATTCGGGATGGTGGCAGACAGGAAGACGTATCGGACCTTGTCAGGAAGAAGGATGATGGTTTCCTCCCAGACTACACCTCGAATCTTGTCTCGCATGTAGTGAATCTCGTCAAAGATGACCCAAGCCACCTCTCGCATGATCTCTGAACCCCGGTATAGCATAGAGCGCAGAATCTCAGTAGTCATGACAAGACAACTAGCGGTCGGGTTGATTGTGACATCTCCAGTCATTAATCCGACATCACCAAAAGCCTCGTTGAACTCTCGGTACTTCTGGTTACTCAGGGCCTTGATGGGACTCGTGTAGATAACTCGGGTGTTCTTCTTGAGACATTGCGCAATAGCATATTCTGCGACGACAGTCTTACCGGCACTCGTGTGGGCCGATACCAAGACGCTCTCGTCTCGCTCAATTGACGAGATGGACAGACGCTGGAAGGGATCAAGGGTGAAAGGCCAGGTGCGAGCGGGTTCCTCCGGAGGCTTGTGCTCTGAAAGCGGCACGTATTCGTAGTCGAGGTCGGGCGGAAGGGCAACCTGATGTTGGATGTTGTGCGACAATACGAGCGATGTCTCTTCTTTCTCGGGAGGCGCAAAACCTGCAGCAGCAGCTACCTCTCTTGAGGCGGCAGTCTCGAAAGTGTCGGTGAGTACTGGATCTGCAACATCGTCCTTCCGTCTGCGCTTGCTGTCGAGATGTTCATCGGCAGAATTCTGCTCGCCATCGGCATCCGCCTCGGGAGAGATGGGCTCGCCTTCATGACCATCCACCTCGGGTGCAGACGTCGCGGGGACTGCGTCGTCGGTGGCGCTATTCTCTAGAGCCTCGCGCGCCTTGCGCTTCTTGTTCTTCTTCTTTTTCTCCTTGGTTGCCTTCGCTGGGGGTGAAGTTTGGGGCTCGTCCTTCAGATTGGACGGCTGGTCGTCGAAAACGTCGAATAGGTCATCCATCTTGGCTGCCTTTTTACATGCCCTCGACAGGATAAGAGGGATGTGCCACCAATGGAACAATGATTAGGTACGAGATGCGCACAGCTGAGCTCTTGCGCGGAACTTCTCGTGGGGTGCGGCGGGTTTGACTGTAAAGAGGTAGCTATCTCGATCTCCACACAATTGCCGAGCTAGTTTGGGTTGCCAGAAAAAAAGTTGCCTGCGGCAAGTGCAGAGCGCGGGCAGAAAAGTCTGGTTGGACAGAAGGGGGAAGGCGGTATGAGCACATATTGAAGGCGGCATGAACCAAGCTTAAGCCGAGGTTGGGCCGACAACAATCATTCGATGACTGCGGCAACATTGGATTTCATGTTTGACCTCGATTGAAGCTCAATATATCAAGCAAAACCATCTCCACTCTTCGACGAGCACCACAGACGACTCAGTCACAGTACGTATACTCTTTTATCACTAGATTGTAACTCTACTAATATAATTGGCCTCAGATGTCCCCTCAATCCATCCTCCGCGCCAGTCCCCGCGCTGCGAACATGATCAGCCGCCGCATGTTCCACGCGACCCGAGCTCGTCTCTCGTCGCCGTACCACTACCCCGAGGGACCCTATTCCAACTTGCCCTTCAACACCAAGACCCGCTTCTTCAAGCTCCGATTCTGGCTCTACGCCGTCACTGGTTTCGGCGCCCCCTTCGGCATTGCTTGTGCGTCATTTCCCCGGAGATATCCAGAGAGAAGAGATCGTGGAAGAACAATACTAATGAAAACAATGTAGTCTGGCAAACCCACAAGCCTAAGGCTTAAATGCTCGATGGGTAGTTGTTGGCTTTAGTATGCTGGAGAAACGAGAGAAAAGAATTGAATATGATAGACAGGGGCACGGAATGCGAGCGGAGGGTGTAGCTGTAAGACAATAGACCGTCAAATCATTACCGAACAACCCGAACTTTCTTGTCACGATGTACTCATAATGGTGTGATAAAGAGCAACCGGATAAGTACATTGCCATCTAGTGGAGTACATAGTCTAATCAGAGGAATCTATGTGGAGGCGAACTTGAGTTCATCGTGTCAACGATAAGTTTTGTCTTTGAGTTGAGTGATGATTTGGGTTGATTAATGACGTGGGACCTGGCAAAGAACTTCGAAAAACAGCAATCTCCAAAGCCTTGAAATCCGCGCTGATGTCTACCTAGAGAGCACTAACCATTAAAGTCTAGCCAAAAGAAGTGCATCCAGCATGGGCACTTACTTGTGGCCTTACTGGTAGCTCTCCTAGACATGACTTGGAATAATACTGTACCAAACAAAATTCTGGGCACGCTGGGAACACTCCTGAGATGCACATTCATCTTGCGTCATCCAAGTCGTACGAATGAAATCTTGAGATCTAGCTCAATATCATGGCTGTAATACGCAGGCCTCCACAATCTAACCATCAAAAGACGTAAACTGTCTCTTCATGTATTCGATGTACTCGGTTCAATACTCTTGCATCGTTGATTGCCTCCCAAACTGCCGCCATTGCCAGCCCCAGTTTTTCAATCTTATGAGGTCAGCAACGATACTTGAAAACAATTGACACGCTTAATAGCGATAACAGCTTTTTATATATTAAAGAATGCCATGCGTCTACGAGAATCAAGGCAGATATATACCACACCCCTTTGATACATTACCCGGCCGCTGGGTGACTTCCCAATAACGTCCCACACCTACATCCGGGACACCCCCACATGTGGGACGCCCTAAAAATGACACTGTATATTATAACCATTAACTTCAACCTTTTTTTACACTTATTCTAATGCGACTACAATACAGCTTTCACCGTCACTCGGGTTTTCAGACTCGCTAGACTCATCTGTACTATCCTCAATTTCACCAGCCTCGACTTGAGCCTTCCGAATAGCCTTGATATTAGTAAACTTCGAATTTGGGCTCATCTTGACCTTCCTCCGCTTCCTAGCCCTACTAGCCTCAAGCTCTGCCTCTATTGCCTCAATCTTTCGCTGTGCGACAGCTAATTGGTAGTCCTTCTCATCAAAGCCCTTTTGAACTTTCCGAAAGAGTAGCCGCTGGGTATTTGGATCACTATCAAGCTTGCTGAATAAGCTGAGTTGATCTTGGAGCTCATCTCTCCTCTTAGGCATTGACCAGGCTACTGCTGATGTCTCTAACTCCCAGTCCTGACTACCCTTACTATCAGAGTACCCTTTGCAAGTCTGACTAGGCTGTCTGATTGGTGCTGACGTATTCTCAAGGAGCAGGGGGCTCATAAGGGGTCTAGCTATGCTCGAAGGCCAGAGACCAGTATATTTCCATTCACTGATAATTTTCTTAGCGATCAATACTGCTAGACATGCCTTTCTATAGCAGAGGAGAAAGTTTCTCTTCCCTACGACAGTGGTAGTATCCCATCGGTCAAGGTAACCAAGCTCCTTCTTATAGGCTGCCTTGAGGGGTCCAAAGACTGACTGATCGAGAGGCTGGAGAATGTGGGATGTGTGTGGCGGCAAGAAAAGCAAGTCTATCTTGTTTATAAAGCAGAGGTACATAAACTCTGTCGTTTCGTGGCTACTATGCCCATCTAGGATAAGTAACCTAGTCTCTTCAGGGTCCTCTGGTTGAGTCAAAGGAATAAAGATCTTTTGTAGCCACTCAATAGCCGTAGAGTCTGACGCCCACCCATTCTCTGTTGCTGTAAACCTCCAGGCTTCGTATGGAGTCAAGTCCAGAGGAAACCACTGCTTCTGGACAGACTTCCCCTTGTATATCACAAGTGGGGGTAGTGCAGTACCAGTCGCAGAGATACACTCTATAAGAGATGTCCAAGCTCGAGATCCAGGCTGTTTCTTCCGTATAGAACGAGTCTCAGATGATCCTAGAACAAGACCATTTGATCCTCTACCTTCTAGAATACCTGTCTCATCCATATTGTATCGATTCGAGGCCTTAATAGCTTTGATCTCAGGGATAGCGAGGTATTTGAACCATCGCCTGATCACATTAGCTGAGGCTCCATTAATAGGCCGGGAATCGATAGCTCTGCTTCTCTGGACCTTGACTGAAGGGTTTCTCTTGATAAAAGCCTGGACCCAGTTCTTTCCAAGTGGTTCGGTGTCTCCGTGGATCTGTAGGATACGCTCAGCGAAGTCTTTGAGCTGTTGATGGGTTAGTGGGAGGCCTAGGGCAGGCTGGATTCGAACCCATTCAGCCAGATGAGATTCCTGGGCTGGAGAGAGCCTCTGATAGTCAGCGAAGGCTATATCTCTTGACTGGGCTCCCTGAATCCGTCGTGAAAGAGTAGACCTTGGGACACCATGCTCATATGCTGCTTTTCGGAGGCTTTGACCGGTAGCTATTGCTTGAAGAGCTCGATAAATATCATCTTCGGTAACGTACCCCACAAGCAAGTTGGCCACTTTTTCTTGGCACCGTATGAATAACTTCAATAACTTAACTAAACTATAAAATAATAATTCAAACTAATCGGAATCCTCTTCCTCGTACGTATCTTTATAATTCTCACAAGTACGAGCATTATGTCCGGGCTCTCCGCAGATCCTACAGCGCCGTCGGCGTGGTTCGGCCGGTCTCGTACGACGACGACTTACACGTATATCATCCTGTAGCTGCTGTTCAATATCCCGTTGAGACTGTAAGTCCTGAGCGTCTCGTAAACTAAGAGATCCTCCATCTTGTAGTTGTCGATTTTTAGTCCTTCGACGACGGCTTAGCTCTTGATTGGCCTTCCGAATTGTAGTAACCTCATCCTCAAGTAAAACTAACCGATGCATAACAGCCGTCGCACCACGTGAAAATTGGTCAATAGCCGTAAGTATTGTCGTCGGGGAGCTATTCTGATGCTTTACGATTCTGTTTTTAACGTATTCAGACTGGGATTGCGCCTCGGTTGGGTTATTTGGAGTATTTGATTCCCAGATTAAGGGGGCGCCAGACGAGCTCCCAGGAGGTGTAGGCGTATGTAGCTTAATATCCAGCTGTGAAATCACATATTCCGGTTCGTACGGAATAAGTCCTGTCCCCCTAAAACCTGCCTGGATATTCGACTTAGTTATAGTCGTACGATACGCCCTATAGAATGCCGAAAAGAAATCCTCCTTCGAGATATGGGTTATATGCGCCCGTATTAGGTCTTCAATTTCTTTGCCGTACGACCTTTTAAAAGCCCTAAAACAGCCTACATCGAGAGGCTGGAGCTTATGTGACGAATGAGCAGGCATACTAAGTGTAATAATAGTATGCTCTTTGCAATATAGCTCGAAGTGATTGATTGATTGATTGAAATTTAACGTCTCATCACGTGAGATGTGCCGGGCGCAGTGCCGGCATGGTCTATGCTAGTCGAATCTATGTTACAGGGGACTGTCTTCATCTAACATTCCTGTTCAGTGCGATGGGCAGATCTCAGTAAAGAAATTGGTCTCCTCCGCCCATTGACAAAACAAACGAGCTCCCTTGGCCGTGCCTAGGAGGGAATCTATACTATTCTTGGCCATATGCGCTTTTAGATGACCGGGCGTGGCCTTGCAGCCGCGCTTGCAAAAGTAGAAGTGGACTGGTGTCTTTGTCTTTCCACACCCGCAGTTGAGCAGTGCGTCGCGATGCTGGAGTCTCTCGTGGTAGGTCACGAAATCCCCGTGGTGCGACCTCGCTGCGAGTAATCTGCCTAGGTGTTGCCGAGGCAGGCCAAGTTCGGGGGGTCGCGGGTGGATAGCGATCCCTAGATCTCGATACTGTTGAGGGCAGGTAGTGGCCCATCGATCGTTGAAACTCTTCCAAGTGTAGGATCTCGCGATTCTCTTTATATGTGCGAATGAGGCCGGGTGTTGTGTCTTGGGTGGTTGCTCACAGGCCGCTTTGGCCTGGACATCTGCTTCTTCGTTTCCGGGGATGCCTACGTGTCCTGGGCACCACCAGATATACACTTGTCCCGGGGATGTCCAGGGTTTTCGCTCTCTCTGTGACCAGGTTTTGGACAGCTCTTGGAAGGCGGTGAATTTTGCTTGACTGCTTCCGGGACTTGGACAGATGAGCCTACCCGCAACCGCGAGATTATCGAGGCAGATGTGGACGTTATCTGCCATGCTGTTGGACGGAAGCTTTACAGCCTCCTGAAGCCCCCGTAGTGCTGCGTGGGCTTCCGCATCGTATACCTCTATCTGAGAGCCCAGTAGTTCGGATCCGCAGAGTAGTCTTTTACCGGCCTGATAACCAGCCCAGCCTGCTCCAGTTAAGGTCCTGTCGCTATGGGTAGCCAGCGAGCCGTCTGTATAGATTATTATATCGCGCTTTGAAAACTCGTTTATCCTTTGTAGAAACGAGCGGGCAGCCTCCTCCTTTGACTGTCCTGGGATATAACCGATCTTGGCGAGGGTGATGGACCATTCGCCAGCCTGCTCCCAGGGCGGTATTTGCAGAGGATCTATATATTCTGCAGTATCTGGGGTTAGGCTCTAGCTCGAAGTCAATCATTTGGATATGTTGGACAACCAACATATCCACCCCTGTAGGTCACGTGACCTATCGGTCCTTTCCTTCCTCCGATGCGGGGTCCCGTGATCCTAGCGTCTGTATCCACCTGGCCTGCCGACGGGCCTGTAATGTTGGTTCATGGCCAACGGTTCGTAACAATCATCTATAGCCGCTTAAGGGAGTATTTGTAGAGGTACCGAGGGTTAACACCTACGGCGTATTTAATATTTTTATGTAATGACCACAGTTGATCTAAACCTCTTCCACAGCCTCAGCGCTGACACCTCTGGCATGATCAACCTTCTCGATTGGCAGTGCCTCGGTAAGGCCCATTGAAGCCGCAATATTGAACAACCTCAACTTCTCCTCCTGGGCCACCGTATCCCCAAACACCTCGTCCATGTCCTCCAAAGTCTTGCCCCTCGTCTCAGGCACGAAGAAGAAGGTAAACAATAGCGCCATGAGACAAAATGCGGCGAAGAAGATGTACGTGCCCCAGCCGATCTTTTCAAGCATATCCGGGGTAACGAGACCAATGATAAAATTGCACATCCATGTGGTGCTCGTCGTGATAGCCATGGCCTTGGACCGGTTGCCCAGGTTGAAGATCTCAGATGGCAAGACCCAGCCGATGGGCGCGAACGAGTACGAGAAGTTGATGTCGTAGATGTACACGAAGGCGATGCCGGCCCAGCCCGCCGACGCATGGGATGTCAGCGAAGAGCCGTAGCCGCCTACAATACCGCCTACGATGACGAGAGAGACAAAGGTCCCCGCTGCGCCGCACATGAGGAGAGGTCGTCGGCCCACTCGGTCGATGAGGAAGAGCGCGGGTAGGGTCGACAGTGTGTTAACGATTCCGTACACCCCCGTGGCGAGGAGACCCGACGTCTTTCCCGATAAGCCCAGCTGCGCGAACATAGTGGGCGCGTAGTAGATGATGGCGTTACAGCCCATGAACTGCTGGAAGAACATAATTCAGCACCCCACGGCAAGGCGCTTGAAAGAGGGCCAGTTCGACACCAGGGAGGCATACTGCGAGCACCAGAGCGAGAAGCCCGTCTTTCCAGGAAATTTGTCACGGGATACGGACTCATCGAACAGGACTTCAGCCTTAATGGACAGGTATTCCTCTCGGAGGGTCTCGCTATCGGGATGGACGCGTCGTAGCTTTGCGAGTGCGCGGAGGGCTTTGTCTTCTTTATTGCGCATGAGGAAGAATCGTGGCGATTCGGGGAAGAAGATCATGCCTATGCCGAGGATGAGAGCTGGGGCGATCTGCAAAGAGAAGGGGACGCGCCAGGCGGCTTGGGATTGCCCTGTGCATCCGTGGGGTCCAACGTCGGTTCTTGGGTCAAATTTGGGATTACTTGAAGTTCCTCCTGTGTAAGGGATGTCCGGGGCGCACCGGGTGCCGCCTATATATTGTGTTCCGTATTCGAGCCAATAGCTTACTAGGATCCCGAGGGTGATGCTCAATTGCTGGAGTACAACCAGTGTGCCGCGGATTCCGGCAGTGGAAACCTCGGACATGTACATGGGAACAATCATGGTTAGCATACCGACTGCTAGTCCAGCTACAGCACGGCCTATATTGACGAGTTAGTACCCATCCTCAATTGTTCGGACTAATTTCACCACTCACCAGCAAACAACATCGAGATAGAGCTAGCACCAGCCTGGAACGACGACCCGATAATAAACACGACAACAGCCATGAGAATGGAGCCCTTTCTCCCAAACCGATCGGCAAGCGGTCCGTTGATCAAGGAGCCGAACCAGGCGAGTAGTAAAAGTGTTGAGACGAACCAGCCCTTGAACGAACTGTCAAGATAGATGCGCGGGAAGTCAGCGGCGAAGGATTCCATTGTCAGAACGCCTGAGACGACGCCTTGGTCATAACTGAAGAGAAAGCCACCGAGGGATGCAAACTGTAGCCATGATTTAGTCGTCTGTCATGGTATGGGCATAGGGCCAAAATGGGAGAGGCTTACTGTCGAAAGACCCAGGATATACGGGTTCTCGCGTAATTGGCGCATGACGCCCATCTTCGGCGCAGCAGCGTCGGTAGCCATATTGGTCAGCTGGCAGAGTAAATCTCGCGACGCAGACAACCAAAAGCTAGGGAAACTGTTCCAAACAAAAGGCTAACATAAATATCATTTTATACTCCGCTCCAAACTCCAGATCCTCGAACCCCACTCACTCAACCCCGTGTAACCCCATGGGCACTCCAATTCACTCCACAACCATGGGGAATAAACCACAGCAGCCGACGATTTCGGCGCTTTTGTGGAGCGGGAACCCAACTTCATGATGCGGAGATGGGTCCGGATGACTGCGGTCCGGCCAATTAACTGCGTGGAACCGCACCGCCCACGAAGATAAAATCCGCTCGTGGGAAATATCGGAGCTCGAGCGTGTGACCTCGGGACTCGTTCGATGTCGTCTTATGGTCGGGGCTGTCCACTGGGAACTTGGGTCTGATTATGGGCTAGACACCGGTTGGGATTTGGTCATGAGTTGGTGGGAAACGGGGGACGGAGGTTTGCTGTCCGCGGAATGGAGTCTGGAGCCAGATTTTGTGCGGCTTGTCGTTTGGGTTGCATTCTGGCACAAGAGGTGAGGGCGGGAAGCTCTGTTTTTTGGTTGTGTGTTGTGCAGTGGGTGCGAGGAGAGCAACCCCGCAGACGATATCATGACGGAAAAGCTACAGGCGGGGGATTGGATGGCGCGGTGTGTATTTATGCAACCGAGTTGCAAATCCCCTGGCTGCAAATGCTGCTCACCCAAAGAAACAAGTCTTTGACTGCCTTGGCCGGCATGCCTGGTTCAGGCAAATAAACTATATCTGCGGCCTTGCTCACAGCTCTTGCAAGTCGTGGCTTAAAAGGGGCGGTCATTGTGCCCATGGTAAGACCATCGGTCAAAAGGTTGCACGAGGCTCTGAGGTGTATATCAAGATTCATTCTCAGGAATCTGTCGCTGTGGATGCACTTCCAATGCCAGATGTTTACAACAGCTTGAGTTCACTTAAGAATATTCGAGTACAGGCCGCGCTTTGCGTCTGTGTATAAGAGCCGCTAGCAGGATGACAGCATCTCGTCGGCCAGATGTCCTATATAGTACCTCTGTTCGTCCCAATCAAAGTACAGACTCCCAATGCGGTCACACGCATACGCTATTTCCCCAACCAAAGGCACTAGGAGTGGGCAGTCTGAGAGCCGATGATCTAGTCCTTGGGGGTTGGTGCCTGATGAATTGAAGCTGTAAATACAAGGAACTAGAGCCCCAGTCTGAGGTGAACGTTAATGTAGCCAGCCACCTTGCTTTCAACCTTGTAAAAAGGGCAGACTGGTTTCTCAATTCTCAGCAAAGGTCGAGCTTGGAATATTTCTTCACTAGAGGGAGAAGTGAACAAGAAAGATGATGTTCCATGACCCTTCGCCGAAATACTCAATGCCGAGAGTGTTAGGTGCTTGTGTAGTGTTGGTATGCCAGAGTCCAAAATTTGGGGTCAGACCACGGTCTATATAGAACTGAAGCAGACGCTGAGGGGGTTAGCACCCTGGTATTTCCATTTTAATACATTTCATGTCGCGTGACTGCTCATGGCGTGCGGCAATGTCAGCGCGAGCGGGCTGAACTCTGATAAGTGCAGCGAAGCGTTCACAAGCTCCTGTTTATGATTGAGGCTTTTACTTATCCATATTGTTCTCTTTTTCTTCCGATATGTATGCTTAGTTTCACTTGAGCAGTTGGTGTTATGTTCTGCAACGGGGGCCTGCGTGAATGGTGTAGGCGCATGAACAATCAATTCTGGGGTCTCATATAACGCAAAACATTTAAGGGGAACTTATGGGAAGTTGAATCACGAAGCTACCGACAAGCCTCATCAACCATCTTAAAAGGCTTCTCGAGGCATGAGAAGCTAGAAAAGAGCAAGAAGAAAGTAGGGTATGCCCGTCTCAACTCCATGCAGCTACAGAGGTATATCAACCTGGGATTGGGAACCACACATCAAACACGTGAAAATGGAAAGCATAACAGGCGGAGAATGTCGTGTTGGGCACAGCGCTTGGGCTAACTGCCCATAGATAGCACTTCCTTTGCGGAAGATTCCTGGGATTTAGTCCCATCATTATCACCAATAAAGCTCTCTTATCTGTGTTGTTTCAACCTTGAGAAACAAGGGGGCAGGAAAATCCCAGAATTGGGCCACTTCGATAAGAACTTATAACATTAGAAGCATGGAAAAATACATGTAAAATCATAGTGTTATTCACGTGCCTTCCCAGGGCTACATCACAGAATTGTAACCGCTTACCGTTATAATTAACTAACAATCTGTTCAGTGAAGATTGCACGAGCCACAAAGGCTCGCTACTTAGGTTTATTGATGGAAACGCCGGCGCTTGTAACATTCCGCTGAACCTCTTGTACTGCCACTCTTTGAATAGATGTATTGGTTCTGTTCAAAAATTGACTAACGTAGGTCCTTTACGTCTTGAAGAAATTCACTCTGATCTGTCCAAGAGTTCAGATGTTGAACCTGACCATAATAAATTGAACATCAGGTTCGAATACAGGCATCACACAACCGGCCATGTGAAATTCAGTGACATGAGTGCAACAATGCAGAAACATGAATACAAATATGCGTAACTAGGTATTCTGAAAAACGTCTTTTTACAATTGCAAGTGAGCCTTACCAACATAAGTAACAAATGATCCCATCCCTTTCCAGACTCCATGTCGATACCCAAAACACTATCAAAAACCCCAAAATCCAAAGTTTCGAAAGTATACACAGAACAGAAACAAGTCTGCAATACAAGAGAAAAAAAAACAAGAACCCTAGGAGTTATTATCACCTATCCCCTCCCAACGTTCACTCCAGCCCGCTCACTGCGAAGTCCAGTCCAAGACCCTCCCATAATCCGAGTCCCGAGTGGCAACACCATTAACAATCAACTTCTGCACGTCTGTGTTGAAGCAGTTATCCGTGATCTCATCCGAACAAAGCGGGAACATCGTCTTGTCCTCCATGCGACAGAAAGAGCTCGTAGTCAAATCGACGAAATCGGGACCCAGCGAAGTGTCGCTACCGCAGAGTGCATCAGCCGCGTGATTGGGGTTGTTATCAATAACGAGCTGGTTGGCATGCAGCGACTGTTGCCTAGGCACCGTAGCGCTATGCCCACTCCTATTGTCTGCAAACTTAGCCGACGGCGCACTCTTCCACGGCGCATACGCCTCAGCCGTCGCCTCCTCAGACCGCTTAGTCTTCGTCCAGAATGTGATGCCTCTGGGGTCTTTCTCAGTGTACATCTTGAACGGTGGGCCCGCATTGCACAGGCGATCTAGGAGCGCATCCTTGTCGCTAGGCTGCGTGGGCAGATCACCCGATGCGCTCACAAACTCGGGCCAATGGATCTGGAACCCTGTCTGCGGCTGATCACCGTTGGAGTCGATCCAGAAGCAGTCGGGCGTCACGTCGCTCCCAGATATATAGTAGTTACTGTAATACCAGCTCCCGCCACACTGGCGACCCCAGTCCCCGATCCAGGCGTAGTTGTTCCCATCAGGCCAGGTGATAGACGCGTAGGCGATGCATATCGCGTTGTCGTTGGCCGAGAGAAGCGCATACGTTGCCTGCTGCCCGTTGTCTCCATTGTGGCTGACGGTGATTTCTTTGGCTTCGCCACTGCCGATGGAGCCGGGGTCCGCAGTGATTCCAAGGAAGCCGCCGGCCTCGTTGAAGAGTCGTACGTCAGGCAGGTCGCCGCCGGCGTTGTTGAGGCCACCGTTGACATCGAGGCCCACGGCAACTTTGACCACGGAGCCGACTGAATCAGGCTCCGCAAAGTTGTCTATTCCGAATTGGATGATGCCCAGGGCGCCGGAGATCAGGCCGATGGCCTCGATTACTGCAGCAGCCATTGTGGGATTCGTGTCGAGGCTTTGGAGTGAGGATTGTGTTTGGAACTGAGTGTGGCGACTTGACTACTAGTTAACCTGTGTCAAGTTCAGAGAATGACTGTGGTGACTTGAGTGCTAGTCGTAGCCGGGTTGGGCTGAAAGATTGACTGAAGATTGTTGTGATACTGAGCTGTGGTGATCAGATACGTTTTAGAGAGAAACTACGGCGATATTTTATATACTCGAGAAATACAACTAATGCTGCCGCCGACTTGGAAGTCAATACCTAGATCGGCCGCGCTGAATACACTGGCATGTTTGAGATCCTGAATCGATAGTTTGAATGTAAATAGAGTCCAGGGGTTGAACATAGCCTCGACCTTGCACGGTGGAATAAAAACCTCGACTAATATTGACGTTCACGTCTTGGGTCTTGGGGTATCCGTTCAGCTGAGGCTCCGGGATCAAATCCTCACAACATGCAAAGACGTTACAGTCATGTTGATGGATGCAGGAACTAGTATAATTTCATTCGTATCATTTTCGCCATCTGGAGGCTGATGGCCCCAAATGTTCTCCAGCTGATTGAGTCCACCTAATGACAAGGCCCCGATATGTAGGAGTGAGAAGGCGCACGTAAAATAGAACCAGGATCTACCCCAGTCTAATCCAAGCAAATGGAACACATACATTAAGGCAAAGGCCAGCTTCATGATTAGACCGCTACTGTTCCATGCCTCACAAGAAGTGACATGATCACCATACTTGTTGATGACACTGGATCTAAATACAATTGGCGCACCTGTAACATTCATCGCAGCCAGGAACAAGATTCCTTGTCTTTGAGGAAGATGTAAGACCATGGATAACCCCAAAACATGCTCCAAATTGCTTATCGGTCCTTCTTTTGAGTGAAGGATTCAAAGTGCGTCGTCATCTGTGCATTTTTTACTTAGTAAAAAAGGTGAGAAGAATGAACAACAACTCCTATGGTTGAGCTCTGAGCACAGCCTCCGTGGATTATGAAGCAGAGAGACAGCTTTGAAGGATGGGGTAAAAGCCCATGCAACTGACATATTGTTCAGCTCTCAGAATATTATTGGGGTTTCAAATAGAAATGCAAAGCAGAGAGACGGCACAGAATGACCCTTGTGTCACTCGGATTCTTTCCCAATCAAACATGCTGCAGTGGCGCTGGTTATTGCTTGGCAAGGAACTCTTATCCCTGCATAGCAGCCTCTAAGGTGGTCCTGTTGGCCGAATAAGGTATGCATATGTCCAATATTTAGGGCGCATGCAGATCCGTCGCCAATTGGGCTGAAAGCGGGAGCGGGCATGGTCAAAGGATTGGGAGCCTGCATGGGCACTGCTGCAGGGCCCTGCCACCCCAAATTGATCAATAATAGATCAAATAGCCCTTGGCAGAAGATTTAGTCAGCTTGTTGTGAGGCTGTAACCAACAGCAGTCTGCATTACAAAGACTTGTCCCTGTCCGGTGTTGTCGCAATGAAGAATAACCCCAAAAATCCACCAACCTTGTTTGCCGCTTATTTTCCCTGGCGCGTTCTCCCCATTGGCTTTTTCTTCTATAATTCGACATCACAAATCATTCTACTCTATCTTTCTTTCATCCAGACTGTATTTTCCTCGTTTCCATAAGAAAAGACAAAATGCGACGATCCCTAGGCTTCGCCGCCGCTGTCCTGGCCACCAAAAGCCACGCCCAAGACCTATCCCAAACCATCGTGGGCTGCGTCGACGTCGGCTGTCCCGCCGCCACAGACAATGTCAACGACAACTGCACCATCGTATCCAGCTCCTTTTCCTCCGTGGGCCTGACGCGCATTCCCGACACCAGCGACGCCTTGCAGGGCGTCTCCTGGGTCAAAGGCTTCAACATCACTGATGCCGACGGCGCGCGATCCTTCCACGAGTCATTCTACTTCGGCGCGCCGGCGGATCTGGACCTGGCAGACACGGGCGCGTGCGCGGTGTTCTTCAATGGCGTTGCTGAGACATTGTCCTTTAACTCGTCGAATCCTAATCAGGAGACGGCGCAGGGCACGTGTCAGGATGCCATGGGATCGTCGTGTGTGGATGCGCTGGTCCGCCGTGCGACGGGGTTAAGTGGGCTTGATGGTTTCTCGAGCGCGGATGCGTGCACGGCGCTAGCGGAGGACTTGAGGGATAATATGGATTCAGAGTGTGAGGGACTAGCTGTGGGGTGGACTAACTTGACTGCTGTTGGTATGTTACTGACCTATATACAAGGCTATGACTTTTCTGTACATAAAACGTGCTAACTGTCACTTAGCTCTAACTGGCAACGGCGCCCCTGAGCCAATCTCTGGTTCCCAGAACTCGACTTCGACTTGTTGGCCTATCACGCCCAAGTCGGACAGTGTTACACTCGTGACCGAGTACACGCGCGATGTAAGCTTGCCCCCTTTCTACTGCTATCACTCGAAGATTCCTAGACAGGTTGCTCACGCATTATGACAGGGCGACTTGCAAGTCAGCACCGCCACCAAGGCCCAATGGGCCATCACCCCTGTCCTCACACTATTCTTCCAGAGCAATGGAACTTTGATCACCGACACGGAGGCATCTCTGAGTTGTCTCAAGGTCATGGGTCCCGCAAATGCGTCGCTTGATACCCAGAGTGGCTCTGATGATAATAAAGAAGGGGCTGCTATGACTCTGGGTGCACCGGGGTGGACTATCTCGTCTGTCGGTATGGCTGCCATCTTTCTCTTGTTTTCCTTGTAAATATTGGAAAGTCGGAGTTTTCATGTTCCGCGAGTTTTCCAATGGGCGTCTGGGCGTGATTGGCGAGATCTAGCGGTATTAGCATGCATCGATCAAAATAAATCTCATGTCTCTTATAGCGATAGACAGAGTTGGAAATGCCAAAAGGTATCCGATTCATGGCTTGTGCAATATTCTGAGCGCGAATAGATGAGAAACATGAAGAACGTCAAATAACGCACGAGAGAAAACAATAAATCAACCTCTCCAAAAGGTGATTACGTCGTAGAACTGCATTCTCGTAACTGCTGCCCTCACGATAGTTCCGGTGTAATTTTCCTGGCTAACCTTTCATCGTTCCAAGCAAAACGGGTGCTTACTCTCTCCACAACAGTTCCTATGTACATCTACACTTGGCGCTATGGGATGAAATCTGCATCTTTTACAGGTGGAATTTTGAGCCAGAAATGGTAAATAAATCCTATGATTGAGCTGATCTATTATGTTTCTCAGATCTGTCCTTTATCCCGGCACCCGAACCATCCAGACCCTGATGAAGATTTTGCGGCAATGTGACTTTGGCGAAAGTCTAACCAAACCTCATGGCTATTTTGATCCTTCATGTAATTTAGTGACTGGGACGTAAGAGAAGATGCCGGGATAAATATCGCAGTCAAGTATAGTATGGGATGAACAAAGCCAACAGCCGCAATAGGGCATGGCAAGTAGCGTTTCAACTAAGCTTGTCATGTTCCTGTTTTGGCAAAGAAGGCCCTCTTACAAGAGATTGAGGCTCTCGGCTCTCTGTCCTGTGTTGGAAATAAACTGTGTCGATATTGACTCAATAGTTCGCCCCATACCTCTGATTAGGTTCCGATGGCGAGGCGTGACAAACCGTAAACATTGCCTGTTGACGATGAATGCTTCAGGAGATCATGTGCGGCAAGTACAACGACTTTGAAAAGACCTTGCAACATTGGATTGGTTGGTTCTTGGACTGTTCACAGAGTGCGACAAAGAGTTAATATAACCTACGGGGACGACTCATGAATTATGACCACCAAACCCCATGGGTTGGTTACCACTCATGATATAGTCCAGTGAGCAGCCTGTGGATAGAGCATTATCCATAACCAGCTGTTTCCCCTCCTCTCCTGGTCATGTTCATATTCTTTTTATCCCATCACTGGTCCTGAAGAGCAGAGATGTAACGCAATGACTAAAAGCTGGGCTATACAATCTCTCTGGCTGGAATGGGTGCGGCATGGTTGCGGGCACTAGTCACAAAATGATTAGGTCCAACTGCAACGTACTTCCTAAATTCCACAAACCCGATTCTTGGACAACACCAGATTATGGAACTCCAACCTGAAAGCGTGTGGAGAAATCGCAAGTAGCAGCCATGCCAAGCAGCCTAGCTTCACCATTCAGGTGGACGTAACGGTTACAACGACAAATGCCGAATATTCCCATTCGGAGGTCAAGGCTACACTATGGATGGATTAACTGCCGAACAGTATGTCCCGTGAACAGGTTTCTGATGAGAAATTCCTCCAACGACGAACGAAAGCAACAGCGGAGAGCCATGAAAGAGGAAACTCTTCAATCAAGCAGTTGACAAATCCGTTTTACGGATGGACATGACGGTTGAGGGCAGGAGGAGTATAAATATGGCCTTCAGAGCTGTAAACAAGTGAGGTTCGCATCCTTTATCCACAGCGATCTTCCGTCCATAGCAAGAAAATCAAGCCTCAGGTGCAAATAATTCCTATACTTACAATCTGAGACAATGAGATTCAACCATATTACCATCGTGGCGGCCTCCGCAGCCCTCGCCTCCGCCCAGACCCTCAACATACCCACCCGCTCGGGAAGTATCGTCTCTCTGTCAGCACCTTCGACCATATCTGGAGCCAAGAACTACAGCAACCAGGAGTTCGATCGTGGCCGAGCCTGCAACTCTGATGAAGACACGGGCAGCGAATCCGCCGTTTTCAACCTTAATGACGGAGCCAGCCTCTCCAACGTCATCATCAGTGCTAATGCGCTCGAGGGTGTCCACTGCAAGGGCGTTTGTACTCTGACTAACGTCTGGTTCCGTGATATTTGTGAGGGTAAATCGGACTTACATCTCAATATTTCGCAAGAAATGACTCACTGACACGTATAAAACAGACGCCATTTCCGCCCTCGGCACCGGCAACGTCCTAATCCAAGGCGGCGGCGCCCAGAACGCAATCGACAAAGTCATCCAGCACAACGGCAAGGGCACTGTCACCATCAAGGACTACACCGTCGTCAACGCGGGCAAGTTGTACCGCAGCTGCGGCGACTGCACCAACAATGGCGGCCCGCGCCACATCGTGGTGCAGAATGTCAAGGTCAATGGCATGACCTCCGACTTGGTTGGCATTAACTCCAACTATGGCGACACGGCAACCATTAGCGGCTCGTGCGGTATCAGCAAGAAGGTCTGCCAGGAGTACAAAGGGGTTAGTAAGGGTAGTGGGAGCAGTACCAAGGTCACTACGACTGCCAACTGCAAGGGTGCTCAGGGTCTCCTTTCCAAGCTGCCTGCTTGCTAGATGGGCTAGGATAACCCTATGATCGCATGGTAGCGATGCTATGGCTGCTCACCGACTTGCTCCAGTACCGCAGCATTCTGGAAATTCTTCATAAGCGAGGTGGCCGTTTCAGGCCATCTATGGGGGCTATAAGCGAACTTCTCAGGAAATCAAAAGGAAGTCACGAAACTATCTTCCTCCCGCTTAAGATACTTTCTATCATAATTACGCACTTCTATAATTATATGACCTATCCACTTTAGGCCTACTTATGTTGGGGCACACAGAGAGATAGAACTGTGTTGTATTGAGGAAAGCTAGGCTAATGCTGCTGGTGGGCTGGAACCAAGTAGTAGTGCTGGCCACGCACATACTACCTGTTGCAACTTATTTATCACCTGCGCCGTAACTGCTATTCCTCTTTATCAAGACATACCGTTATTTATTGAAACTAGATGCTAGGGTTGGCGATGGAGTTAACGTACATAAGTGAGGTGAAAGTCCATTGGTCGATGTGCACTCTGGACCCGCTAACTAGTTCCCGAACGAGCTTAGACGCGATTGATATGGTGGATCGCAAGGTCAGATTAAGCAATTTCTGGTATGTATGTGATCGATGCGATAAAATGAAAAAGATAAGTTGACGCACTAGCCCCTTTCTATTATACTATTTATTGCACTATGTGAAGCTTGTTATGGCATATTCGTTCTAATACTGGGTAGTTGCCGTATATCGCATACCAGGTCCTTTTTCGGTGCGCCGAGACCCTGGACCTGGAGGAGGCTAGACCGTGAGTCTTGCGATCATCCTTGTGCGCAGTTTTTCTTATAGGTTGCAAGTCGTGCCACAATGTTACATTGCCGCCTACTCTTCCTCTCTATATCGTACAGACCGTTGCAAACGCCATGGATGGCGATATTCACAAGAGCAAGGAAGCGTCTCCAACTAAGATGGCCGTGACGAATACCAACCCAAAAACCGAGCAGTCTGCACCCGGTGCAGAGAAGACTGGGAATAGCGATTGAGATATGCAAGTAGCCGCGACTCAAGATGTTGACGCCGGCCAGGACGAGAAGCCGGAGGTCAACCCGAACGCTCAGGGCGGCATCAAGTCGGCGAAGGCGATGACCATGACTTGGGGCAAGACGGGTCTGATCGTCTTTTACGGTTGGTAAGGCACTTGGCTTTTTCCTAGTCTTGGTCCTGGTAAACACGTAATGCTGATTTGATTCTCCAGCTTCTAGCTCCTATACTTTATCATCGCCTTCCAATCATCCATCACATCCAACCTGACGGACTACGTGGTTAGCGACTTCGAGGCACAGTCGCTGATTCCAGCTATCTTTATTGTCTCCAACTTCATGGCCAGCACCACCTTACCCCTGGTCGCGAAACTACCCGATGTCTGGGGTCCTCCCGTCGGGGCTCATCCTTATGGCAACCTGTCAGGGTATCTGCACGTACTGCGGCGCGCAGGTCTTCTATTCCATCGGATGGTGGGCCTGACCTATAGCATGGATGTCATGACGCCGACTACTCATTGCAAGGACAGAGGCGTGGCTTTTGCTTAACTCGTCGCCCTACATCATCACGGCGCTTGCGGGCCCCAAAACAACAGAGGGCTTTTATGAGGATAATTGGCGTTGGAGGCTCGGCGTCTGGGCTATTTTCCTGCCTGTTACCACATTACCGTTGTATTTCAAAATGAAGATGGTGCATAACAAAGCCCGTGGATTGGGGCTGATCCAGAAGGAGGCCAGCAGGCTTACTTGGTGACAGAGTGTGGTGCGCTAAGTAATTGAGTTCGCTGGTAAGTCATGAAATTCACCATGGGATACCACATTAGGCTAACAAATTACCAAGTACTGGGCGTCCCGCTCGCGAAGTGACTTGTCCTCTTCCTCGTACCTTTCTCCATCGCCGACTGAGCAGCCGACCAATGGGACCTGCCCATATCATCGCTATGCTCGTCATGGGATTTGACTGTCTGATAGCCTTCATCATCTGCGAGAAGGGGCTGATTCCCGAGCGCTTCCTTTACTACCGGCTTGTCCTGAGCGTCGATGCCTGTCTCCTCGATGCTACCTACCAGATCGCTTACTACTGCTGGAACAGGTACTTCAGCTGCTACCTGAAAGTCGTGTAAAACGTCTCTCTCGCTGAAGCGGGCTACATCGGCTGCACCTGGCTCCTCGTCGTCGGCTTCCTCATCAAGTTCAACGGCAAATACAGGTGGCTCCTGCAAGCCTCGGTCCCAGTCGCAAACTTTTCTTTTCTGGCAGGCAAGCATATGACCCTCATAAGTTCGTTCCCGGTATGATGTCCAAGTTGTTGGCACTATTCGCTTTTGCCCTGGGTTCTGCGTGCTGACTCCGCGGTAGGCTAGCGCGGATGGCATTGGGTCTGCATCGACGAGTCAGACGCCGAACCGCTTCGATGGGTCAAGTCACCATGTCACTCCGTGGCCTTGCTATCTATAGAATTTCAGGTGGCAAATAGGGGTTAACTCTACATAATATTCGTCTGGACAATCTGAACTATATATATGAGTAGAGTTTACCCCGCCTTTGGTGCTGTTTCAGGCGCAATTCGGACACCTATAAATCTCTAAGCGAGTGCAGTACTAGATACTAAATATTGCTGACACTATCTATATAAAACATGCGCAACCGACTTTGTAATACCCTGCCGCGCCCAACAAGGCCAGCAGGGGTTTATGCGTCCCGTCATGGGTAGCCGCTTCACGAGCTCCCTCTTTGGCTGTTCGGCTGACACCATGAGACCGGCCTGGCCAAGTTGTTTGCTTTGTGGCTAAATTCCACCCCCCCTCCCCATGTTATTTCTGTTATTGAATTTTTTCATGGAGCGAAGTGAAAGTTGCTGCATACCTTCGAACCGAACGAAATGCGGTATGCCCAAAGTCCCAGGAGGCGAGTCTTGGGCAGTTTGATTGTTTTCCTCGTCATTGTTACGCTCCATCGTCTATCCGGGCCGGCTGGGTTGGTCGGCTTTGGTAAACACGCCGATCGTGTGCAAATTGCTTGTCGCATATGGCCGGACTGGGAGGGCTCAAGTCCAGCGCAGTTGGTTTACGAGAATATCGTGACGGAGCAATCGCCCCACGCGTTCGTGGGAGATGCTGCTTTTATAGGAAAAAAGGATCGATGTCTTTTGGCCGTTTCCCGACTGAACCAATACCAGTCGTCGCTGGATCGCAACTGGGATAAAGTGCGATGGGGTAAGTTTGAGAAGCTCGTCTCTCCTCTGCGGAATGTCGACTAACATGATTTGATACGAGGTGAGGTTCAGAAACGATGCACTGCAGCCAAACTTGGACACTCTTTACCGGAGAAGGTTGAGATGTTCGATGTTTGGCAGCAGCCCCCGAAGCAAGCGGAGACAAAATTTTCACCCAAGGAAAGGGGACAGACGGCAGTCGTTCTCCGAACATGGAGTGATTACAACTACACGGACAGTCGGCGGGTCTGGCTGCGCACCCTCATTACAGAGACTTCTCTTCACTCCAGCGGTGACCACGAAGTTTTCTTCCTCGTCAACGTCAAAAACAATATCGATCTGGAGGATAGAGACACCTACGATCGGGCACTTGGCGAATTCGTTCCGGAAGAGTTCCGCGACATGGCCTTATTATATAATTCAAGAAAATTAGAGAAATGGTATCCAAAAGTCGCAGAACACGGAGCTCAGGACCAGATGTACCAAGCCCTCCAGATATTTTCACACCAGTTTCCACACTTCACACATATATGGCAACTGGAGATGGACCTGCGTCTCACCGGCCACGTCCATACCACGCTCGAATCCGCCACCGCCTTCTCCCTTGCCCAGCCCCGCCGCAACATTTGGGAACGCAACGGCCGCTTCTATATTCCTGCCCTCCACGGTAACTCCTACGAAGCCTTTGCGGCCGCCGTAGACTTGGACACTGGCGAAACGGGCATCTGGGGCCCGCCCCAAACCACAGACTTCGAGCCTAAGGGCCCCAAACCACCGCCCCGTTCGCATCGAAACTGGGGCGTTGATGAAGACCCCGATCTCATCAGCCTGATGCCCATGATTGACCCCATCGGCACGGACTGGATCTACGAAACCGAAATACACAACTTTGCCGACGGAACGGCGACCCCGCGGCGCGCCGCCTTCGTGAGCATGACACGGTCATCGTGGCGTTTGTTACAGCTCGTCAGCGAGGCACAGCGCGAGCGCGGGCAGTGGCTCGTTAGCGAGGCCACACTCGAGACGTTCGCGCTGCTGCATGGGCTCAAGGCCGTGTCGGTGCCGCACCCGATCACCTTCGACAACAACATGACGGCCGAGACAGTGGAGGCGGATATCAATCGGGGGCCAGTGCACAGCAAGGCCGGGGGCAGGGCGCCATCATTTTCGTATACAACTAGTGGGTGGGTTACGGGGCCTTGGTTTAAGGCTAGTTATTGGTTTGCGGCGGATGATGCGCCGAATCGGTGGCATGGGTATTTGGGGGGCGAGTGTATGCCACCCATGTTGCTACACCCGGTCAAGGACGAATAAGCGGTTTTCTTTTCTCTTTGGGGGAGGGGGACGCACTGGATGGACTGCTGTTCAGTATGAGTAGAATCTGGCTCATATCGTGACGATATCTAAGACTTTCCGATTACATTCTTTTTGGTCTTGGTTCTAACACAGACAAAAGGATTTTCATCGAAGTCTCTTGCTACGCATCTTCAACGGGCTCCTTATCCGAAATGCAAGTTGAACCCATGCTATGCATTGTTAAGGGCTCTTATTTCCGCATAACACTCCTTAGGTGACGATCAGACAAGACTTTGTCGATTGCACCGAAACATTTGACAGCAAACGTGTCGTTCATTGCGACACAGATATTACTAACCAATTATTGGATGTTCTCAGGCAATAGGTTGGCCTAGTTGTGTAAGCGGTCCAGCCCTTGCTAGGTTGTACGAACCCACTATGAATGTGCCACTTACCTGCCGTACGAAGACAAATCTCGATTGGGATTATTCGAAAATGGCTTGGGAAATGCACCTCTTCTAATTACTATTGTTGGGTTTAAAGAGCGATTCAATCCATATTTCACCAAAAGTAATGCCTATCTTACCGCGTGCGGCCCGCGATCGGCGGTTGCTGATCTCATCTCAGATTAGCACTTGTTGATGCTGAAACCCACTTTAAGTGCTAGGGCTTTTGATTGGACGGCCTAAGATGAATGATCTGGTCACGTAGTAGAGTATTGTTCTGTCGGGTATACCGTTACTGCTCTTTTGTTTCCGATAGAATGGTTATGTTTCGCAACCCGTACTGGGATGCTGCGATGCGGGAGATGAAATATCTGTTTCAAACTTGGTAGACTTCCCCTATCTGCGGATCTATTTCCTTACCCGCTCATCTCTCTCCGAATATCTCCTTGCATTCGCTACCTTGCATTCGCTAGCCATTACCCATCAAGATGAAGATTGAAAGCGCGTTTCTGTCGTTTGCGTCTCAGGTCTCGGCGCTAGTATAGTTATATATCCTAGTTATATTATAATATATACTCCAAGTGATGCAGAGTCGGAATCCTTTACACATAGGTCTACAGTAAGATTAAGAAAAACATCCCGGTAGAAATTGTTGCTGACTTTGTAGCCGGGCAGCAGAATGAGCCCTCTAAGTTGCGCCAAACTGGCACATTATGCTCTCGCACTACTCCTTCTAAAGCAGCAATAGCTCTGGCCCGCTCGCGAAGATGGAAATTGTGAAAGGTGAGATTCGCATTTCAAATTAGGCTGTTCCATCATTCGGATACTCGAATTGTCTGACTGATTCCGTGTAGGAAGGTAACGCATCAATCAAATCGATCAAATGCTGTTTCTTCCCTTCATCTAGGAAACTAGCAAGAATAGAGTTCTTCGCCAATACCCTCATTGTCTCCAAGTCTAATCCAAAGGTTTCTTGGACAAGGACATATTCGTCCAAACAGTTGGAGCCGAACATTGCAGGGTCATCCGAGTTTAACGTGCAGAGCAACCCCTTGTCCATATAAATCGGCAAAGGATGTTCCTGTTTAGACGGACAACAACCAGTCAAGACATTCGAGGTCACATTGATCTCCAAAGGGACCCCTTGTTCCCTGAGCACGTCCATAAGCTCGTCATCATACTGTGCAGCAAGGCCGTGGCCAATCCTTTCAACCCCCGTAGACAATGCGGCTCGGATCTCCAACGGTCCTTTGACCTCACCAGTCGCTTCACCCGCATGGGCTGTCAGTCTTAAACCTGCTTTCTTCGCCTCAACGTACGAGTCACGAAACAATTCAATTGGACCACCCGCCTCATCACCGCCGATTCCCACGCCAACAATACTGGCAAATCGGTCTGTCCTTAATCGAGCCGCAAGTCGAAACACTTCCTCCACAGCCGCAGCGCTCCAAGTCCGAGTCGCATCCGCAATCCAGAGAATCGACAACCCGCCAATTCCAGCCTCAAACTCAGTCCTCGCACTATCAACAGCCGTCATGACATCTTCAACTCTCAAATGCGGTTTCCAATGCAAAATATTGCCCCAGGAAATGTATACCTCCGCATGCACGACCCCCTGCGCCGCCAAATCGCACATCATCTCGCGCGCGATCAGCGCATAGTCCTCTGGATCCAGGAGGCGGTCAAGAACGAGTTTGAAAGTGCGTAGAAAGTGCGCGAAGTCCTTGTATGCGTACAAAGCCCTGGCTTCGCCGAGGGTTAGAGGGGTGGTATCGTGGCGGGCGGAGAGGATAACTAGGGTTTCGGGGGTGACGGTGCCTTCGAGGTGGAGGTGGAGCTCGGCTTTAGCGAGGCGACGGAGCCATTGTCTCCTAGGAGTATCCATGTTGAGATGGCGAGATATTTCCGACGATATTTGAACCCGGGAATGAAGTAGCGTCGCGCTGGGCGCCGAGGTTGAGGGTTTAATAGTTTGTCGCTACCTCTGAGTCTGATGTGAAGTCTGATATTTGCGCCCTTGCTGAATCGAAAGGCCGTAAAAGGATTAAAATATGCGGGTATCTACGTGGCTGATCTTAAAGGGTAACCCGGCAGATGGACTTTGGTTCTTCTTAATACTCGAATTTGGGTAAGATATATGATTGATTGATTGATTGATTGATTGAAATTTAACGTCTCATCACGTGAGATGTGCCGGGCGCAGTGCCGGCATGGTCTATGCTAGTCGAATCTATGTTACAGGGGACTGTCTTCATCTAACATTCCTGTTCAGTGCGATGGGCAGATCTCAGTAAAGAAATTGGTCTCCTCCGCCCATTGACAAAACAAACGAGCTCCCTTGGCCGTGCCTAGGAGGGAATCTATACTATTCTTGGCCATATGCGCTTTTAGATGACCGGGCGTGGCCTTGCAGCCGCGCTTGCAAAAGTAGAAGTGGACTGGTGTCTTTGTCTTTCCACACCCGCAGTTGAGCAGTGCGTCGCGATGCTGGAGTCTCTCGTGGTAGGTCACGAAATCCCCGTGGTGCGACCTCGCTGCGAGTAATCTGCCTAGGTGTTGCCGAGGCAGGCCAAGTTCGGGGGGTCGCGGGTGGATAGCGATCCCTAGATCTCGATACTGTTGAGGGTAGGTAGTGGCCCATCGATCGTTGAAACTCTTCCAAGTGTAGGATCTCGCGATTCTCTTTATATGTGCGAATGAGGCCGGGTGTTGTGAAGGTCAACCCTCGCAGACTCACTACAACCAGGTGACTTACAGCTGGAACACCTGCCATGGCAGTGCCAGATGGGAAGCCAATCATAACCCCTGCAGGAGCCCCGCCAAGCGTGGACGACTTAGTCGCGCCCCCTCAAACCTAAGTTGTCATCTTCTTTCCTTCGCTCCTTAGAGTAGAATCTTCGTCGATAGCACCTAATCGAGGTCTCTACCAATGCGATGCAACCCAGGTCGTGACAGTCACGAGGTCGCTGTGGAGCTCTTCCCGCCTGAACTTTAGCCGTCGTCCGAACTTGAACTCACGGTGCTTGACTTTGACCTGCCGGATTCTGGGGAGGTGATGAAGGCATTCCTCAACTGAAGCCTGTTTGCAGAAGATCATCAGTCCGAAGAAGATGCCCACGCCCGTGGCTCGGACGAGGTCGAAGTGGCGACACAACGGGCTTCGGAGCTCGCTGCGCAAGGACTGCAGAAGGCAAGCCAGCGTGCGGGCGCCCGCAACGTCCCCGGCAAGGCTGAGGGCCCGCACGCCCCCATTAAGTGGCTTGACCTGTAGCAGGGCCGTATTGCCCACACCGCACAGCAGACAAGAGCTGAGATCGTAACGTCGAATACAATGATCGCGGACCTGATGGCCGCAGGTGAGTCTTCTGGACGGCTGGTGGGTCAAGCAGCAGAGGCAGAGTTCTTGCTGCGCGATGCGCGCGAGGAGGGCTGTCGGCAGCGACGTGAGGCCGCTTCCTGCTTCCTTCAGGGTGGCTAGCAGCACGTCGGCCCGCGGTCGTCCTTGCTGAATGACCACGGCAGTCATCAGGTGCACCTCACGGCGCACCGCCGCGGCGAACTCTGCCCAGCAGGGGACCTGGCTCCCTAGTTCGTGAAGGAGCGGCTCGTACTGGTCTGTGAAGATACAATCTATATTAAAGACTGGGAGGCATTAGCTTGCTACGCCATTGGACCTTGCCAAGCCGGTACGCAGCGAGAGTGGGGAACATACCGCCCAGTTCGGAGAAGTGCATGTCGCTTAAGAAAGCCGCGGCGACCAATAAAGTCCAAAGCCAGATCTCACCAAAGCTGTCGGTGACACTGCAGAAGGTGGAGGTAACCGAGTGTGTGCAGCAGAGGGATACTTGCAATCCGGAGACTGGCTGTCTATCTGGTTGGACGACGCTGCAGTTGAGAAAGAGATTGCTGCCAAGAGACATGATGAGAAGCATGGGCAAACGTGGTGTACTTTGCGAGTCTTTCATTTCTTGTGAGTTAAGCAGAAAAGGGGAGGGAAGTGAGAAAATTGTCAGGCCATAAGGCAAATGTGTAGCCCCGCGCTGGGGCTCCTCGAATTGATTATTATACTTGTATCTATTAAAAGGCTGTAATATATCCATTCTAAAAAATTGCAAAGGAGATAAAAACTCGAATGGACGGTTGGTCGTCTTCAGCTGTAACGATGGACGTCTATCTTGGTGCATAAGCCCCGGCGTGCGTCTATTGGAAGGGCTATGCTATAAACGTGCGCTACTATAGTACTGATCCTTCCACGGGAGGTGCCTTGGTCAGAGAAATAGGCGCGTTAGTCTAAACTTTACTACATATCTGTCAGATCAAGGGGGTCGTCTCTAGTGCCACGGCCGTGCACTCGTGGCGGCCCACCCTGCGCTTGCCCTGCCTGGTTCCCACGTTGTTCGACGTGCCCTTCAGAGATCCCCGCTTGAGGTTGGTGAGAGCCAAAACTCCGAGTATGCGGCCGTCGATGCTTGCTCGCAGCTTCTTAGTCGTTCTGTACGGACGGCAAATAGTCTTCATCAACTTCAGGCACATACCTGGTCGCGTAGGTGCAGCAGCGGGACCGACTGCGACTGGCGAGGCAGTTGGAGCAACAGTTCCGAAAGGTCCCCTCAAGAACAACACAGAAACGAAAAGGCCGCTCCTCACATTGCACGCACGGCTGCGGTACCTCCTCTCCGCGGCTATGGCAGAGGAGAGCCTCTGCCGTTCTATCATCTCCTAGCCATAAGCCTCGAAATACAGGCTCCAGGAGGCCCATCCTTCCCGAGCGGCGCGTTGGAGAGGCAAGCGATAGACGTCGAATTGAACGTCCGTACGAACAAATGCTGGCGCCACGTCGGCGGTGTGCCATGTGATAATACCGACCTGGACGTTCATTGCGTCTTCGGGCTGAGGCTGTCGTGGAATGGCAACGTAGATGCCTGGGAACGCTTCGAGCCAGCGGTGTGGCTTTACCATGTTAGCTGTCGGCGTCATGTATACATAGCAGGCGCGGGCGTCTTACGAGGATGTCTTGATCTTGATCCATGGTGTCTGTAGAAGGGGAGAAAAGCTTTGTCGACGGCAGCATGGGGACGGGACGTCTTATATAAAATACTGGGCTTGTCATACTAATACTGGGGTGAATTTTCCCATCGCGCTATTGCTATACATGTCGCCGCACACGTACCCCAGTGCCACTCTCCAGTCCGGTCCGGCGTCGCGGGTCCATCCACGCCCCAAAGGGATGCCATGGACCTGGCTCACGTGGTTGACCCATGAAATCCTGCCGAACCTTTGACAGAAAGGGGCGTTGCCGAAGGCGGCGTCACAGCTAGGGTAGGGACAGAGCAACAATTCCGCGTCCAGGATCGCGGCGTGGTGAACCTTCCAGTGCATGGCCAGCGCATCGACTCTGTACGTTCGCTGTCGCTGGACTTTCCCGGCCGACTTGTCGCCCCACCGGCAAAACCCACAAGCGTACTTGGTGGTGCCCCAAGTCCCTGCCATCGCCTTTGGTTTTGGAGCCTCTGCTCCTGGCGTCGAAGCTTGTGACTCGTTCGTGCCCTTCGCTCCTTCTGCGCATCTGGCGCGAACCTTGCGTCCCGCCCCACCTCGATATACTCTACTTTGTTTGAGGAGACACAGTCGGCTAATAGCGAGGCTGATCTGGACACGCAGCTCGCGGATGGCCTCTTCGGACGTCGCGTCGCTTGCGCCGGCAAAGAGGTCGGCTACCAGTTGCCTGTCCGGCAGCTCATGCTCTGCCGACGGCTCAAGGGCGGCTTTGTCCGGCTCTTCCCCGTCTAGCTGCCGTGCGACCTCCTGAGCATGAGCCGTGCTGTGAAAGTCCTGGATCGCTTGGTCAAGGCGATTCTTTTCCAGCATTGCCTTCGTTTTCTTGACGAGATTCTGATAATGCAAGTACTGCTGCTCAAGCTCAGTTCCCTTGCTATAGTACCGAGTCTGACCATACTGCCGACGGAGCTCCGAATAAAATGCATTGCGTTTCTCGCGACATGATACGAGCGTGGAATGATTGTACATCTTTTGTCTCTGCTTTTCGGTTAGCTTCGTTGGGGCGCCCCCGTATCGATGCAGGCGGCCCATGCGCTCGATGAGATTCACCTGGCGTTCACTCCCAAAGGTGATTGCTTGGCAATCAGCAGCAATGAAGTTGGGCATGTAGTAGGCAACGCAAGTTGATGAATTGCCCTGGCGATGACCATCGCTTTGTTCCGCTCATCCGGAGTGGGTGCCTCTAAAAGACAGATTTAGCTACATATCACGGCTCTGCTGTCAAGAGGGGAGACCTACCGTTGAGTTTTCTGCCCGACCGTCGTCGAATGTCGTAGAATGGCCAGGTCTTTGCAATAGCCCGTCGCCCGCCCAAAGCTGTGGAATTTCTTACGAGCCGTCTCGTAAGCCAGTGGCTTTGTAGGGCTGATGGCTTTCCCGTAGTCGCTTGCTTCGGTCGGCCGGAACACCGGCCGTGCCATCCACTCCTCGCTCCATGGCAAACGAATGCGGTCTGCCTCATCGGGGACTCGCATAGAATGGAGCTGCTCCAGACTCGTGATATCGTTCAAGAATGCCCTATCCGCAAGAGCAAGCGCTAGCATATGGAGAACGGGATCGTGGAGCAGGGTCGGCTCTTCGTGAAGTCCAAAAATCATACGGCCTGCAGCCTTCTTCTTCACATGCTGGAGATCCAAGAGGCCGATGCGGGCAGTGGTACTTCCTGGAGCGGGCCGGAATATCTGGAGTTCGACGTGGCGATATAGGACATTGCCGATCAGTGCATCTGGGCGGGTTGTTGTAGCAGCGGCGATGATAAGGATCAACGTCATTTGTGCTCGAAATCTTTCGTAAGGCATATTCTCTCGGTGCCATTGACCCAAAGATGGTAAAGGATTCGATCGAGGTCATCGACGAACAAGTCCGACTTGTCTTTTTGGGAAGTGTCGAGACCAAACAAGGGGATCAGTTCGCCATTGATCCACTGCGGTAAAGCTGGTTAGCAGAGGCCCCGTATACTAGCTGATCTTTCGTTCTTACATTGGCAACGTCCCGGAGGATCTCCTCTGTCATCCATTTGCCGGTGGCTTCATTTAAATTCACGTAGAGCCACTTCCAATACGTCTTGACGGTAGATTCTTTTTTGATCCGGGACCTTGGCTTGGCTACGAGCTATCGAAGGTAAGCCTTGAAGATTGCTGCGTTAGGATGGACGAGTTTCTCGTGTGGATCGATGCCAGCCTCTGTCGCAAATCTGTCGAGCATAAGCATTTAGAAATATCTAATACTTCTAGAGCTGATAGGTACTTACTTGCGCCATTTCTCCATTTGCCTTGCTAAGGCATCTTGTGTTCTCTCGCCATGGTTGGCAGCCGTAGGGCCCTGTTCGGCGTACTGTTGAATCATCTGCTGGATGCTATTGGTAGCATTGGTTCCACCGCCCTGGCCGAGACAGTCGATGGAGAAACGACTTTGCGAGTAGCTGACAGCTCCTTCTTCGTTGCTGCCCTCGTCGATGCCGTCATTTGCTACATCCACTGCTATCAGAGCTCTCGACAACCTCGTTGCTATCGTCCATGCTTTGGTAAAAGAGGGGTGGAGGCCGATGTCCAGCTCGAGATCGAGGCAATTTCGGCGGGCGTAAGGTTATTGCTCGTTTCGTTGGCTGGTCTATGGCCAAGCCAAGGGGGGACAAGCCAAGGGGGGAAGGCCGCTCCACGGGGGTGCTTTTCCTCGCCACGGGGGTGCTTTTCCTCACCCCGCGGCGTTGATAGGCTCGTCGTGGATATCCTATTGATATCCGCGCGAGAAGCTTCTGAGAAGTACAAGGACGGGTAAAAGGGAAAATGAATGAATTTGTTTTGTATTCTTGTTAACAGGTTTGACACAGTAATAATGAATGCCTGGGCCTGCGCCTGCGTACATGGAATTCAAAGTCCACACCTGGGCATCCTCACACGCCGCCGGTTGGTTGCCTCTGGGCTTCTTCGCTCGAAAAGCATCTTAGGAATCGACCACGCCATGACAAATCTCAGAAATCGTCCACACAACCAAAACCATTGGTCCGAAACCGTCCATGCTGTCAATAGCGTTTAGCTCGTCATGCAATATGGATTAAACGATCGTTCAATCATTGGACATAGCCGGTCTAGCCACTCAATTCAAGTTACTAGGCAGAGGTGGTTGAGCAGGTTGCACAGTGAAGGTACGATTTGAACACGACTTGAACGCGGCCTTCACAATGGGTCGCCGCAAAACAAGCAGGCGGTGTAAATTCGCACAAGCGCTTACTAAGTGGAAAAGGTTGGGTAACGATGTTATATTTGCCTTTTAAGCCGGTTGCACAAAGTATGAACAACACTAGATTGTCCTGAGGTTCTCCTCCGTGTGTGCGGCTAGATAAATGTCAGAGAACAGAATGCCATAGGCACCAGTGGGTGAACGCAAGACACCGATGGGCCGCCGGAGGGGTGTTTCGGACAAAAGACTCCCGAATCATGATTACAATCTATGTGAAGCTTTGGGATGACGAGAGTCAAGATCCTTGGCATCGTCGACCCTGCTGTTATGCCGGGTCCAAGCGGCGGCCTAGCTATCTATATAAGGACCATCTCGAAGTAGGATAGGGAAGGAGTTGTCAGAGCCACAAGTGTCATCCGAGGCGGGCCGGCTTCCACCAGGTAGGAAGCCGTTTGTGGCGAATGAGGAGCCGGGAAGCCGTTTGTGGCGGCTAGAGAGCCGTTGAAGCCGTTTGCAACGGATAGGGAATCGCTTGGTTGCAGATAAGGAGCCGCTGTCCAAGATATTGGCCGAAGTCGGAGGAACACAGACATACGGAAGCAAACATCCAGAATCCAAGAGAGAACCTCGGCTGGCTATAAGTAAGGAGTCGAGACGGAGGAAGATAGAGAGGACAGAGATCAATGCATCACCGTGGGCACCCCTACCTGAGACCGCCAGTGACCACCCGGTGCTACGTAGGAGGGACGCCCGTTACTCCCCATCACTCTGTACTATTGCCTTCGGCCTAGCCGTACCCTGACAGCCAGTTGGTTCATTACTTTGCGCCGTTGCTCCTCACCCGCCTCGTTCCAGTCCAGCGGCTTGCCTGGCATCTTCTCCATGAGAACATAGGAAGTCCCGACGATATTTGCTGAGCCTTGAAGCTGGTAGTGATACACCTTGGGAGCTGGGACACTGGTTTTGGCCAAGAACTCAAGTGTCGCTATTTCGCTTAAGAAAACGTAACTCTGGACACCTGGGGGAGGCAGGACGGGATCTTCTAGCCGGATCCTTGCAATCCAAGTGACACCATCATCGAACTTGATATCGACGTGGCAGTTTTGTCCCCCCATCTGGCGAGAGACGACATCTTCTCCAGAAGCCGAACCATCGTGTTCCAACGCTGGAATACGGCAGGGCACACCTTTGCGAATATTGCTAGCCGTGTGTTTTAGGCCCTCGACATTAACCTTGTCCAGCAAACGTTGGAGATGGTGTTCTTTCGCAATGGCATATTGAACAAAATAATCTTCGGCCGCGGTCAACTGCGGCTCAAATAATTAGTCTTAAACTATTCAACTTTGTGCGGAACTGGATCTTAGGGGCTGCCTTACACGTGACGGGCATTGATGATAGCTGGGTTTTATGTGGTTGAAACATAGGTGTTGCGCACAGATCATGCAATCTCCAAAACTGCGTTCTGCCGGCTCATGGCATTGATCATGGGCGCAATTCCGGAGGGCCATCTCAACTGAATGAGGGTGGCAGAATGATCGTTTCGGGCTGGTAAGTGATGTGGTGGAGGTAATTTGAAGAAGGTAAGAAGGGAGAGAGGATGAATGTGGCAACAGTTTGGTTGGTCGCACCTTTGAGACATGCATGGTCAAAGATCAATATTTATTATTATTATTAAATACGCCGTAGGCTCGAAGCCCCCGGTACCTCTACTAGTACTCCCGTATGTCAAACCGTGCCCTAATGGCTGGACTAAATACATACGCTGCGTCATCGGTTCGCCCTATTGGCGACTGCGTTGCGTTCACTACCATACTACGTTGGTTCTCAACCTACCAACAAAGTCCCCCCTGAGAAGATCGATGCTATCTGGGCCTTGAAGCTGTCCGACCCGTCCCTAGCAGTCACCTTACAATAGTCCCACTAACTACTGGTTCTCCTGTTGCCGTTGCGAGGTCTCTGCGAGAGTATAGTGGCCGTGGTGCGATAGCGGCCCGTAATCGTTCCCTCGGTCCTTCCAACAGCCCGCAAAAGAGGATTACGTGCTCTGCCGTCTCAGGGGCGTCGCCACAGCGGCATAGCGGCGAGTACACGCCAAAAGCCCCTGTCTTGAATAAGAAGGCTGCTAGTCCTATTTTTTCCGTCCTGATAATCAATATTTTGTTTGTTGTCGTTCATAACGCGTTTTGATTGCTGACTGGGAACCATTGCCGTCGCAGGGGGTTCCATGTACTGCCCCATGCCTCCTGCGCAACGTGCCATCTCGCTTATCCAACACAGGTACATACTGTCGATGCCTTGAAATGAGCCACTTCCCCGCGGTATGGAGGGAGGCGGAGGTGTTAATGCTCCCGAAGGTGGGACGGAACCGCGACCTCTCCGACCCCAGTAACTGGCGTCCTATTGCTCTGCTCTCGTGCGTGGGCAAGGCCCTGGAGCGCTTGGTTGCCCGCAGGCTGGTCTGGATGCTGGTTCGCGTGGGGCCTGTCAGTTCTCAGCACTCAGGAACTCTCTGGGCGCTCTGCGTCAGACCTCGCATGTAGCCTGGTTCACGAAATCGAAAAGGCGTTGGGCTTATTGGACACACGAAAGTTCTCCGCCTCATCCCAGAGCGCCACGAGGAATTGTTGGATTGTGTGCCTCTTTTTAAGTAGGAAACACGTAATGCACGAATAATATAATACTATAAGTTAATAGCCTAATAGATGATCATTAATAGTCTGTCTGTCTATTCTGTGTTCATGTCTGTGTTGTTGTTGTTATGAGGTGTGTAGGCCCCTTCGTATGGACGAAAGCTGGGAAGCTTCTTCTAGCCCCGAATGCCTGAGGCCTCCAGTTTTGCCTCCTGATTAGGCCTGCATTCTAACAGGAATGCCTTGGGACACAGACAGCCTACACTACATTCTCGACGATGCCCCTGCCCCCCTGCCTCATGCCGGGCCAATCTTCCAAAACGGCCATGTTCGCAAGATCTACGACGCCGGGGACGCGGCTGCCGTTTTTGACTTTGGCAACTCGCTCATTCTCACCTCCAGAGGTCACGGAGGCGTATAAGAAGCTGGAAAAGGCACGCCGTGAGGAATGGATAAGCAATAGGATGATGGAGCTACTGGAGGGAGATGTCGCCTGCCAAAATGAAGAGGACAAAAAAGCTGTGATAAATAACCCAAACTCGTGATGATTCTTCTCCAGGTGTGTAGTCAGGTCGCGGATACTGGCGAACGTTTTGCAGCCCAGAAGACACCGGAAGGGTTCCTCTTCGCCTGGTGCATGGTCCTCATGCACGTGAGCGCACCACTCGCCTAGATTCCTCACTTGCGGCAAAGGCGCCTTTTTCCCCATTCGCTGGCATTCAGGACAGTCTAGTGGCCAAATTGCTTCAGCGGCATGCTTCCTGTTGCTGTGTATCCAAACGGCATCCCACGAGTCGCAGGTGGTCAGGCACAAGAAACATGTTGGCTGCCCATAGAGCGTTGGGTTTAGATACTTGAGAAGTAAGCTGATATAGATCGCCTCCCGTCCGGGGGGTGGAGTGTCATTCGAATGCCACTTGAGTAAGGAGCTGATCTTGCTGGTTATCGATTTCGCGGGATGGCCGTCTATTGTCGTGGCACCGGGTGAACTGGGCAGGGTAACCAGGAAATCGGTGGTCTGTCCCATTACCCGTAGCGCATTCGCATCTCCAAAGAATTGCTATCTCGCTTCTTCACTTTGAAGCCTGTTTAGGGGGTCGTCACTGCGGCGCAGAGCAAGGATATCCTCCCGCTCATTCGAGCTGGCGACGTCCTCCATCGACGCTTGTGTGGGGGCGAGCTCATCACATCGCAGAGACGATCGCTGCAGTATGCCGAACAGACTATTGCCACTTTCCGTAGCAGTCTCAGGCGCCAGGATTGTAAGGAGATTCTCTCTCTCACGTGTCTTGCTTGGTAGCTTCTCTCGTATACCGCGGTTGTATGGGAGAGAAGGTGATTCCGTAGGGCTGGGCCGATGTTGTCTGTATATGGAAGTGAATAATGCGCTAGAGCTGTAGAGGCTCTAGGGAGGTTGACGAAATATACCGTCTAGTCTGCTCCCTGCCCCAACTCTTACTGCATAGGGTCGCAGGCCGTCTGGATAGCCTGCCACCATGACCGTACGTCTCCAGATGCTCCAAAATCTATTGTAGGAGATAGAGAACACCTCGTTTCCTAGCACTTCGTTCTTCCATGGTAGAGGTATGCATGCCATACGCTCGTCGAACAGAGGTTGATTTAATAGCTGGTCTAGTGTCGCGAAAGGGGTCTCGCAAGCGTCTGCCGCTAAAGCTCGTGCCACCATAAGACTCACGGGATAGAAGAGACAATAAGAGTGCATGGGAAGGGAGAATTCGAGGCTTTAAGACGTTACCAAAGAAGATCAGGCAGGAGCCAAAAAAGGGAGAAGGGGAGGTGTTACGGAGGCTTACATGTTTTTCTGGTTCTGGTAGACCAGCCCGGCTTTCTGCTTATTCTGATGAATTGTAAAGGTAGCAACGAGGCCCTTCTGGCCGGTTCCAGGGGCACGCACTAATTCCACACAAACGTCGCGGTACTTGAGATCCGTCAGAACGCCTGGGCGGAAACCACCAATAGCCCCAACCAGGAGCATATAGTGGAAGGAGATTCGAGTCAGAGGGTCACATGTGATCCGATCGGCGGACCGCCAGAGGACTTGGAGCAATAATATGATATCATCCTTTGTAGCCTCTTTCTTGACGAATAATTGCTCGCGGCTTAGCCCCATAGACTCTGCTTCGGCGCCAATCCACTAAGACGAGGTGTTTAGCTAACAGGTGTCCAAGTGCGTACGGGCTTTATACAAGAGCAAGTTTAAAAGTAAGAGATGAGAACGCAGAGAACGAACCCTTGTGACTTCACTAACCGGGCCAAAACCGGGATTTGTGATTATGTTTTCACCGAATTTCAAATTGAATCGCGCTGCGTTATTGGGATAATCCCGGCGCTTTTGGGCCAGGACAGTGTTATTGAAGGCCATAACAGTAAATTTCCAGAGGCAGACCAGGGAGGAGGCCTGCCTAAACGTACGCTCTTCTCGTCGTTCTTCCGCACCGAGTGTAATTCGCGATCTTACTGTCTTTGTTGCAGTCAAAAACAAGTATGTCTTGCAGCATCTGATAGCAGCTGCCTGCGCTACGTATAGCAGTGGCTGTCGAGCTCTATTTATGTGCTTCGTCCGCATGACAGCACCTTGAACAATTGATGCGCAGTGATTTCTTTAGGTATTCTCCTTGGAGCCCCGAGCTCCCAGTGATTCACCTGTATCGCATAGTTTGCCGCTGGCTGTTCTTTATACGTCAGCAAACTTATTTCGATATGATATGAATGGATTATAAGGTTCTACACATGCTAAATCACACGAGTCCAATCGGAATGATATTCTCAAATTCATTGACTATAACGGAGGGAGTAGTAGTTGGGTCGCACCCCTGAACTGCGTCTAACTTTACAGTCCATCACTTCTCTTCCTGACTTAGAACTTACCTTTGCCGATTCTCGCCAGATCATCATTCTGGAGTGTGTCCTTCTCAATACCGTCGGTGGCCTGGCTCAGCATGGCTGCCGAAAAATCACTTATATCAACAGCTCCCAAAGTTGTCCACTTCAGAACGAAGCCCAAGGCCTGCCTCAGTGTGTCTCCTGGCGATATGATCAATCCCGGCTTCACGATACAAGCTTCGACATGTTCTTTGTGCTGCTGTGCGAACTGCAAAATCGCGGTTTCAACTTCGCCCTGAAACATAAAGGGTGAATAACATGGTTTGTCAGATGGGGAAGGGGGAGGCGTGCCCTCAAGAGCGAATATTGGCCTAGGTAGAAGGGGCGTTTAGTTTGGTCGCGTTCAGCTTTGCTTCCACTCACGTAGATGAAGCGAAGTGGCTTCATCTCCTGGGTTGGTGATGATGACCTGGCCTTCGAGATAGCCTGAAGCCAGGCAAGAGTTGAGTCGTAGCATAAGCGACGGACCTCTTTGAAGTTGAGTTCATTCGCCTTCGACGGGGTGAGACCCACAGTCCTTTGCCACATGGTAAGTCACAATCTTCGTCATGTTCAGGAGTGAGAGTGGCGTGGGCTATCGATCCGGATAACCCCGGTCATTGTGGGCGTAAGGTGGTAAGAAACAATGCTGACCATATACATGCATCTGCATTTTCGAGCTCTTTCATCGCCTCATCTGGGACTTTCTCATAATCCTCGATCACAATGCTCTTCAGCTTCGCCGGATCAGCACCGAGCCCATGAGTTTCGGGGATCTCGATCGGACGTCGGGCTAGTGCGACAACGGTCGTGATCTTTGGAAGCTGGAGGCTCTGTCTTACAACATTTGAGCCGACGAAACCCGAAGCTCCAGCAATGATTAATTTCATGGTTGATAAGTGCTATCACTCGAGTAACATGAAAGATAGAAACAAGACAATGGGACACTGAAAAGTGGAAAGTCAAGGAGCTCCGCTGGAAGTATTGGTGAGGGTGAGGGGACACGCGAATGAGTCAACCTCGAGAAGGAACTGATATTCTTACGGATGGATGTAAGCTCTGTTATGTCCGCCCGGATGGGCCGGAGCTAACATGAAGCTAAGCCGCCATCCCAATCTGTCTTGACATAGCCACCATGGGATTCAGCGCTACACTGCCCTAAGCCGAAGGCAGTGTAGCGGAAATTGTAGCTAGCGGGGTCAGATCCTTCACAACCCCCTCACAGACATAGCTTTCTACATAACACTTCTAGCAACCAACGCAGTACAACGCGTGGCGCAGACATATCAATCAATACAGGATCCACAGAGTCATCAACAGAGGACCGAATCCCTTAGCCACGTCGTTGAGATTGTCAATCCCTCATGGAACATTATTGCTATACTAATTTGTGTATAAGCCCTCAGGAGGCCAACAAACACGATTACAATCATAGCTTACAGCAACTTTCTGGAGATTAGACTGCCGCCAGTTGTGGAAGCAAGTTGTCAGGACACAGCGTTATGTAACTTTATGTAGCTACGACTTGATATTGAGTGAGGGGTACTATTTTTCCCCGCGAATGGTGCCGTGAGACGAATACACTCTGGTCTTTATAGTCTTATATATCGTCCCCGTTCCAGTCCATGGATTATGGAGTTGGTACCGGATGTTATCAAGTCCAATAAGGGAGGTGAGGGTGAGGCCATTCATCCGTCCAATCAGGCAAATCGTTTCTCTTATATGCGGTCATGTTGAGGCCAATTCGGTCCGGCCAAGCAGACACCACTTTGGAGCAGAAAGTGATGGCTGAATTCAGAGGCATCGGGTCATTAATGTTGGAATTTCCAAATTTCCAGCGATGGTTACGACTTAGGGGCTGCTAAAGCTCTTAGTGGGCCACCGGTGGCTGGAAATTTTCCATGAGGACCTTTTCCCAGTGGATTTAATCCATAACTTCCAAAAATTCTCCTCATAACCTCCATGCCAAAGCATAACAACATTCCGCATCACAGTGGCCGACCTCATGACACTCAACACGGTGTAAGTCATGATGTTTCCGATTTCGTTATGGAAAGAAGTTCTGCATCACGTTTCTAGGCCAAAGTGGCTTAATATTGGTGCCGCACACCACCAAATCGGAAGACTTACAAGATTTCATAGAAAGGATAATATCGCGGAAATTTGAACATTTCACCAGAAAGATCATTTTGGGTCTTTCTCTTCTCTGCGAACCCGTCTCATACTCAGGTCCTGGAGTTCGGATGCGGCTATGCGTCTTGTCCCAGGGGCTACTAGCAACACAATCTTCGACTCTAGATGAATCACTGCAAGGTTTTTCTCCTTTGACGGACCATCAAATTATGAGCAGTCACCCTCAAAGAATCGAAGAGAAAGCTCCACGTATTCGCCATTTGATCATCTTCTCAACAAGGCAGATGGACAGCAATACGATTATGCAGTCTCTATCCTGGAATCCTTCCGATGCAGTAGCCAGTTGAAGGGCATGAGACCAACGTAATGAAAGCGAAAATACACAAACAAACATAAGTTTGACCCCAGCCAGGTCGATGAACAATATTGTCTCATCGGGATCCTTAGAAGTGGTGTTAATACAGGTGGGGCCTGGTTTGCGATTGATATGCGATATACCACGATTCCGGCAGATCCAGGCTCCTAGCTTGTGCATGGGTGTCCCAAACTGGTGCCTTTACTGGATGCTTGCCGGTAGGTTCATTATCAGGTTAGCATATAAGAGCGACTACGATGAAGAATGGGTTGAAACATGATTCTATTTATTGCATGACTTGCGCCAAGTCGACCAGAGGCTCACCAAGGGCACTTTGCAAATTTGTAATCTCCACCGCGACGCTCCAACTCCATTCAATTTCAGACGAAACATCGCGGATCTTGCGTGGACGCCCCCAAAACCAGTTACGGTGTATGGGGTCCTTCGTCTTAATGGCGACTATGAACTTTGGCCAGACGAAGCGAATCACTCGACACTTCTCTTGTATGTATTGATCGTGTAACGTATCGACAATGCGTGGAATTACGTGGCGGTGGATCGGCTTTGCTGGACTCGACTAAAGAGGCCAGCAGCGGCAGAAGAGAATATGGGCCCAATATCATGCCACGGCCTTGTTTGTTTTGGTAGCATGCCCTTACGGAGGTGTGCGATTGGCAGTCGTAGATACTGTGGGGAATACATTTTGATATCTCTGTAAACTTATGGAGTTGGAATGTTGCGTTTTCGTGATGGAGTACTCATTTAACTTACATATTGAGGCTGCGTCAACTCATGCATGAACGCCGTATATGCTTGTGCTATACCGTCAGATGCGGTGTTGCTCTCGCCTTCCCTATGGCAGACCTGGCCATGTAAACCCGGTGCACGCACTCCAACGGCTTGAGGATCTCAGTCTTGTCAATGGGGCAATTAAGGGGGATTCTTATGGCGGAACAGGGTAGGGACAACAAGTACCACCAATGCTTGCATATCTATCTACCTTACGTAAAAGGTGGACGTCGGGAGAAATAATGAGGTCAAGCTAAGGCGACAACACATTTAACGAAAACCACCACATGCAGTATCCATAGCAGTAGTTGTGAAGATGAAGGTACGAGTTTAATTTCCCTCGGAGGTATTGGAGCGCTGCCTCTTTCCTGTAGCCTGCACGTCCCAAGCTCGCACGCATGAGATACCAAGGAGTTCAGACCCGAAAGCCTCAACAGGTTACCAAGGCTCGTTGAATGGCCTCTTGGACGGTCTGTATGATCACGCCATACCAATTTGGCCCTAAAGGTCATATTTGCGGTCTATTTGTGGGAAGCTGTGAACTCAGGTATAGAGGGGTACGTACTCCACCCGACATGGTTTGTGTTTAGGGGGCCTCCCGGTCAATTAATTGGTCCATTCCCCTCGCACTTCATAGTACCTATGCAGCACCCAGTGGGCGGAAACCGACACCATTTAACCATAGGTCGTCATCACCATCACAGAATCCATTTAGCAAGCAGCCATTCATTTCTTTCTTTCAAACATTATCACATTCTGCTGCGACGACCACAGATGGACCATTGCTCGTCACACTTGACTTTTTGCGGATTCGACATGAGGAGCAGCCTGGAACCCTTTCACATTGACAGGAGAACGAAGTGCTTACCGTTCTTAGCTTGCGGTACCAACTGCCCGCAATTGTAGAAACTGCACGAGCTAATCGTCCTTGCATGGAATATGCGCATTCAACGTTGCCGAGAAAGATCGAAGGGAGTGAATTGCCCGTCTAGCTAAGCTTTACCAAGATCTCCTGATGCTCGGCGTCGTGTTCCTGCAGATCTTGTGGGTCCCGTGTAGTTGTTACCATAGTAAACATTGTGCAGATGAGCCCAATAAGAAGATGGCGTTGAGATTGGAGACCGTGTCCAACAAGGACGATGCCAGCTTACTATGGTACGAACGGGGCTTGGCTCCACAGGTACCTTGCCGACTTGCAGACTTGGCATGGCAAATTCACTCGAAATAGCTAATTCGTACTTTACCTGGGACAACTCCATAATCGACGTCTTCATGTGCCCCGCATGATGGACGTGGTTGCGATTTGTGAAATGAAAAAATTAGTCCCGTTAGCTGGCAGGTCAGTCGGAGGGTCGTAGACAGCGGAAAAAAACTTTTGTCCGCTATAGTCCTGCAGCGGAGGTTGCTGGCAGGAATGCCGACTGGACATATTCGTCCTAGTATCTCCACCGCATTACTGAATTGATTTGATCGGTGGTATCCCACGACTGAATGGCCCCTCGGATGATTGATATTGTTGCTATTGTCCACAGGCTTGCGTGTGTTGTCTCCGTTGAAGGCACAGCCTTCATGAGGTTCCCAAGGCTCCGAGTCGCATTTCAAATATTCAAGGCTTGATCTCGACGGGCGCTCCAAAAAGATGTTCGACAATGAAGATACGTCTATGGAGATGTGTAACGGGTTCGTATTCCCTCATTTTGTTTCCTTGTCTGTGACAACCAGCGCTGATGCTAGTGATTTGACCCGTTGTGCGGTTCTTGGCCCGCCGGACAAAGGACATCATGAACTGAGCCCTGATGCACAGGTTATGATCTTAGAGACCTTGTCTGCTGAGTGGGTCTTCGAGACGCTATCCGAGGTTCCAGAGTTTCACGACTACGCCAAACGCCTAATTAGTGCCACGCCCGAAGGCACCATCGTAGACTGGAGGCTTATGTGGAGAAATCTACAATCAAACACGATTTCCCCGCTCGGCCGCGTGGTGCAGGCCGGAGATGCTGCGCATACCCTTTTGTCATCATCAGGGAGTGGTGCCAGTCAGGAGATGGAGGTTGCTAGCTACCTTGCCGTCTATTGCATACGGAAGGGAAGTGCAACATTTCGTGGGTGACCAAGGCTCATAACAAACTTCGGTCACGATATTGTTACCGTTTTAGCAGGCTGCTAAAGTGTTATTCAAAAAGATTCGAGCGCGTTTCCTGTTGCGAGGAGCTCGGCTTCATCAACTACCAGCTCCGGATGAAAGCAACCGCCAAGGTCGTCGCAAAGGACCATAATCAGATTAAGTCGGAATTCGGCCAGTAGATCTGGAGGAATGAGCCGGAGAAACACGTCTGTGAAGATTATGGCAAGGCGCTTGATCATCTGCAAAATGGCAAGCCATTGCAGAAACAAACTTACCTCCAGAACATGTGTATGAGCCGTGGTCTGTGGATCAGGTGACGGCGCAAATCGAGGTGGGTGTACCTCACGTTCTGTAACGATCTCTGACAACCTCTGGTAAGAAGTCTCTTTTCACTGGATTTGTGTTCGCTGCTGGAGTTGGAGAATACCATGGTCTATATGTTTGTTATAATAAGGACTTAGGTAAGCACTTAATTGTAACATCGATGCAAATCGTAATGTTGATGGAACACCAGTGCGCATCGAACATGGCTTCGGTCGAGTGACCCAGATAAAGCCAGTCATCTTATCTACTACCCCAGATGGACATCATATGTACTTGACCACCCTCGGTAATCCACGCAACAAGCTTAAGCGTTGCACTTATCAACACCGTACTTTGAGTCGGATGAAAGTGAGTAGCATGAGATGGGCGGTTTGCGTCGCCAGCATAGACAATTGAGACGTACGGTTGGTGCTCCCTAAAAGGCTGTAAATGGTGCTACTCAGTCAACATTGCTTACTCCGAACCATTACAGAGCTATCGGTTGATGGCGTCAGCCGATCTACCAAGAAGAAAGACGTAGAGCGCCGAGTAATGAGGAATACATTTTATATAGCAATAGCATGCTTGCTCGCGAGAGTTTCAATAATCAATCCTTTTACTCAACGATTGTTCTCTCGATTTCTTGCAAGACGCCTATATTTTTTCCGTCCAATTTCTATTCCGACCTTGGCTTCTCAAAGTACGCCGAAATGGTTTGGAATTGGAGTTTACTCGCGATACTCTTGCTTCAGGGTTTCTTCTTCTAACCTCAACCGTCAGCCCCGGTAGATGGGAAGGTATGGCCAAGCGTAGGGCTACAAAACCCCGCTTCAAACCAGAAGTAACCATCATAAAGAAAGAAAAAAAAACATCTTTTTTTGGCCTTCATATAAATCTCCGGTGGTGGCTTCAGCCACGTCTTCCTTACTCCCTTTTACGAGCGCGCTGCGTTGATGGACTGCCTTACGAATCTCAATTCATCTTGTGTTGGCAAAGCCCGTCGACATAAAGGGAATCGGCTTTCAAGGATCGCCTCTAAACCACGACGACTGGACTGCTGGAAGGCATCGTGGATATTTAACGTCATTAGTAAGCACCGTGCACGATTTGGCCGCATGCAATTCTCGCCTGGATAAGTAATGTTCCGAAGTGCAAATGGTCTTGCATTGAATATGTCATGATCTCTAAGATCCCTCAAAGGATGGGACTGTGTAGAAATGAACGATGGCTGCCCCACAGGCCGAAATTGTGTGGTGCGATGATTAGTGGTCACATTGGCCCATAACGTACGGTAGGTGGCCATATGTCCTCAAAAGCTGGTAATCTTTGGTGCAATAGCCTTGAACGTCCAACAATAAGCTCGAGGTCGTTGAAAGTGGAAACAATCTCAACCTCGGTATCAGGGATCCTACGTCTATCAATCGGAAGCAGCAAGCGAGCCGCATGGACGTCCTGGTGAGCTCACTGCTGACGCCAACCTGCCCTATATGAACGACGACGATGACGTTTGGTTGTCAAATTGAAACAAGCAAGCGGTCCCATCCAACCTGGAATATTTCCCTCCGTATTCAAGGGATATCGGGCTAAAACAAACCAAGAACAACTATCGACTCATCACTGGTGCTGGCTAGAATCTATCATCTAGCCAGACTAAGAATGGTTAGGTATGGTCGCGAATTACTCCGTACTATTTTCTGCCTACGCGGTTTCAGGTTTGCGAAAGCACCTGCATTGCCCCACCAAGAAACACTTTGGATCTGACGACAGGCATGGGCGATTCGCCTGGGCCGAAAGGACATGGGCCGGAAATATCTTCATCCCCTAAACTCCTAACTATAAGAGATGCCAAGAGCCAGCAGTATATACTTCCCCTTCCACACACTCTTTCGTTCTTCAACACTTGCAGCTGTCGCTTGCGCCAATCGTTTTCACCCTTCTCGAACTCTGATTCGTCTTTCGTTCTTTAGCCCCGGTGGTTTTATCCTTGCAACAGATCCTTGATCCCTGCAGATTACCCAGTCTTAACACATCCAATCACTCACTTACACAAAGCGACAACTTTGCAACCATGCGTTCCACTACTTCTCTGATGGCCGTTGCGGCGATGCTGCCGTTTGCCTTTGCCCACTACAACTTTGAGGCACTCATTGTAAATGGAGAAGTCACGGACGCCTACGAATATGTGCGCCAGACCAACAACTCCAACTCGCCCGTCACGGACGTTACGTCTACCGACATGATCTGCAACTCGGGTGGTTTGTGTAAGTTAGGCCCTGCCGCTCTATCAACATCGAAAGTTACTGACTTATCCCTTCCACAGTGTCCGCTACCATGGCCAAGACCAAAACCTACACCGTCGCCCCCGGTGATAATGTCGGCTTCATCGTAGACGCCTCCCTCAGCCACCCAGGCCCCCTCTCGGTCTGGATGAGCAAAGCCCCCGACGGCACCGCGGCCAACGCCTACGACGGTTCGGGTGACTGGTTCAAGGTCTACGAATTGACCTACAGCACCATCAACTCCGAAGGTATCCAATGGGCCACTTACCCGTCCGGCACCAGTGGCCTGAGCAACTTCACCATCGACCTGCCCTCCACCCTCCCCGCGGGCGACTATCTTATGCGCGCCGAGCACGTCGCTCTCCATGCCGCCTCGGAGGTCGGCGGTGCGCAGTACTATATGGGCTGTGCGCAGCTGAGCGTCACCGGTAGCGGTGCTGGTGTCCCTAGCCCCACGACCAAGATCCCGGGTCTGTACACCGGCGAGGAAGATGGGTTGGTCATTAACATTTACTATCCCATCCCGACCAGCTACACCGCCCCTGGCATTGCTACCTGGCCTACGGACTGCGTATCGCACGAGGCCAATCTTGAAGGACAGACTTTCCAGGGTATGTGTGTTGGAGATGACACTGCCAGCAGTGATGCTGCTTCTTCCGGTGCTGTCTCTTCTGCTGCACCCACCAGCACCGCTGCTGCTTCTGCTGCTACCTCCGCTGCCACATCCGCTGCGCCTGTTGCGGTGACTAGCGCTGCTGCTGTTGTTTCCGCTGCACCTTCGTCGGTTGTTACGTCGGCTGAGACTACTGCTACTTCTGCCGCTGCCGCCGCTACCTCTTCTGCCGCAAGCAAGTGCAAGAAGCGTAAGCGCTCGGTTGTTTAAGTGGGAGATGGAACTGTGAAATGTCCAATCGGACTGGTGCAGAGTTCCTTTTGTTGGAGACGTTCGAGACTGCACCCCTTTTGTAAATACTTGATTTTTAACTGTGGATATACACCGGACCGGCCTAGACCGGATCATGTGGATAAGTTTAGACATACCAAATACCAATCTGTTTGAGCTACTTAAGTATGCCAATCTTCATATGCAGAATCCGTAATATCCTCTTTTTTTCTTTTCATTTCGCAATGGCCCGTACGAAGCATTCGCGATTGATGATATCCTATCAAGTGAATGCGCTCGCATCAATGTTGGATTAGATACTCTCGGTTCCCCAGTCCCAACAACAGCCGTACCAAAGTCAAAAAAGCATGAATGGTCTCAATTCAGATGCTGATGGTACGGACTATATGCGAAGTACTCATATAAGACAGGCAAGGCCTATTCAAACTCCAGAACAGGTTTCTTCCCCAGACACTCTCAGCCATTCTAGATACTGCCTATTTAATAATCACTTCGGTTGTAGCACGTAAGCCAGCCGTAGTCGATGCCAATGATGTCTAAGTGCATGATAAGTTCAGCAATGTAGCCTGTTCTCTAATTGAAGTCTTCTTGTTCTTCTGCGAATTATTTCTTTTCCTTCGTGTTAGTGCTTCTCCTCTGGCCGGGAGGTGGGGACGTCGGGTTGGAGTGTTTCTATATTAAGATATGCTTACTCAGATCAAATTCGGCACCTCCAGCAGTCTCTTTGTTGAAGATGCATTGCCTACAATGTTTATTATCCTGGTTAAGGTCTACATAGGAGCACGAGGCCTTGTTTGGATTGCTTACAACGCCCTAGCACTCGGCTCGGAGGAACAGCCAACCCTTGTTGGTTCCAGACACCTCCGATATCAGGTTTGCGCAGTACTGTGGGTATTTGTTGACGACGCCTTTGATGTGTTAGAGGGAGCGGGTACCGTACTTGATCATCCGCTCGGTTTCGTTGACGACGCCGATGGCTTGAACATCAAGGTTAGAGCATGATGAATTGAAATCGCCAGAGTAGTCGCTGATGGGCTCAGAAGCCATCAATAACGCGGAGAGGGACAAGGAGAGAATACTGGCGAACATGGTGAGTGCTATTCCGTGCTTGCACAGTGGATGTTGTCCTCAGGTACCGGAAGTGGTGGAAAAGGAGCCGCCTAGAGAGTAGACTACCCGAGGAAGTTTTGAGGGTAGAGGGGATGATCGAAAAGCGAGGGAAAGACGATAATGGTTTTTGAGTGCCATTTTTACCGAGTTCGAGGTCGATGGCCTCCAGGTGGTCTAGTCCAAGACGCGTCTTACACTTGTGGTTCTGTTAGTAAGTGGGCATTATGACTAGACAGCCTTTTATTATACATCATGAATGAGCTTTTAATGCAAGGCAGCTTTCAAATATCGCCATTGCCTCACGAGATGGAATGCAATGATCGCTGTAGCTCGGGAAACGAGGGCTTGCTAGTTGAAGGAGCTGTAGTGACCGCCACTCAACACAGTTAGTGTCATTTACTCGTTCCACGATATATTAAATCGCATCATCTCTGCCAGTGGAAAGTCCAACGCTAGTTTTTGGGGACTCCGTTATGCTGCCAGTCCCATTACGAGAACCCCCCCGCCCCCCCGTCTCGTCGCGATTGATTCTGGGTGTCTAAACATCCTAATTTTACACTCGTGTTAATGAAAGGGACCAATCTACCAATTGTAGGCGGCACTCTTCGCAGCAATGGTTTCAAAGTAGGTAAACAGGCGCACAATATCGCCGTCGATTGTTCGACCAATGACCAGATTCCTGTGTGAACGTTCGTATAGGTGAAATCGGTTGGGTTCATATGGTCAAAAGTGATGATCCGAAGGATAGAGACAACACAAACGCTAGGAGCACTATTAGAAAGTTGAAGCAAGATCTGAGGAGTTGGGTGATGGGGCGCTTACAATCCACCGAGCAAGAAGATACCCGTCGAGACCAGTCTTTGCCGGAATCCCATATGCAATCTCCAAACCATCGGGAGCGGCAAACAGAATACTATCACGTCTGTACAGGATCGCGTCAGTAGATTCGTCTCGTGGAGTACGTACCGGTGTTAGTCTAAAAAGCCCCGACTTGCGCCGACAATCCAGCATTACCGTAACTTTGAGAGAAGACAAAAATAAGGCAGGCTATTTGCGTACCCAGCAGCATGTTCACAATGCCATTCGATCGGAAGAAATTGACCTCGTCGATACAGTTGCCTGGCTGGCTTCTGTCCCATAAAAGCGAAACCGGATGGCAGCTAAAAATGGACAAGATGACACAAGTGATGAAGTACGTGACAACAAGCGACCACGTCGCCCAGAGAATTTTCGTGAATCGTTGAGAGATGCCAAATATGCGGTAGTACATGTACAAAAGGGACGATTTAATAAGGAGGGCGTCGAGGAAGTACACCTCCTGGCAAGCCAGGAACGACTTTTGGAAGTCGATCAGGGTGGCAGCCGAAAGCTCGTCTGCGTGGAAACCATAGTGGTCGACAAGGATCTGATGCCAACGAATGGCAACCATCGCCCAGGTGACGATCTGAGTTTGCATGAGAATTATTCCGCTCGACATGCTCCGCTGGAATACTAACCAGAGATGCCAAAATAAACCAATCATCTGCACCGAGACCCGCTGGCCATGGTCCCATCCTCCTAGAGGCGAATCGGCCAGCGACCGCGAAGGTGGCTGGCACAATGGTTATGAGGCTACTCAGCCAAATATACCAGGAAATGTTTTCGCCCGAACGCTGCATTGTCGTTGAAATTAGGAGATTGAGGATACAAGTGGAAGAGGGAATGGAAACGATCATCGAAACGCTGCAGGAGTTCACACACGTATTTGTATTGTGGTAAGCGGGCCATTTCCTACATCACAGAATCAACACGAAGAATCATGATTACTTGCCAATGTGGTGGCCACAGTATTTGCACGAATTGGAAAACGGCCTGGCCATGATATCCCATGATTGTTTGCTTGTTTGCTGGTTTTGCCGGTTTCCTGCCTGGAGTTAACTTATATTTATGATTATTTCCTTGCTCCACCGGGACCTCATGGGGTGGCTGGTGAATTGCAGACCCCACTGCACAAACGGAATGCATTCCGGAATTCCACCTACATACCAGGACGATATAGACTGCGCGATTCTTGGTTCGATCGCGGAAATGAGAATCCCCCCGACCATTCTCTGCAGAACCTATTAGGCCCCTGGGCACGGTCTCCAATAAGTTTTGCAGGTATTCAAGTCTTGCGATTTCGTCTGCCTAGCTCGGTCATCATCAACGTATGTTGTCTTCCTCTCTTGGCATGATTAAGCGGTATGTAAGGTACTTTCGCAAGCTTACATCAGATCGGAGCCGATGCCATCTCCACGCTGATCAGAACTGACTATAATTTCGAATTGAATAAGTTGTTGACGCAGACTAAATTTTGTGGTAGAAGTCTCCAAGCTTCAGTGCACCTCCCTCCAAGAAATTCAGACGCCACGCACCACACCGCACGATAGCTATGTCCCCTATATTGCTTTCGCTTATCTGCTTGGCAGCAGTCGTGCAATCCCAGCAACCTCTTTATTCGTCCTTCTTCGGTCGCTCAGGTGTCAATGCCGAATACGACTACGTCATCGTTGGCGGCGGCACGGCTGGCCTTACCTTAGCGACGCGTTTGAGCGAGGCCAACGCCAGCGTGGCTGTAGTCGAGGCTGGAGGTTTCTATGAGACGGACAATGGTAATCTCAGTGTCGTACCCGGCTACGCTGCGTTCTACACTGGGAGCGACCTCGACAACTTCCAGCCATTGATCGACTGGGGCATATCGACAACAGTCCAGCAGAAGCCGATTGCACGGGCACTACATTATGCCCGTGGAAAGACATTTGGGGGTTCCAGCGCCAGGAATTTTTTCGTGTATCAGAGGCCCACGGTACAGGCCATGCAGAAATGGGCCGACGAGGTTGGCGATGACAGCTTCACCTGGGATAAGATGCTTCCGTATTTCAAGAAATCCATCAACTACACGGCGTCCGTCTATGGCACTTACACTAATTCATCCATCACTCAAGACCCAGACGCATTCGAGCCAGGGAATGGTCCTCTACAGGTCTCATTCAGTAACGCCGTGGACCCCCTTGGGACATGGGTACAGCGAGCATTCATTGAAGCTGGCATGCCCCAGACCGCTGGATTCAGCAGTGGTCAGTTGCTGGGATCAGCATATGGCCCCTTGACCATCGATCCAACTACTGGCGAACGATCGTCGTCTGAGTCGGCTTTCTTGCAACACGCTCTCAAGCAAGGACGGGCGCCGGTACTGTACAAGAACACGCTCGCCACCCGCATTCTCTTTGGGACCGGCAACTCAACTACGCCGCAAGCCACAGGTATCCAGGCCTTGACCGCTGGTACATTCGGCACTGGATCCGTCAATTTCACACTTTCAGCCAGAAAAGAAGTGATCTTGTCCGCGGGAGCGTTCCAATCGCCTCAGCTACTAATGGTAGTACAATCTCGATTGGCTTCAAACGGAGATTGTCGAAAGTCGCACATAATGGACGGCAACTAACTATTGGCATGGCAGGTCTCAGGTATCGGCAACTGCTCCGAGTTGGCCGCTTTCAACATCGCTTGCACTCGCAATCTGGTAGGCGTAGGCAACAACATGTGGGACCATCCAATATTCGGCTCGGCTCACCGAGTCCAAGTGAATACGGCCTCAGCCTCGGCCAACAACCCTGTTCTTGCAGCCGAGCTAGTGAAGCTGTACCTTGAAACCCAAAGGTATTCAACCGTAAAGACACAAGCGGACATTTGCTGATGTTAATATCTCTACAGTGGGCCACTCTCCATTTTTGGCCCTGGCTACTACGGATGGGAGAAGGTTCGATCTCAAGCTTCTCTTTGACCGCACATGTAACTTGCTCTCATTTAACAACAGCTTCCCGAACCTTACAGGTCCTTGCTGAGCAACAGTTCACGTACGGCCCTTGATGCAGCATTCCCCTCTGACTGGCCTGAAATCGAATGGCTTCCCCAGGCCGCCTACAGTGGTGATAACGTGAGTACCTACCTTATCCTTCCACTTCCATTTCACGTTGCACATTTCACTGCTATCTACCTTACTTACCGCATGATATACCCGAAAAGTCGAACAAACAAACCCAGGACCCCAAAGACGGCCACAACTATGCCAGCCTCACCACCAGCCTCGTAGCTCCCCTCTCCCGCGGAACCGTCAAGCTCGCCAGCAGCTCCATGACGACCCTTCCCCTCGTCGACCCAGCCTGGCTCACGCACCCGGCGGACCTCGATCTAGCTGTGCAGTCCTTCAAGCGGCAGCGCCAGATCTGGGACACGCTGGCCGCGATGGGCGTTGCGGACTCCGACGAGGCCTATCCGGGCTTTGCTAATGTGCAGACGGATGACGAGATAAAGGCGTGGATAGGTAAGAGCATGACGACGGTGTACCATGCCAGTGGTACGTGTAAGATGGGGAATGGGAAAGACGAGAGCGCTGTGGTGGATAGTAAGGGCCGCGTGTTTGGGGTGGCGGGGTTGAGGGTTGTGGATGCGAGTGCGTTCCCATTTTTGACGCCTGGACACCCGCAGAGTGTTGTCTATGCTTTGGCTGAGAAGGTGGCCGAGGGGATTCTAAATGAGACGAGTTAGGTGGCAATCAACTGAAAGCTAAGTTTCTGAACGATGTAGCTAAAGACCGGCGCAAGTCTGTAAAAGGGAGGGGTGCCTTCCACTTTGGTATAAGATAATGAGATTCCCATCTTGAAACAACTTATAGGCCTAATCCTGGATTTCACAGATACACAGATACATAATTATGGATTCAAGTTGTGCATTCTTTCATCTTCCTCTCTTCTTTCTATTCTCTAGAGCACTCTCGGGACAGTTGGCCCTCACTATCTGTACCTCTAGGCCTCTACTTTCCATCTCCTGATCTAGTGAACAGTAACATCCATACCCACACCATTAATCATTTGTGCTTCCTCACTCTGCTAATGCCCACCCACCCCTTGCATACACGGATATCCCCCAAATAACTACGTCGGAACACCTGCAATCAGACGCGTCGATTGGTGTCCTCACCAGCACTACCCAGTAGACTGCTTTCCTCATCGACGACCTGCTGGTTCTGCGGCACAGCAGGCGGTGTCTGGTTCTTCTGCAGACTGACCCAGAGGGCCGCTGCGATGATCAGAGCACCACCGAATAGGCTTTCCACAGGCGGCGTAGTTCCCCAAACAACCCTTTCTATGATGAGTGCGAATACCAATTGTGTGTACTAAGCCCTATTAGCCACGGCTGTGCCAAAAGATCACGTCGAGCCCCTCATCAACTTACAATAAGATTTGTCGCCCTGCCAGCCTTTTCCCTCTGCAGCCCTTCCGTCAGGAGGAACTGTAATAGAAACCCCGCGACTCCGATGGTGACGAGCAAGATCCTGCCTCGGTTAGGATTCAAGGTACAGACAGATTGGGACGGGGTATTCAAACCATTGCGCAGCATTCTGCGGGGTCTCAAAATGCAGATCCGGATGGATGATGAGGATGAGGAACGACCCCACGGTGGCCAGGATGGCAAAGTAGTTGACGCTCACGAGCGAGTGAGTCCGCTTACCGATGAGCCGAATCGTGGCGTACGCAGTTGCTGATGCGAAAGTACCCGCGACTGCACATGTCACAGCCAAGGCACGTTCTGCTGGGGTGGCTGGCACTGAAGGTACGAGACCTTTGTCCATGGCAAAAACGGATGTTCCTTTGGAGTGGGGAGAATCAGGATGCAACGGGCCAGCTTCCGCGTCTGGGAATAGGAAGGTTGGTCGGGCGATGAATATAACCCCGGCGAATGCAATGACGCCCGCCATGGCCTCCTTCACCGTGAATGGCTCCTAGAACACAAGAAACGTTAGAATCGTTTTAAAGGTAACGGTAATCTGGCCATTAGAGTGAACTCACCCTCAACACAACGAAGCAGACAAATGCAGTCAGCGTAGGCACAAGAAAAGTTATGATAGTAGCCTCAGATAGTTCCAAGTAGGAGAGTGCGTCTGGAGATTCATCAGTTTCAAAGGTCATTCACGCCATTTGTTGATCGTGTTTCACTTACAGTACAAGCCAAACAGGCCAGTAAACCCAGCCATGCCACGCAGCACTAGAAGTCGCCGCACACTACGCTCTCCGAATGGAAAGTCGGGAACTTGTTTGTACCACATGTATAGAGACCCCAGGACACCCGTAGTCAGCATTCGCACGAATATGACTTGCAAAGCGTGGAACTTTGTCTCGAACCCAGTCTCGAGCAGTCGGGTTGCCATGGACATCTAATTTATATCGTTAGCGTTTCGAGGGTTTAGGGCATCTTACTACTTGAAACTTGCAACTGATACTTACGATGGATCCAAACATCTGCGCCAAGAACACCAAAAAAAGCCCAAAGTTCCTCTCATAGAAGCTGTTTAGTTTCTGTCCCAGCGTGCGTCGCCACCCCTCCTTTGATTCGGACTCATCCACCTGTGTAACGGAGGCAGAGGAGACAGATTCTTGGCTATGTGCAAGGCTAGTATCGGCCCCGATTGGCGACGATGGAGAGCTGCCATCGGGGCTCTTGGCAACTTTCGCCGGAGCGTCCGTCGATCCGTAGTTCATATCGGCGGTGGATAGGAACAAGCAACAAGGGCCTGCCTGATCTACGAAGAGAGTGTCTTTTTTTACGTGGAGATTATACCGGTCTTAGCCCATCGGCGCTCGGAGTCAACATCGGCCTCTAGCTCGGTTGTGTGACCCCCAAATAGCGTCCGAGGTTGAGGCGGAGACCTGCACGCACACCTCCAACGTCAAGCCTCGTATTGAAGTGTCGCTTCATTCCTAACATGCAATTTTCTTCTGTCTTCATTCAAGGCATGGCACTCATGTATATTCACACGTCGCACCTCACGACTTTGCAACCAAGGGCAGAAGATATCAGTTCTATTGTACAACCACCCACCTCAGTGTAGGTTTCCTGCGTCTATGTTTTTTGTCTATGCTCTATGCCATGGCATCTACATACAACAGAGGCAACCAGAAACCTCGGGTTCTCTTTTCCAAGGCGATCCCCGAAATTCATCGTCGAAGGCAGACATTGGACACTCGCAAAAGCCTGCAAGGTTCCATCTAATGCCGCCCCAGTCTAAGGGCTAAGAAACCATGGCGGTAAACGCACTGCCCAAGTCATGAATACCGAGTTGCAATCGTCCTGCACGATGTTACGACTAAGCTGTCCAGATGCCCCAACGCCAGGTGCACAGGAAATTGTCGCTTTGCTTGTCCACCACAATTACATCCTCTTTTCACTCCAAAAGACGATCGAGAACAGCTTATTTGCTGATTTCTACGCCACCAGTGGCACCCAACGCCTTCTTGACGTCGCCATAGATGGCAAACTGACCGGCAGTCAGAGTACCAACCATGAAGAGACGAGCACCGATACCAGTGTACGAGCCACGGATACCGAGCTCCTTGGCAATCTTGATCAGACGGCTGGTGGTGCCCTCTCCGGGTTCACCCTTAGTCTTGTTGATCTTGGAAAGCATGGTGTCGGCGGGCTGGGAGATAATGGCGGCGGCGAAACCGGCAATGAGACCGGATCCCAGGTTGACAGCGGTCTGCTGACTGTCGGACATGCTCGACTTGGGATAAGCGCGGTAGACCATCTCGGCGACCTTCTCGTACACGACAAACTTGGCCATGGTGTAGGGGATCCTGTGGATATGTAAGCATTTCCCTCTTGGGAAGTAGCTGGGGGTGTGCCCAACTTACTGCTTGAAGAGAATAGGACCGAAGCCGGCGTAGAAGGCACCGACACCCTCATTCTTCAGCATCTTGCTGAAACCACCAATCAGACCATTGGCGTAGGTAGGCTCCGAAACGAGACGGATACGGGTGGCCTCGAGTGGGCAAAGGGCGATATCGGCGAAAAACTCAGCACAAGCCGCGGACGCGAGGTAGACGAGGGTTCGGTTGTTGGAGGCGTTCTCGTAGCCGATGCTGTTGATGGCCTGTTGCTTGAAGAACTCGTACCCTCCAAACTTGAATGCACCCTGCAGGAAGTACCCAGCGAAGGTAGGACCAGCACCAGTCAACAGAGCACCGGCGCCCTCATTTGCGACAACCTTGCGGAAACCTCCGATCAGGCCGTTGTTGTAGGTCACGGGGTCGAGCTGGATTCTTGTCTTGACACTGTGGAATAGGTTACGAGTCAGCGGTTGCTATTGGATTATGACTGCTTGCGGTGGAAACCTAGCACCGAGGTACGCGGAATGCGCCTTGGAGCCCGAGAACCATGCAAGCGGGGAGAGGTAGACGAAATAAACGTACACATCGACAGGCGTAAGACCGCCATGAGTGATGGAACAGCAGATTGCACCGGCAAGGGCGAATCTAGAGTAGAGAGCAGCACCGCTCAACTGGCCAGGCGCATTGGCCTTGGCCTGCTCAACAACGGCATCGACCTTAGCGGACATTGTGACGTGATGTGGTATGAAAGAAGAAAAAAAGAACAAGACCAGAAGGTTGAGAGGAGAGAGGTCTACGATTCACAGCTGAGGAAAGGTGACGGAGAATGGCAGAGTGCTCAATGGGCGCTTCCTTGAATTTTTGGATTGCGGGTTTTTATTAGGAAGAAAGTTTTGAACTCGTCCTCTGTTTCGGAGTCGGCGAATTATTTTTCGGAAGAAGGCGGGAGGTTGATAAGGCCAAGAAAACATTGAATTACGCAGGGGCCCACTAAAGCAGCCACTGGATGCTGGTCGGTACCGCGGGAATTAATCAGGTTAAGCGTAGACTCCATCCGTTAAGTCCGACCATCCCGTGGCTCCTAATCTTTGGCGGGACATGTGTGGACCTCGCATGGATTAGACACGTTGGTAAGATCATGGGCCAATCAATTGGTCTGTGATTGCCAAGACACCAACTTTGAGCTCATCCTCCAAAGTGTAACGTACAACCCCACCTTTCCGGCCACATATTGCAATCCAACAACCAGCTCTAATAGAAAGCTGTGCTCTAGGGCTTCCTGAGGTATAGATCTGATAGATTCTGACGCCTTAGCTGGGCCCAGTATTACCTGATTCCGACGTTGTACCTGGTCTCGTTGCCGTTCTACTTCAAGGGCTCAATCCATCGCTTCCTTAATCTGTACAATGTTACCAAATCGTTCATTAGGCCCTAATCGTACCTTCTTACGTGGTTTGGGGCGTAACGAAGTTATCTCGGCTTCTAATGCGTGTACACGTTGGGTCAAAGTAGCGACCTCGACGCTCTGTACATCTAGCCGACGAGTCAGCTTCCGAAACAATAGCCGTTGCGACGATCGCAATGGCGTAATCGCTGCCAGACTCTCCCTAGCTACTATATGCCTCGATGTATAGCGAGAGGAACGTCGACTTTTTAAATGGAATAGAAAAGTACTGGATCGAGAGAGAGGTCGCTAACGAGCGATAGTACCGCTTTAACGGAGCAAATACGGCGACGTCGAGAGGTTGGAGCCCGTGAGAACAGTGTGCTGGCAAAAATAGTAACGAGATCTTGTTACAATAGGCTAACCACATAAACTCGATGTTGTCGTGAGCGATATGACCATCTAATATCAAGAACCGCTGCTCGTCGGGATCAGCTAGTTGTGTACGAGGTATAAAGATATCACGAAGCCATCGAACGGCGATATCTGTACTGATCCAACCGTTAGACGAATAAGTATATTGCCAATCAGGTATATCGTCGCAATCGTTAAACCATTGGGCTTGGAGGCTCTTACCAGTATATATTACTGCTGGGGTCAACGAGTTACCCATCGCTGATATAGCATGTAATATAGTGACCTATTCGCGGCTTTCGTCACTCCGAACGAATGTTGTATGTTTCTCTGACGATCCGTACACTATACCCTCGATCCTTTCGCCAATCGCGATTTCTGTTTCGTCCATATTCCAGACGTTATGTGGAAAGTAGTCGTGAGCTGACATCAAGGCTTCGTACGTCTCGAAGAAATCGTCGATATTTTGCGTCGATAGGCCATCAAATCGCTGACGGTCGAGGCGTCGAGATTGGATACTTCCGACCTCTGGATGGCGTTGAATAAAGCGATGAACCCAATGGCGACCGAGGCCCTCTGATCGACGATCCTGAGGTAACAGAATCAACGCCATCTTAGCGATGAATAGCGCCGACGGGCTACGACCCTCGCGATCCATTTCGAGGATCCATCCAATCAGCGCGTCTTCCTGATCCCTAGATATTCACGTTGTGTTTCGCACAAGCGACCTTCTCCATCCAATATGGCGGTCCCCTGAATCTACAACACATCAGGCTACAAAACGGGTGCAAAACCACGGCTTGCAGCTCAGAATTTAGAGCTGGCCCATGACGGCCCGGACTGCGAAAGATGTGTCGAAGTCGGTAAAAGCACTATCCTGGTACATAGTGTAACATGGGACTTATCGGCGTTGTCCAGCTTGCGGCCGGCGTGCCGCTTGTAGCTATGTGTTCGGCGTATGTTTATTTACGCCGCTGTAACGGCATATTGATAGAAGCCGGGTAGCAGATGGCCCCCGTACCGTCTTTCAGTGCAAGTAAAGTATCGCGAGGGTGGCCTGTGTAGACAATAATTCTACCGTGTGAGTTGAACCGGAAGCGCTGGCAGACCTTCACCATACGGGATGTACAAGAAGTCCCTTGTCCAACCTCCAGTACTCAAAATATACTTTACCAAAAACAGGCCTTTTCTTGTTGAAAGTAGTATGTTCAGTATCCTGTGTACCGCGTGACAGCTGCGTCCCTATGAGACGAGGTACAGCACGATCCAATAGGACCACAAATATAATCCTAACATAGGAGAAAACGATTTCTCACTTGATCTTGTGTCTTCAGCTCCATGGCTAAGAGCGGTTTTGGTTGGGGTTCGGGAGGATGGAGGGTCGAAGTTTGAATTCTCGGTTGCTATACTGTCCTATGTAAACCTACGGTTCATGAAGAGAGTGGCCTAATAGGTATTCAATATACAAAATCTAATTATTTCACACCTTAAATACTTACTTTGGACTTTGACCACATCTTGTATAAGTCCAAGGAACATTAATGTTCCCAAAGCTGCCCTAGTTACGCGGATACTCCTTTCTCCTCCATCCTTTCGGCATGTTCGACCGTCGCCTCCACCTTCTCCGTCATCAAATCCTGAACCCCCTTCAGACAGGCCACAGAAACAATAGCGAAGACAACAAAGGGGATGATACTCGCCCACGCCAAACGATAAGCGTGCGCATATTCCCATTGGCTCGCATACATCACGGCTGCCCAGACACTTGTAGTCGCACCCGGCACATCAGCGGTGCCTATCTCGCCCGCATCCAGTGCTTCCAACAGTGCTGGCACATTTTCACTGGAAAGCCCTGCGGTTGTGGCTGCTTTGGAGATAGCCGCGGCGTAATGGGTACTGAGACGGCCGTTGATGATGGCATTCAGCACCCCGGAACCAAATGCACCTCCAATGGCACGCGCAGAGAAGGCAAGGCCTGTTGCGGTGGAGAGGTATGCGTGCGGTGCGGTGAACTGGACGCAGGCTACCAGCAGAGCCAGGGGGCCCGACTGCCCCACTGCTGCAATGACATTTAAGCCGATTTGGGCTTTATCCCAAGACGGTTGAATCGTGGCGTAGCAGATTGCTCTAAAGGGAAAAAATGAGTAAGACGACCATTCGTAAAATGGGGATGGGGGACTTACACAACGAGAAAGAGGGTGAAAGTAAGCAGAAGGGGAGACTGCAGGTCCTTGTACCGGGTGGAATACCAAACAATGGGGATACTCACGATTAAAGTCACCACCTGGTAGCTCAGCTGGCGAACGGAGATACGCCAGGCATTGGTCTCGAAACCCAGGTTGAGCACGATCTGGGGAACGACTGAATTAACGGCACTATAGAAGATCCAGCCTTCCACGGCAAAGGCGAAGACAGACAAAACGAAGTTGAGGTTTTTTCTGAAAAATATGTGAGCGACTAGCCCGTCTGGTCTTCCTTTCCACTCTATGTGCGCGTTAGCAAATATTGTGCTTCATTGGCCGCGGACGTGTTACCGTAAATTGTGAACAAGACGAGTAGTGCCAGGCCCAAACTCAGGGGCACAGCCACGTGCCGGTCAGACCACGTGTACGCGCCACCGGCCCAGTCGAGCGCTAGAAGCATCAATGTAGCACTGGCGACGAACAAAAGTGATCCAATCGGGTCGCAAGCCCAAATGTACTCTTGCAGGGACATCTTGGGGTACTCGATGTTCTTTGGAGGCCAGTAAAGACCCAACAGCCCCAGTGCAGTAATTCCGTGGAACGCAGCCTGCATCCAGAAGATATAGCGCCATCCACCTGTATTGACGTTTGTAACAGCCCCAGCACCGAGTGACCCGATCCTGTTACGTTAGCGTCGTAGACGGTCATTAGTCTCGAATATTTACTAACAATCCGCCAAGAGCACCCCCCATAAATGCAAATCCATTAGCAAGTGCTCGGTACTTCAGGGGTAGAATCTCCGAGGGTATTGCCTGAACGATCGAGATAGTCGACAGGGTCGTGCCGATGAGTATGCCTCCCCCGATTAGCATGCTCATAGAGGTAGCCTTAGCTGAGATGACTGCGCCAATGAATGCGATTATGGGTGGTACCGTAGCGAGATATTTGCGGTCCAGGACATCTGATAGCCGACCAACGATGGGTGAGAGGACACTTTGCATGAGAAGAGGACCCTAGAAAAATTGTAAGCGGGAGAGGAAAGGCTGGAGTGTATAGGTTTGAATACAGACTTGGATGACCCAGCCGGCAATCGAGGCATCTCCTAGGTCTCGAATAATGAAGGTGATGACAGACCCAGCGGCCACGACGACGAAGATTTGTGCGAATATCCTAGATTGGCATTTCAGCGGGCTGCTCCGGTATTCTGTTCCAAATAACTCGTTTCTTACGCAAAACAGGTAATGAACACGACAAGCTATAGTATCTTAGCGAGCTGCAACTCCTGCTGTCTTCTTTCGCGCTCTATAACGGACATACCCAAGACCGCCAACTCAAGTTGACGTGGTACGCATCGTGATGTGCCTCCTGCTCAATAGGCAGAATCTTAGCATCCTTGTGATCTAGGTTAGACTCTTCATGGTGCTGTGCCCCAGGACTACTGTCGTGCTTCTCGGACTCGGAGATCATGACTACAAACTGAAAAGCAACTGTTAGAAGTATAGTTGAGAAGCATCGCGGATACGAACCGAAGTAATGACAAACTCTGGGGGGGAAGTGACTGGTTACATCAACCTCGGGTGTAAGATATGCGACATCCTGACTCGCTTACACAAGCATGCCTTGATTGAAGAATGCGGGGAATATTCGAACCGTCGGGCGGCAGTTGTCAGATACGCTTTCACATATGCATCTCGCATTATTTTACCCGGAGCGGGCATGTGGGGTAAGTAGGAATAAGTGGCAGTCTATGCCTTCACGATGAGAGATCTTGTTTGATAATTTCGACGATATACTGTGGAGCTAAATTGGGAAACATCCCGACATAGATCTGGCATAAACTAAGTCTGGATTTAGGGACTAAATTGACTGTTTATAGCAGATATATTTCCGTTAATTAAATCCGAGACACAGCATGAAATATTATAAAATTGGAATTCAACAATTGCATACATCCCGCTACGCTATAGAAATCCTAGATACTTTGCTGAACTAGATTCGTCTCCCAACAGCTACTGCGCATCAACATGCCCCATCACCAGCTTCTCTATTCTGAATCTTGGCGTCCAGCAAACCGGAAGACCATTTGTCACAAACACTGAACCTAAACTTAAATCTACTGGGAAATCCCTACTTGCATACACTCGCGCAGGCCAGCGGCGGTCAGTGGACCAAAATACGACGCCACGGCGCGTCCTCTCTGCTGAAGACCTCACATATCTGCTCATCTAGCTGGCGGAGACATTGCTGTTTGAAGATGTAGGCCAACACCTTAGCTAGTAGGGGGTTAACTCGGGGTTCCGCGTTATTGTCTGATCCCAGGAAGAGGGCTCGTTAGAGTCAAGGGGGTAATTTATGATAGTGTGCCAGAATTTGTCTACTCGCTAGGCGTATATCAGGGGGGTTTGAGGGTTGAGTTCTAGGAAGATTGCTTTGAGAAACTTGACTGTGTTTAGGACGCTATCACGGGCGGGTGTTTTAGACATTGTGATTGCTTCTATTGGTTAAGAAATATGGTTAGATCGGAATTCTTCATATTGTCTGAGACTTTAACACCAAATATACAGATATGTATAATTATGTGGAGTCACCGATACGTTGTGGTTGTGGTGAATACTGTCCCTTAATTTAAAGTATTTCGGCAGTCTTACCTCACCAGGTTAAGTCAACAACACGTCCATAAGTATGTCCCTGATCACCCTAGCCAGCGGATAACTTAAGGAATATACTTAAAATATGGTTATGTGAATTCTGACCCTTTTTATGGCTCGTTTAATATCGTAACTTCAGTCAGCCTGTCCTCTATCCAAATAACTCCGGAAAGATGAACACCGGATCATTTCGTTACACCACCTCTAAAGCTGGCTACTGTACGGCTATGGAACTATCTACCTGCTGAGCGTGAAGTTTCAAGTTGCCCTCACCCATCTCACCATCCCAGCCCTGCTCGATCAAATATGCCCGGAAAGCATCGTCACGCTTCTGTAAATCCTCACCCGTGATATTCGGAATGAAGAAGTACGTGACCAAAATACCCACCACGCCGCAGATAGCAGCCACTATGAAAGTCCACCGCTTGCCGAAACGTTCTTCGATGGGTGTGAAAGCTTGGGTTCCGACGGCGGCTCCCGTTTTGCCGATTGCCGCACTGAAGCCATAACAGGTGCCTCGTATGCTAGTTGCGTAGCTCTCGGAGCTCAGAAGACCAAGCATATCACCCGGTCCCAAGTTGCCCGAACTCTGCATCAGGCCGTAGAAAATGACGAAAAGGGGAATGATGTGAGTGATCTTGTCGTATGCACAGCCGATGATGAGGCCAAACACCAGGTAGCCTGAGAACCCCAGCATCATAGTGTTCTTGCGGCCAATACGATCGCAGAGAAATGCACCAACCAAGACACCCGGAAGTGCGATGGCACCCAGAAGCAATTGCCACTCCCCAGTCGAGAGGATGCTGTTCCCTGTCTTTGGTACCACTGACGCGATGATAGTCCCAGAGAAGACACCGTTGGGGAAGGTGACAAAATCGTACAGGAACCAGGCTCCACACGTGCCGATGAGAGTTTTCCAATAGTAACGCAGGACGAGACCATATGGTACATTTCTTTTGATAGCGCCGCGGCGGTAGAGCTTCGAGTTCAACATCTTCAGTCGAAAGTAGAAGATACTCAGGGGAAAGATGCAACCAATGGCAAAACAAACTCGCCATGTCGTCTCAAGGTGGTTAGAGGCCGCGCTTAAGACAATCAGGAATATCGAAACAGCAAGTGGTCCGCCGAACGACAATGGTAGGTTCGTGACCAAAATGAAGATTGGACCTCGGTGCTTGGGTGTTTGTTCGTTTGCACTCTCGGAAGCGGACGTGCTTGAGGCCGGATATTCACCACCTGCTCCAAATCCAACAATCCCTCGAGCGATGGTCATCATCCAGAACATGCCTTGAACAGTCGTGCCGCTGGATGCCGTAGCAATGATTCCTCCGACCACGATCAGTGTCGTGGTTAGGATAATTGCGACTTTGCGTCCAAGGTAGTCGCATGTAAGTCCAACGACGACCTGGCCCAATACTTCACCGACCAGCAATGAGTTTGAGACCTGAGTGCTGATCGCTGATGTGTACTCCTTGGGGTATTCCTCTTTGAAGAGCACGTTGGCCATGGTCATCAGGTTGTTCTGGTACCCGTCCGAGATGAGAGCAAAGCCAGCGCAGATGATAGTGAAGATATCTGACATCGATCGTGTCCTCCTGGAGACCAATCCATCAGTTTGGTCGATGACGCGTGTCGCTGTCGTCTTTCTAACGTGCCCGTCTCCCAAAGCGGGGTCTGCCTCAGGTCGTTCTGCCTCAGGTCGTGCGACCTCGTCGTCTGCGTCCATTGTCGGGGATGGTTGTAATTGTAAGCAAAGTAAAGATGTACAGCAAGTGGAAGCAAGTAAGTGGCGAGGTCAGAGGGGACATGAAACTGCCATCTGTTCCGCGCGATATTTAAAGTGGAGGGGCTGCTTTTCGGTATATATCTGGGAAGCACCAACCCGATCAACATTTCCCAGGTCAGCAGGCACGATATGAGGCACCGGGATTGGGGGAGATAGTGCCACGCCAACTCGGCGGACCAACCGGCGAATCCATGGGTACGTTGCACATCAAGAACCTGGATCGTCATAGAAATGTATAGGAAGATGATTGATGAGCAAAATTAGTACGAGCTGACGTCTTAACGGAGTGGTCCTTTGCACATCTGGACTACCCGCTCTGGACGCAACGATGAAGTGGAATCCACTAACTGCTCTGGCTGCAGAACAATTAAGCATTGCAAAGACGGGAGTGCCTTTTAGAACTAAAACCGCTCGGGGAATTGAGGGTATGCACGTCGAAATTGCCAACTTCAAGCTCAATTATGAGAAGGGGGTGCCCATGCCGATACTGCATGACGCCACTAGACTCGTCAGGGTCGCCACAACATGTGCACTAACTCAAAACTATGGCTAGAAAAATCTTTGTACAACCCTACTTATACCTAGTCAGGGATTCCGTCCACTGCATAATATCACAATAAGGAATACATGCCCAGGAGACCGGCTGCTCAAGTTTCATTTATCATTTGGAAAGATGCAAGTAATCCATATAGTCTCGCCTACGTTATAGAAAATAATCCATAGTAGCGTTAGGCTCGATGTAGAACTAGTTTCGTGCAAGTGGTCCTAAATACTAAGACAATTCCTTTGCCTAGCCGGCGCCCTCTCGGCCCCTAGTAAGATTCTGGTCCTAGGTGAAGCTATCAGCAGCTAAGAGAGTTGATTAAATTAAGGATAATGCTTTTTCTCCTTGATATGAAGGGTATATATTAAATAAAGCATTATCATTTCCTCGTCGATAGGTAGACTGAGTCCGCTATGCGTCAGGTTATTGAGATAGAGTCTCGGAATCACACCGTTATCTCGGTTCTCCACCGCTTTATATTTATCTGGTCGGCTGGTGTAGTTGGTCACTTCGCTGGTAGATAAGTCCCGATTTGAGCCTCGCCCACTTGGGTTGGTGACGAGTCGCGGGTTCGAATCCCGCAGCTGACACACAAGGGGGTTTAGTCAACCCTTACGGCGCGCTGCCCACCTTGTTGACTTCGCCTACCTAGCGATAATAGGGAGATTGGTGCAGTTTAGGATTACGAGCATCCTAGCCAGTCGACCGTCAAGCACTACGTCGGCGGAATATAACTCGACAGCCGGTCCAGAATTCGAATCGTTAATCCGACCCCTTATCGGACCTCGCCTATCCGATAACGCTCGTCGGCGAACCCGTCCCCTCACGATAGAAGGCGCGCAGCACGCCCCCTCGCCGCGATTCTTGCGAGCGTCTAGACCACGTTACGGTCTATCCACTTGAGCGTATGGTTGAGATGTATACGCTCGACGAGAACCCCAATTAGCAGATACTACGACTTGTCGCGACAAAAAAATAGTCGAGCATCTTCTGCACATCAGCAGCATCCCACCCCTTGTCAGAGAACAGAATGCCATAGGCACCAGTGGGTGTCAGGACACTGAACGCAGGACACCGGCGGGCCGCCGGAGGGGTGTTTCGGACAAAAGACTCCCGAATCATGATTACAATCTATGTGAAGCTTTGGGATGACGAGAGTCAAGATCCTTGGCATCGCCGACCCTGCTGTTATGCCGGGTCCAAGCGGCGGCCTAGCTATCTATATAAGGACCATCTCGAAGTAGGATAGGGAAGGAGTTGTCAGAGCCACAAGTGTCATCCGAGGCGGGCCGGCTTCCACCAGGTAGGAAGCCGTTTGTGGCGGCTAGAGAGCCGCTTGTGGCGAATGAGAGCCGTTGAAGCCGTTTGCAGCGGATAGGGAATCGCTTGGTTGCAGATAAGGAGCCGCTGTCCAAGATATTGGCCGAAGTCGGAGGAACACAGACATACGGAAGCAAACATCCAGAATCCAAGAGAGAAACTCGGCTGGCTATAAGTAAGGAGTCGAGACGGAGGAAGATAGAGAGGGCAGAGATCAATGCATCACCGTGGGCACCCCTACCTGAGACCGCCAGTGACCACCCGGTGCTACGTAGGAGGGACGCCCGTTACTCCCCATCACTCTGTACTATTGCCTTCGGCCTAGCCGTACCCTGACACGTTGATCTCTCCACCCGTCTCCGGGCGTACGGACCGTTGGGGAGAAAATGGCGATGCGAAGAGCCCTGATGCGAAGCCAGACCACAGCCGCAGGCACGCTGGGTGACACCGGAGGAGCTACATCGAGTAGTGCAACGACGACGACAGCGACGCAGACGAGCAGTGGCACTGTCGACGCTACGACGACAACAGCGACGATGAGGCAACTGAGCCGGTCCCAACTAGAGGAGCTCGAGCTAGAAGAGCTTGACCGTCTAGTGGAAGAAGAAGTAGTGAGGAAGAAGAAACGAGAAAGGATTGGACAATTGGAAGCTTTAAGAAGGGGAGAGCCGCATAATAGTACCGCCGGTGGGACCCAGGTTGAACCTATCGGACCAGGCCTAAAGCGACCTCGGCTTGATCTAGGAGGGAGAGGCCACTTGCCGACACTCAAGTACCGGGGCACCAACTGGTCGGAACTTACCTCGTTCATGTTAAACCTAAAGGGGAGATTCATGATGTACGCGGAGGACTTCGACACTGATGCGGCGCGTGTACTGCACACCACCGGATGCCTTGATGGGGCGGTGCAACGACGGTGGACCAGCCACGTTGCTACTATTTACAAAAACGACTTGGGGAACGTCCGGTGGGACGCTATGGAGAAGTGGCTGGAGAGGAGTGTGGCTAGCGACGATACGCGAGTGATCAGCGTGATGCAGAGACTCGATAGTATCACCCAGCGCCCCAACCAGAGCTACCAGCAGTTCATCGACGTATACGATGCTATAGAGACAGAGTGCCCTGATCAACTACCGGAACGGATACGCGTCGTCAACGTACTCAACCGCTTACGACCGGAGTTGAAGCGACAAGTCATGACCCGAGGACTTCCCTCGACTCGGTATGAGCTTGACGACGTAGCTAAGCAAGCCGAGGCGATTGAAATAAGCAGCAGACCACCGGTGTACCAACAGCCTGGCCCGAGGACCAACGCAACATCGTCCTCGACCCCAGCACCAGCAAGGGAAGAAACATCAGACGGGAATGCAGGCCAACAGGCGCCCAGGAGGGATGTGGCTTACGGCCAGTGCTACTCGTGCGGACAGACGGGACATTACTCTCGACAATGCCCTAACTGCAGGACCTGCGGTAGAACCAAACATGACGGACCTTGTCCTGAGGACCGGAACCCAAACACAGCGCCGCTGGGGGTCCGCCACACCGAGCCTCAATAGGGGTACGAGCAGCCGCTCCGTCTGGAAACCACCATCCGTCTCCGGGTTGGCGGCTGCTGGCGCATTGGAAAAGCCTTGATTGACACCGGAGCCGACGAGAATGTCGTGGACTCAAGAGTGCTTGGCATCGAGCCGGGTACGTTACAAGACTCCGGTGAGACGCTGCGGGGCATGTGGGGAAGCAAAGGTCCCAACTATGGCAAGAGGGTATTACATACAAAGATGACGGACGGCTTCGGGGTGACGAAGACGAAGGCTCACGAATTCCGAGTCTCAGACGCAGAAGACTGGGTTGCAATCCTTGGGCTCCCCTGGTGCCGTGCCGTTGAGCCTATATTTCGATGGTCCTCGTTAGGATGGACGTACCCTCTCGACGTGGACAGTCTACAACTGGTGACCAGCAAGAAGGATATACGGAATGCGTACCACGAGGCAAAGTACAGTATGATAGCAGTGCCCGCGGTAGCAAGGGTCGAAGCTAGCAAGGACAGAGGAGCCGGAGCAGAGCCGCAGACCAAGTGTGCCACCGTGCCGTCGGAATACGCAGAATTCCTCCATCTATTCGACGCGCAGTTAGCAGGGAAATTGCCAGATGGAAGGTTTCGGTCACACAAGATCGAGCTAGAGCCAGGTGCCGAGCCGCCGCACGGGCCCATCTATCCACTAGCGGAGAAAGAGCTCGAGGAACTACGAGAATATTTGAAAATGGCCTTGAGCAAGAAATGGATTCGGCCCTCGCAGAGCCCAGCTGGGGCGCCGATCCTATTCGTACCGAAGAAAGGAGGAAAGTTGAGGCTATGTGTGGACTACAGAGGCCTTAACAAGATCACTGTGAAGAACAGAGCGCCACTACCACTGATCGGTGAGATCTTGGATAGGCTAGCTTCCGCGAAGTGGTATACGAAGCTGGATCTGAAGGATGCATACCACCGGGTCCGGATCAGCGAAGGAGACGAATGGAAGACGGCGTTTCGGACGAGATACGGTCATTTTGAGTATCTGGTCATGCCGTTCGGACTAGCTAATGCGCCGGCGACCTTCCAGAGCTACATCAACGACGCACTAGCTGGACTTGTGGACGTGATCTGTATCGTCTACTTGGACGACATCCTTATATTCTCTAAGGACAGGGAGTCACACCCAGAGCATGTCCGGGAGGTCCTCCGCCGGTTGGACGCCGCTGGCCTGTACGCTAATCAAGACAAATGCGTCTTCCACACGCAAGAAGTCGAGTTCCTAGGTTCGTGGTGTCACCGGAGGGGATCCGCATGGAAACCGACAGGGTGGATGCTATCGCGCAATG